ACCTCTGAATCAAACATTAAGGTCACAAGAATAACTCAAATGATTACAAACTAAAGAAACTCTTGATTGTTAAGCAAATTCTCCTTATCAGCACCTTAGGAAATGTTGAGAGAACAGTATGGAGAACATGGATATCCATGTTAGGCTGCAAAGGTTTAATTACAATTTTTTGCACTTTTTACCCTTTCATCATTTCCTTTTAGGGATAGGAATCAATTGTTCCTTTGAAGTCTTTTCATGACTGTAGTTATAGTTATACTATACATTCAACTCTCCTAAGCAGACACTTTTGGGAATTAGGGAAAAAGTGTCTGTTCGTAGAGCTGTCTGCCTATGAGCATAAATCACATAAGTGGACACCAAAGAAACATAGGGTTGATGTCTGCTCACAGGAGAGTTAATTAGCATGTGTTAATTGCATTTTTTTTGGCCAAATGGAGATTTGACAAAACAGATGCCCACTGTTCTGTTGCCCTGTTAAAGGAGATATTTTTTGTTGATTTGAAAATTATTTTATTGCCAAGAGTCAATTAATATGCATGGGGTGTCCACTTTTAAGAGAACATAAGCAAAAGAACAATCTAATTTTCACTTTATATATACATATATATATAAATTATATATATATATCTTGATTTTAATCTATCCTTGCAGTAGAGTGCTTGATGCATTCACAAAGTGTGTTATATCTGAAAATTGAACTAATCAACAAGACATAACTTTTCTGTGACTCTGAGTTTCATGCTTATGCAATCATCACACACACACACACCCACACACATACAAAACTTTTACACTGTGCCATTTGGCTAGCTCTTAGGTAACCTTTTACACACAGTTGTTCAAAAGCTTGAAAACTTTACCAACTGAATGACCTACTATCTGATCAATTGCATATCACCAGCAGTCAGCAATTTATGGGATAAACTGTGCTGTCCAGCTCGAAACAATGGCACCAGGTCATCAGTTTTTTGTTATAAAAAAACAAATACAATTATTTCCTTTATTCTCATAACCCAATGTATGATCCAGGCATGATATTGGTAGGAAAGATGGAATACTAGTTAATCTAAGGGGTTAAAGGGTCAGGCTATTTCTGTTATTGCACGGCATGTGATCTTTATATTTCAGGGTTCTTATTTTGATGAAAGAATGGTTGTTCATATCATTCTGGTTTGTAGTGACAGTAGTGGAACTTTTCTGTACAGGTGTTGACTTCAAGGTTAAAACTTTGACTGTGGATGGAAACAAAGCAAAACTAGCAATTTGGGTAAGAACTGCTGTTGATGAATGACAACACAATTATAATTCATGATTACAATCATTTAGTATTATCAACTGAGTTGAAAACGTAAATTGGCCATTGTAAAGAGTTTTACCCTGTTATACTCTCCCACCGATGCAGCACCACAGTTTCTTTAGAAACTTACCTCCTGTAATTCACAATGCTTGAGTGACAGCTAAGTTAATTAATTTTGACAATTGGATTTAATAGTTTAATGGTAATGAGATCACTTTTCTGTTTAAGGACACAGCAGGGCAGGAACGTTTCAGAACACTGACTCCCAGCTACTACAGGGGAGCTCAAGGAGTTATTTTAGGTACTACAAATAAAATGATTTTCACCTCCTCATTACTTGCTGTCATCACAGTTGATTTTGTAGCATGAGAATAGTTGACAAAATTTCCTCATTGATACTGACACACAATAGGTTTCAACTAAATAGAAACTATTTAAGCATTTCTTAACTTTCAATGGTGATTTGATATTTTTGTTGGTGTCAGATCATCACTGAAAGTTAATTAATGCTAACAATGCTAACAATGCTAATGGCACATATACCACATTTCCTCTAATAAGTTCCCAGGCACTTATTTAAAATTTTGGCTGTAAGGGTAGGCACTTATTTGAAGGATGACACGAATTTAAGGGGGGTGCCTATTAAGTTAGCAAAGTAATAGGGAAAAAATAGAAAGAACTGATGTCGCAGATAAAGGAACTCTGCAAGTACATGGAGATAAAAAAATGGTGAAAGTGGCTTCAGGGAAAGAAACTACTCTCCTGTACTGATCTTGCTGTAGTTGAAGCTTCAAAAGTTGTAAATAAACTGTTAACAGAAACAGGTTTTTCTTGTATCCTTACTACTTAAAAATGTGGGGGGGGGGGGGGGGCTTTATTCAAGGGGGGTGCTTGTTTAACTTTATGGCCAAGGGGGTGGATGCTTATTCAGAAAAGGACATTTTTTAGAGATGGGCGCTTATTTGTAAAGGAAATGCAGTAGTTGGTGAAAGTTCTCAGTGCTTCATTATGTTTCTTTTCAAGCACCAATTTTAACTGTTCATGATAGCATTTCAAGAATTTGCATTTTTCCCTTTAGTTTATGATACAAGCAGCAGAGAGACATTTGAGAAATTGGAAGAATGGCTCAATGAAATTGAAATGTATTCAACCAAAAAAGACATCATAAAAATGCTTGTTGGCAACAAAATAGATAAGGTACAGTGAAACTTTTGTGCAGTTATGTTAGACCAGATGATTATTATCTAATTTTTATCATTAAAAACTGGAGTTTTCTCCCTCAATTTGAACCTAGAGATAAATTGAATATCTTACTAACCTTGGTGGTTAATATTATAAGTTATGGAACCTTGTTTTTTTTTCACTCAGACTTAGACTTGGCATCATTTCTCAGGCTGTTGTGTTGATTAATACTCCTATACATGTATTTGCTTGGTACAGGATTAACTGTAATAGCATACAGTAAGGTTTTGTGCATGCTTGATGTACTAGAAATTCAGGTTTTACTACTGTGCTTTTTAGGAGGGTCGTGAAGTTGATAGAAAACAGGGATTACAATTTGCAAGAAGACATTCCATGTTATTTATTGAAGCAAGGTTAGTGTCAGCTTGAGATATAAATATTTGTTCCACTGCAATCAAGGATCAAATGTTTTTTTTTTTTAACAGCCACCTATGTAATGGCACAAGATGGTTTGGTGAAACAACTATGAAGATAATTGTTCTGGGACTGGAAGAATGCAAAAAAAAAATTTAAAAAAGTTGTTATTTTATGTTCAAATGTTTATACTTTTTATGAAAAAAAGCCATAATTTAAATTAGAGTATGTTATCAAAATTGTACAGAAAGGTAGTAAAGAGATTCCTTTAACCCTATAACTTCCAAGATCTGATTGTTAATTATTGTGAATTAGTTGGGAGAATTTGGTGTCATACCATAATTATAACTTCTACCTGATAAGTTTGAATATTCTCATTACCTGTTTGCTGGATAATGTATGGATATTATAATGAGAAGTTATATGTTAATCATTTCTGGGAATTAAAGGGTTAATTAGTTTTTAGCTGGTGATTAAAATGGTATCCTGCCTTTCAACTAAAATAGTTGTACATTGTGTCATCTAAGTTTTATTTTTGATGAAAAAATCTTTTTTTTTTTTTTTGTAGTGCAAGAACAAAAGAGGGGGTTCAACTTGCTTTCGAGGAACTAGTAGAGAAGGTATTTAAATAACTAGGCAATTGAAATGTTGTACAATGTAATATTGTGGAAGGCATAGAGGCTGTAACCCTTTAACTCCAATGAGTGACCAAGACAGAATTTCTCCTTACAATATCTATACAATATCATGCAGACAAGTGAGGAGACTAAAGGAAAATATCAATTATGGGATTATTAATTGAATAGATGACAAATTCTCCAAACCAATGTAATGAGAATTATTTGACAGTAGTAAGGAGAATTGCTAATGAGATCTTGGGAGTTAAAGGGTTAACTCCCAAGATCTCACAAGTAATTCTCCATACTGTCAGTCATGCAGGTCTTGTGATGTTAGTTTGGAGGATTTGATATTGGATCCACTTGTAATCCCCTAATTGATATTTTCCTTCATTCTCATTGATCACTGGTCTGCTTGATGTTGTATTATTATTATTGTAAGGAGAAATTCTTTCTTGGTCATTCGTGGGAGTTAAAGTCTTAAATTGGTGACTGTTGGGTTCTGGCTTCACAAGCTGCAACAGTTTCCAGTTCTGTAGAGAATCCTTGAATTTTTCATCCCTTATATTTTGCCTGGCAGAAAGAAATTCTAACAACAAAAGCTGCTGTTCAAACAAGATTTAAAATAGGAAGAAAGATTTAAAGGATTCATGTTTTTTTTTTCTTTTCTTTTCAAATAGAAACTAACAGGGAATTAGGGATGGGATTTCTCTGATGGACTAGTACCTCTTCCAGAGGAAGAAACAATTGATAAAAATTTGCTGCACACAATTGCTCTCCTGCTGTAGGGTTGAAAGGTGCACCAAGTTTTCCAATAGTGGTAACCAAAGTAACACCCCATTTGCTGTCTTTGTACCGGGTATTTTTGCAAATGCATTGCTCAAATCCCCTGCTTCCATCTACCTCCCAGGGGAAACTAGGATTTCAAATGATTAACCCTGCATATTTTCTTTTTTCATAACTCTTTTCTGTTTTGTTTCCATTATACAGATTATCCAGACTCCAGGTTTATGGGAAAAGGATGGTGCCACAGGAGGAGTAACCCTTACAACAGCAGGGTCACAGGTCATTTCAGGTTGCAGTGGAATGTGTTTACTTACATGACAACTGAAGTTTTATTTTAAGTGCGTCTTGTAAATAGAGAATTTAGAAGAAATATTTCATTGTATTCCATTTAGTTATTCTGGAAATGAAATAGAACCTTATGGTACTTTCCAATTCTAAATTTACCCACTGAACTTTAAATTATGTTAACCAATAAATATGATCATTTTTTACAGTTTTAAAGGAATCTAGACTTGCCCTTTAATTAACAAATGAAGAAGCCTTGACTGTGCTTTGTTTTGTTGTAAAGCACGCAGGACGCAGCTAGAGCGTGAAAGAAGTGTATGGAGAAACACAAGACCTAGTCAAGTGTTTCTCCCCACTTCTTGACAAGAGTGAATGGCTATGGATAGTTGATGTGATTGTTGTAAATGAGATCCAACAGAGAAACTTCTATTTTCTTAGAATGAGATATTGAAAGTGTATGAAATTTAAGGGTGTACCCTGCTACCCCTCACTTCCCAGCAGAGGTCATCATGAAACATCATTTTCTTGCAATTTTTATTCACATGGGAGGTAGTGGGAACTAGAAATGTTTTCAATAGAAGGAATTGCTTTGATCCTACACAAAATTGGTAGTTTTAGTCAAGAATTCCTTTGTTATTGTCTAGGAGAAACAGCTTTTAAATCTTGACTTTGGAAGAGACTCAGGGTTTATAGTAAACAGTACAAACAAACAATTGTTGTACACTGTGATCCATGCAGGCATGCTAAGAGTTCTCCATACTGAATATTTCCTTAGCTTTTTACAATTTCTTCAGGATAACCTGTATTGCAGGCAGACTATTTAAACCTGATGATCAAGTCCTGAAGATTTGATCGTTTAAGAGGAAAATTGGGTGTTTTCTTTTTAAAATGCAGCTGATGTTGAACAAATACAACAAACTTATACTCTTCTGGTTAACTTCCAAGAGTCTTATTTGTCCATATTAGCAACTCTAACACTTCTGCCAATTTTTTGTCATATTAGCTACTTTGTAAAGCAAATAAATGGGATGTATTTGGTCAAAAATGTGTGAAATTTGTATCTGTCTCAAGCAATTAGTTTCTTCCAATGGTTTATGCAAGGTTGTGACTGCAATTGGTGTACATTTAGCTTAAGGGGGAGAGGGGTGGGGGTGTGTTAGATCAGCTCTTTAGAGGCCTACAGACTAATGTTACCCCCCCCCCGCCCCCACCCTCCTCCCCTTAGGTGGGATTTAATCAAGGACAGGTTAAACTTCTCTTTGTTTGTTAATCTAGGTATTTTTTCCTGTGGCATGTTCTTTGGATTGCAAATCGTCTGTTCAAATTTTTCTCGAAGCATGCCTAGTTGCTGCCTTGTGTAAGAAAGAAAACTGCCCGCCGTCTTTTCGATTGATGCAAAATTTTGCTGAAAGTCTATTGCTGAGTCAATATTTTTTATTTAAAAAGACAGAAAGTAATTAGTAGAAGCGAAATGAATGACAGTTCCCTGGCGAACTACTCTGGTGTTTATCTTCAAGCGGGTGGTTCGGTGCAATGGTTTAGCTGCAGATTACCGTAACAAAACAACTCAGGCTCATTCTTCGGTTAACAGCATCACTATCTACAGCACTCTCTTGAGGATCCTCATACAGGTAGGGACTACACAAAGTACCCCCATTCTTGCACGTACGTTGTTATCAAGGATCTGCTTAGCTTTATAGGTGGAATCATCTTCACGGAAATGTGGGAGTGAAGGTCGATGTATCTCTCATCACCTATGTTTATTCTTTGACTTGCCTTGAATCATAGGAAATTGCGACAGATTTCTCTTCCTCATACATCACTATTTACCACAGACCTATTCAAATCCCTTGCCAATGAAATGGAGGGACTGGAGACCACTTCTCAAGAGTTAAAAAGGAAAAACTTGCAGGAAAAATTAAAACTGATATGTTCACACTTTTTGCCTTCTCTGACATAAGATAGCAAATAGGAGAGATAAAGGATAAAGTATGGCGAGCTGTCTCCACGGCTGTAAACTGTGTTAAATTCCCGCACCAGGCCGGTATCATTAAGACGGTCAAATTTCATAATGATTTTCGTACTTGCCGGAGGGATTTTATTAAGGTTCTTCGACAAAAGCCAACATGCCGATATCCCTAATCATCGGCCTGAACTATTTGAAAATATCATGCTGTAGCTGAAATAACAGTTTCTGATTCATGGGGATAAAACGTTTTCACATCTGTCATGGGTCACAGAATACCTTCAGCTCCCCTTCATACACGGCTAAGTGCACCTAAAATGCGTCCAGTTGAAAATGGTTGGCGCAATTCGTAGATCTGCCCATGCAATATTAAACTAACGAGACCACCTTTGTTTTCTATTCTTGTGTAGGAAACGCAAGATGACTTCCAACTTCACGTGCCTTGATGTAGTGAGTCATGCATACCAAACTTGTGTTGACCAGGTTGTCACAACAGTCACTTTCAGCACTACCGGTTACATAGGTCCGCAAGGCGTACAATTTATCAATTGCAACTTTCTCCTCTCTTTGGCCGCGATTTTTCTTGTTGCAGCCTTACTGGTGTCCTGTACCAAGCTCAATTTTAGTGCGTCTTTCCGCCACGAGTTGTCCGAGACGCTGGAAATAATTGTTAACCTTTTTACTGCTCATCTCTCTTTTGTTGCGCTCTTAATCAATTCTGTTTGGTTGTTTGGTCAGATTCTGGCTGCAGTATGCGACATGCTGACTTTGAGTCCACGATAAGCTGATTCATAATTACTGAGAACGATTAACGATCAACTGAATCATATAAAGAAAGTTTCCAAGACTATGGCGGGGGTATAGTCACAAAAAGCGCAAAATATGCTTGTAACATGTGACAAAAGCTATACTGTACGACATAATGAATTTTGGTCCACGTTTAGAAAGCTCCTTAGAAATAAGCTCCTCAGTAATAATTAAGATTAATAAAACATTCAACTGAGTTGTGAGGATCTTTGGGGATAATGATTGATAGGGGCGTGGTCTCAGATAGCGTTAAATTGCATATCTATCTAATTTGTGTCACCAGTAGATGACAGGTACCGGCTTTAATGTGAGACATATTCAGTTGTGTCTTCGTAATGGTCCTTGTTTCGCTAGTTTGAGTAAAACATAGATAACTGCTTTTAAGAGGGTCTCAAGTAGTGGGTTGGGCGAGATTTCAAAGAGCGTTAGACTGCCATTTCTATTTGTAACAACATTAAGTGACTGCGCATGCCAATTAAAGAAAAGTGGCAAACTTGCAAGTAAACAGATACAGTTATAGAGAAACAAGAACCTCGACACATCAACAAAAAAAAATAGTTCAACATGATGACAGATTTAAATACAGAAAGAGGAAACGATGATGAATTACTTACTAAACTCACTTTCACGGTCCGTACAGTAAATTAAAGAACCTAAATTTTTCGGCCACGCCTCTTGGTTTCACTTTAGTTTTGAAGATATTGACTATATTTCTATGATCAATAAGGTTATGCCCCGATCAGTTTGAAGCTTCTACATCCTCCCCCCTCCTCGGCAACCCATGGGCATTTGACTGTCGCCCGTGCCCAGGGGGTGGGGAATTTGAAGCAGAATTGTCAAGTCTCTCCAGCAGTAACGTGTTTTATCTTTTAATATGGACGCCTGATTATAGGTTAAAAGTTCATTTCATGACCAGATGGCTCCAAAGGAAATGTCTACAAGAAAATCTTGGTCACTAGTCTTCCCTTGTGCAAAAAATTAACCATTAAATATGGCACTTTGGTGAGGCATTTGAACGCTTTCCGTGACCAATCTGCCAACCGTTTCGCTTTCCTAAAGAGAATACAGATATTCTCTTGCCTTCCCCCACGCCCACTCGGCCGACCGTTTAAATTCAATCCATGTTTTCTGAGCTAACTATTAAGCATTTTTCTCTGATACGCGGCCAACCATTCAATCTGATCTCTTACTCGTTCCATTTCATTCCAAGTCAGCTCCTTCAAACTCTTCGTCCATCATTCAGTAAAGTCCCAGTACCACTCGGCCGTTCATAACTTCCGTCGTAAACATATTCATCTACTCACATCACCGTTACAAAAACCCAATCTGTCAACCCTTTCAGCTCGTATTAAGTTTCACCCACGCAATCCACTAATCTTTTCCAAATAATACAGAATAAACTCGTCATTCCTTTTAGCATTTTACCGGCCATATTCTTCCAAATTTTATTAACCATTGTTCCAACGTCGTTAGAACACACATTCCAAGCTTTATCCACTGTTATGAAAATGGCTATGGCAAGATGAACAACTCCATATTTACTTAAAATTTTACTTTTCCCCGACTCCGTTCAAAGATGTCAATTTTCCCTGACTCAAAGTGAAATTCCCAGACTTTTCCCATGCCTTAAAGTAATCCATTTTCCCTTGAATTTTCCTGACCTGTGACAGCCATGCCTAACGTTATCGTTCCGGAAACGAGACACTCTCTCTCCTAGAAATAGCCTCCAGTTGACCATAAAAACAGTGAAGGACAAGCAGACGCCATCATTCAATCTCCTAGCTAAGCTGTCTACAAACTTAAATTAATTGACTTCGAAATGTTCAGAACATACTTTGGCACTAGACGTTGCTCTTAAATATTTTTTTGGATCTTTTTTATTCTAAAATTCCATATCTGTTTTATAAGAAACTAAAAAAAACATATTAAAAATCGAGACAAGACGAAATTATTTCTCTGACCAGTTACTCTTGCAGATTAAAGGAAATTTGTGCAACTAGTAATTAAATAAATATAGCATGGATACTTAACTTCTGAAGCTAGGACCCTTAGCATATATATGAAAACGAAAATCCGAATTTGTGGAAATATTATGGCAGTTACAGGCGCAGCAATAGTCGACCATTCTTTACTCTTCGTAGTTAACTTTGTGTTGTTTACCCATTTCGGACCACGTGACCAATCTAGACGTATGAAGCTAAAAAGGTCTATTTAGTCCCCTTCCTCTCCTCCCGTTTTGTTTGTCTGTTTTCTGTTTTCGGCTGTATCCATTTCACTAAGTCCTGGGTGCCTTTTACGAATATTTACTTTTAAAATAGCGTGACGAAATAATGTTTGCATAATGTTTCGCCGACATATCGACTTGTCACAAATTTTTTTTTGTTACACAAAGTATCACAAGGCTGGTATCAGAATGTTATTTAGAAATGAAACATTTCTTGCAGACCGACTGAAAAACTTCAAAATGACGTCGATAATGTATTGTTTCCTTACGCCGACTTTCTTCGGCATACGTTTTGATCTTTCCACACTGTCAAGATCGAATCATTTGATTGGTCGACCTAGCAATTATAGACGGCCTTCAAATTCACACCTTGTCCGATCACTTACGCGAATATTTGTAACTTTTCGCAATGATCACAATTATTAAGTCGCGATGATAAGAAAGCAGCTCGTTCGAAGGAGAGGAAAATAGTTCGCTATAGATTTTCTCGATCATGGTTGTGGAATGGATATCTCGCTTAGCAAAGAGGTAACACAGAAATTCCTAAGCACTCCGCTTCGAATATTATCATTGCAGTTTGACAATTTACAACAATTAGAATATTCATGCGATGTACATTTGCTGTAATTATGTTATGATTATGACCCAGAGTAGAGTATTCGAGAAAAGATATCAACATCTTAACTTGCGTTAAAAACTTCCTTGATGAATCTTAAATATAGTTTGAAAAGACATACACCGATTGCCGAGTTTAAAGAAATTCAAGTCGATCAACCGTGTCACGAAATGTAAATTTAATTTTAGATTTTCCGACAGGGAACATTGCTTATGGAAGAGCTCTTTACGAAATGGATAAACAAAGAAATTCATAAGAATTATAACCAATTTTACATTATTAATCCAAAGTTACTTTTACTTGATTCTTTTAACTGCGGTAAAAAGTCGAACGAAGAGACAATGAGGTATTTTTTCTGAAACTGCACCAGAACAATCCCCGCTCGCCAGAGCGAATCGCGGCATCGCTCTTTTGTCTGTATGGTCAAAATTTTGACTAAACTCTCGTGGTTTGGAATAATTTAGACATAAATCATACCGTAGAGAAGGAAATAGTTTCCTGGGCGAATAAACATGATCATGGCATATTTGAGCAGTTTGTGCTTGCATTCTAACTCTCTTAGTTCAGTACATAAGGGTCGAGTTGTCTTGTTTGTTTGTTCGGAAGAAAGGAAACAATCGCGCGCGAAAGCGTAAATCAAATGATTACCACAATTGTGTTAAGCGTCAAAACAGGACGTTTGTAGCATGATGTATTGTGATATCGGTTCGGCATGAGTAGCGCTAAGTGCTTTTAGTTTATTTATTTAATAAATTTTCATTGAAATGCGAAGTTTGCCCAGAAAGCCAAAAGGAGCCATTAGTTAATGGTTGACCCTAAGAGTTCTAACATATCGCCCGTTGCAACTATACTGACTGAGTAAATTTGGTTCAAGTTTTTTCGATGTTTCCCGGCAAAAATTCGCGCTATGTTGTACCCTAATCCAAAGTTTTAAAAAAAAAACAAAGTCAGAGTTACCTGTTCATGAAATATATCTTATTAAACGTTTTGGTGAGTAGTATCGCTGATTATTTTTATGAGTTCTACCGTATTTTGACGAGCCCGTAGGGCGAGCCAAACTACAAACAACGAGTTGAAATATTCAGCGATACTACACATCAAAACGTCTCATAAGTTATTTATTACACAATTTTTTTTCTGCTAAATCTTTCTGTTCATTTCTCATGAGGCGGGAAAAGCAAAGTGGGTGGAGAAACGTAGGGCGCGCAGCCGACTTGTTAAACAGGTTTTTTACAGTACAAAATAACCAATTGTCTAAATAACCGTACAGTATTACAGGGTATTTGTGCTCTTTTGGCGCGTTATTTGTACTCTTCTTTGAGCAGTTGGATAATAATAACTCTTCACGAACAAAAAGCTGTCATAGATCAATGAAGTTTCCTTGAATTCGTAATGAAAATTGAGCAAAATTACCGAGAGTTTGTGACTTCAAGTGTAGAGTAAACGGATTTGCCGGTTACCGTGAACGACCAAAATACGCACTATTTAAACAGCCTTCACTTCAATCCTAGACAAAAAACGCGAGTATGAAAGTTAAGGTCGAAAGAAATTTATTGGTTTTTTTGCAATAGAAACTAACCATTACAAAGCTTCAGTGGAAAAAAGTGACATTGACCATTTTGTCTTTCTTGTTTCGCAGACCTGCAGACAGAACAGGGGAGGATCTGGATATTATTTTCGCCAGATTTAAGGTACTATGTTTTCAGCTTTGTTCCCATTGGTGATCACGTGAAGCATGTATGGTTATTTGGCTAAAAACCGCACAGCGATTTGTGGGAAAATTGGCGGGAAAAACATTCCTCTCAATTGGCCAGAATCATCCTCGTGCTCAGGACAGTTGGCGGGAAATTGCGATAGTACTTCTGTTTCAACAACTAAATTATTAGAGCATTCATTTGACAATTTTCAGTCTTTCGTTCCCGTTTGCTGCTTAATTTTACGTCCTTCTGTTCTTATTTCACAGAATCTGAAGGCATTTGAGCGTTTCAACCACGCAGTTCTTCACCAAATTTGTTACTATGGTTACTATCAAGACTTGGAGGAAGGAATCACTCGTAAGTTGTGAAGGATGCAGATATCCCCCACCCACCCCACCCCACCCCACCCCTTGAAACTTGAAAAATGCTAAGCAAAAGACATCTTAACGTTAGACTGATAGTAAATATTTCAAATTGATTCGTATTTTGACCCTTTGACTCTTGAGTGACCCGTATCTAACTTCTCTCTACAATATCACCCCAGAATAATACACTAAGGTAACGAGAATAAAGGAAATGATCACCAACTGAAGAACCTCTTGATTGTTAAACAAATTATCCCTGTCAGCAGCCCAAGAAAAGTACAGAGAACAGTATCGAGAATATGCATGCTGATGTTAAGGTATATGGGGTGAATGGATATTAACAGCATAGTGGAGTAAGCCTTTCTTTTACTGTGGTGATTAAACACTGCTCCGTTTGTTTATCCTTTTTCTTTCTCAGTGTATCGTCAAGGTGACATTGGCTGTTACTGGTACGTTGTCCTCGCTGGAGCGCTTGAAGTTCGTGCATCGAAAACCGGAAAATATGAGGTGCGTCGTTTAACGCGAGTAAAGATGATCAAACTCCATGCAACATTTTCTCTGATGGAGGTTTATTTGTACGCACGTACGGACCTATAACTTAGGACCACAACTACGCGTTGTGATGTTTTAAATTTGTCCGCAACATTTTCATATAAAGAATGCTAACATTTTACTTGAACTCAATCTCTTCGCTGTTACAGGTTTTGCATTGAGTGAGGTTAGTGTAGCGTCCTCCTAGAGAGGACAGTCGAAGAAAATTAATGTCTATAGAGATTGTCAATTCCTCTAATTTCGCAGGATGCTGAAGCCATTTGCACTCTCGGCCCCGGAAATTTTTTCGGCGAATCAGTACTGGATGACTCACCCAGGTGAGTTAAGGAGTGGTTATGCGCCTGTTTGTTCTAGTCCACCTCAGTTCTTGTAACTAACAACCATAAAATAATAAAAAAAATGCTCTTTGATTTTCTTTCTTCTATTTTAGGCCTGTTTTCTTGATGAATTTTTTTTTTCAGACGCTCCACAGTCATCACAAGCGAATTTTGTGAGCTTTTGCTGATAGAGAAGAAATTCTTCCGTACTATTTGGGAGGTGGGTTAAATTTAACCCTTGTCACAATAATATATTTTTCCACGCCACAGTGTCCAAAAAAGATCTAAAAGAAATAATTTTTTATTTTCAAATCTTTTCCAGCGAAACAAGCAATTTCTAGAGGACATTATACCCAGTCCCTCATCTACCCCTGTCGGAGAACAAAGTGAGTTTTAAAATCTTACTCTCCTTGTGGTACTGAGACTTCTATGTTAAGCGGGCTTTATTTACTCAAGCACTCAGTAAGAGGCCTGGTTTCAAATTTGGGTCATTCATCTTGAGCTACAGATCGCAGAAAATGCGCATGAGTAGAACAAGCTAAATAAGTATATGACTGAATATCATCTTAAAGGGTGACCCATTGAAGATCTCGTTCTTTCCATGGCCTTCATTTAGGCCACAGAAAAAGGAAAATGTTTTTTTTCCCATTTAAGTCAGCGAAATTTTCTGAAAGCAAGTATCGTAAACAGCAACTGAAGAACACTCAATTTTCAGTGTGTACCTAAGACAAGTTGCATTGGTCTTTCTCAATCTAGGAAAAGCTTTCATTACATCTTCATTCACATACTTTTTCTTTTGTCAGACAATAATGAGCAACTTCCTGAAAATAATACGGTGGAGGGTAAACCATCCAAGACAGTGGTGAGTAAGCTTGATTCGTCTTTGTCCCATGAATTCAGCTACGGTATAAGAGCGGTACAACGGCGAAGCGTGATTTTTAAGAATGCGACACTTAGCCAGCCAATCTCATCATCTGACAGGAGCAGAAGAGGGGGGATTCACAATTAAAAATTGCCACAGGCCTTACATGGTTACATAAAGGCGGTTTGAACCACTGCTCTTTCTTACGTGTCAACGGGCATGCAGTCATGCAGCGAAAAGGATCGGATTCGCGTGCTTTTGCACGGTTATCGCCCCACCTCTACGGAAAAGACTGCAAAATGGTTCCAACGATAACACCACTTCTGTATATCACCGCGTTGAATAACCACACGTTTTTCTCCCCACAGTACTCACCTGAGGCACTCAGAAATGGTGGACTGGTCCTGCGTTTTGCAATGCTTCGTCACCAGTCTCCAAAACTGATCCGTGATCGAGAACTTGATAAACGCAAGGTGTGCAGATGCTTCGTTGGATCGGAAGCGGTCGATTGGCTGACAAAAATCAGCCCAATGGTTCATGGTCGATTTCATGCCATCGCTATGCTTCAGGCGCTTTTGGAAGAGGGAGTCATTACTCAAGGTGGGGGACTGATACCGAAAAATACTATCTTGGTCACGTTTGTTGGAAACCTTGTCTTTTCACGAGAAATAAACCTAAAAATGCGCATTCCTCAATTATCTTTCTCTCCTATCAATTTTTAAGGCTTTGGAAGTATATTTATTACTTAAAAGCTTTTTGGTGGTCCGTTGGCAACGTTTTATCTGAGTTAAGAAATCTGAAGAGCCCTTTGGAAGCATACATTTACTTACAGCGCGATAAAGCTTTTGCATGGCCTTTTACGGCCATTTTGGGAACCAATATTTTTCCAGGTTTTTCGAAAAACGCACTTCAGGCACTCACTCTAAATAAGAGAAAAATAATTATAATTTTCCAGTTCGTTATTCCAAGGGAATTGAAACTCTTCCGAACTTTTACTTCGCTCGTCTGTTCCTCGAACCTGAGTCCCCTGAATGTCTCTTATCGTTCCTGCAGTGGGCCATGGGTATGAATTCAAAGACCAAGACATTCTTTATCGCTTTGTTATGGACGAGAATGATAATGAGAGGCCTGGAAAAGAGGCATACAGTGAGGAAGACCTGGATGATGTACTGCTCATGCTCAGTAGGTCCGGATTGGATGCACAACTGAGAATGGCTCTCAGAAAACCGTGAGTTGTCACCAAAACATCCTGTCATGTTGTCTTTTGATATGCGTGAAATTGTTTCTGTTTCTCGTTATAAGGTAGATCACATGATGAAATTCTAGAGGGAAAAATAAAAGAGATTTTTTTTCCAAGCTGAGTAAGTCACCGTAAAGTTGTCTGGATGCGACCTTGGAAAGCTGGGTCTAACGCACGAAGTCGAGGTTTACTGGTTAACCTACTTGGAGATATGTTATGAAACAACAAACTCGTCTTTAAAGAAAGATGTTTTTCGTTTTGTCACGAGCGTGGGACAAAGAAAAAATTCTGAGTCCCCATGAGGAATCGAACCTCAGACCATCGGATGTCAAATCCTTTTGTTTTTTGTTTTTTGTTTTTTTTTTGATGTTCCATGACCTAAATGGAAAACAGCTCTTGCAGGCACTAATTAAAAGAAAAGAAAAACCAAACAGAACGCGTCAAACAACTAAATTAAGCTTTGCGAGCTTATTTTTACTTATTTTTAAACGAAGTTTACATTAAGCCTAGACTTAGTGAAAGTCGTTGCATTCGACCTAGTTTCCTTGGCTCACGATCAAGGGCCATAGTTTGATATGCCTGAATAAACGCCAGAGTTAATACTTATTCTTGTTTTCTCATTCCAGTGCTATGGAAAGAACTCCAGACGACTTATCTTTAATTTACGATGAACTCATGCATGTAAAGGCTCTTCAATATCTTTCAACCATGGTGAGAATTCTATTTTCATCGTGGAGCACTGCATGTGGTAAAAATTCAAGGCAGTTTCGCTTTACTTTGCAACTCAGTTGAACAGTTGTGTCGTCAGTCTGAGTTACATGTCATTTTTAACTCATATTCTTTTCATCGTCAGGTTAAAAAAGAACTGTCATACGCTTTTGTGTTGGAATCCAGTTTCAAAAAGGGAACTGTGCGTAAGTGTTTAATAGTAGGGAACTCTGACAGATTTCCAGCCTCCGATTGCGTAATTGTTTAGTTACTAAGATTTGAAACTGGAATCTCAGAATTCGCGCGAGTTTCTTGACCAATCACATAGCCAAGGGGATGAAAACCAATACAATCCTGTATCAAAGAGGGTAAGTTTCTAAAGAAACTGTGGTGCTGCGTCGGTGGGGGAGTATATCAGGGTAATTTGGTTTTATTAACTGAGTTGATAATGTAAGTTGGCTACCGTAAAGAGTTTCAAAGCGTTAAACATCGTCAGAGTTATATTACCTTCACACCCAGTTGATAAGTTATTGCATCGATGAATTTGAAATGAAATTTTTCAGTCATGAAAATTACAATCGAATCGCTTACCAAATACTGTCATCTTTTTTTATTTTTATTTCTTATCTATATGAAGTTTTCAGCGAAGGAGAAGAAGGGATTTCCTGGTACATAATACTGAAGGGCTCAGTGAATGTCGTGGTTCATGGAAAGGTAAGGAACATTGGACTACCTTGCTCTCAGCTCCGATTCTGAAGACCTTAAATTTGCTGTCCAATGTAACGAAAGTACATTCTATATTTTCATTCTTACTAAGGGTGTGGTGTGCCAACTGAATGAAGGAGACGATTTTGGAAAACTAGCACTTGTAAATAACGCTCTGAGGTAAGATCTGTCTCCTTTGACAGATGATGTGGTAATGTGGTAAGAAACAAAAGTTGCTCACGAGGCGCAGCTGTGTGTACCATTTTTGTTTTTGATCACATTTTGGCGTCTTTGGTGATCTGTTGCTAAACTGATGCACGGCAACATGAAATGTATTTGTTTCATATGATAAAAAGGCAAAATTTTGTTAATGGTGACGTCATCTGTGCGTCTTACCTCCAATAAATCATAAGTAACATTGGCAGATCCAGACCTTAAGCTAAGGGGGGGGGGCAGTTTTTTACGGCTCTCCCTGCCGGCTTTTCTCCCTTCTGGGATTCTTTTCTTTTTACCCAAAATGGGGGGGCCCTCCGTGCCCCTCCTCAAGATCCGCCGATAGGTAAGAACCGATCGGAAGGCGACCCTTTGAAATCTGTTTGCATTCCTCGATTAAGATGAAATGTACGTTGTAAATATGATCAGTAAGGTCACAGTCTTCAAAACATCTCTTACAGAACCGCCACAATAGAAACTTCTCAAGACATTTGTCATTTCTTGAAGATAGGAAAGAAAGACTTTAACAGAATCCTTAAGGTATGAAACTTTTTCTCACGATCACTGAACGAAATTTAGTGACCCACCGAATACCTACTAGCTAATCGACTGACCGTACGATATAGCGATCAACCGACCGAATGCTTGACAAGCCGAACCTTAGCCGAACTAAAACCGAATAGCCGAACTGCCGAATAACCGACCATCAATTGGTTCGTTCATTCATTCACTCACCCACCCGACCTTTTTTTTTTTTTTTTTTTTTTTTCCAAGGACGTGGAAACAAATACTGTTCGTCTAAAAGAACACAGAAAAGATGTCCTTGTCTTGGAAAAGATTAACATACCTAACATGTTTGGAGAAGATAACAGCCAAACTCACATTCCGCAGATTCAAAAGTAAGGAGAGATCTGTAAGGGGCTAATTTTACGACCAAGATATCGGAGTGCTTTTAAAGACTCATAACAACCCTATAATCTATAGTAATAGAAAAAGTGTTGTGCCAATTTACCAGTAAAATATATCTGCTTGTCAACGCCGGAAAGCGCCCACACTCGGTTGGCTACCCGTGTGCTTTTCAGCCCCATTAATATTGAAACTGACGGGCTTTTTTGATAACGGAGCTCGGAAATGGCTTTTCTGTGACCCTAGGTAGATGAGCAACTCGGCGAGAGGTCGGGTAAGAGTCCAGCGTTGATTAGTAGTGCCAGACCCCTGCAAACCTCTCCTCCGACTCTCCTTCACGAGACTACCTTCATTCGCGCGATCAGACTACGCAATCAAGAGGGCCTGAATGGGATGTGACTTTTACGGCTAAAGGTTAAAATTTTGGCCATTTTACGATGAATGGTTGACATCATTTTATTGTTATCACCAGTAAATATTTTTATGGTTAACTTTTTCACGGTTTGCGATTAAAATTTATAATTTTTTTCGCTTAACGGTTAACATTTTTGGCCATTTTACGGTTGACGGTTAACCACATTGAGACTCTCGGTCTAGATAAAGTATTCTACAATTAAATTTATAGATATTCCGTGATGGCTGGTACTCCAGAGAAAATGGTGGAATATCTCTTAGAAACAAGAATGGACAATTCCAATACAAATAACTTCGACGGTAAATGAAAAAATGTGTTCACTGAATTCCATTTTTATTTCACAGGTTAGATTGGTATTACTAAAGGCATTCTTTTGTTGTTGTTGCTGTTGTTGTTATTTTTCAGATCATTTTTTGAACGACTTTCTGATCGCTTTCCCAATATTTATGACCACGGAGGCATTATGCCGCGAGTTGCTGTCCAAATATCCTTTTTATTAGAAAGACTGTTGTCACGGTATTTGAAACGTCGACTGAGGTACAGACATATAACTCAGTAACTCGGCAGCGACATGATTATGCTACCACAGTGGTTTCAATCGTTGGATCTAATTAAGTTGCACCAAATTCCAATTGCTCTCAGAGACAACCATACTTCAAGTTTTGAATACATTAAGACAATTCTTAAATGCAGTCCGCCACACAAGAGAAACCCGTTTAAACTAAGTCCTGGGGCCACCAAACTGAATGGTTTCAAACTTCTTAGCATTTCTGTCGAATCAATTTTGGTCCGGAACATTAGCGCGACGTTTGAACTCAACAAAGAAAAGTGATAATATTAGGGACATTATAAACAGCTAGGACGACAACGCTGAGGAAGGCGTCGATTGAAAAATGAAGATGTATTATTATTTAAAATTTCGCGAATGGGTGGATGTGTTTACCGTCTCTTTCCGTTCCATGCTAATTTTGGTGATTTCACGTTGTTGTTTAGCAGTGGATGGATATGAAATGTACAAAGGTTTAAAACGCACGTGCTGAGCTAGTCCTAGTTGCCGTTGCTGTCGTGGTTCGCTTAAATCTCATTTCAAAATGTTACAGTCCTTAATCATTCTTACCTACAACAGAACCAACTGTTTTATAATCGGACAAGACGAGACCAGAAATATCACTGCTGAGCACAAAATGGCCATCAAAAGAAGGTAGGCTTTTCATGTAACTTGTGAGAGTAAAAAATTGGTTAATTTATATGTCTCTGTGTGTCTCCTCGTGGAAATAATAAGCGTTGGACTGACGGTTAATGCCGTACTCCGGACTGCAGCTATGCCCTGGACTCATGGCCGGCATATTTGGAACACGATGCATGAAAATCACCTCCCAAACCTTGGAGGTGCTCAGAGATTAAAAAAAAAGGGCGGGGGGGGGGGTGGGATACTTAAAATGAACTTCAACCTTCCCCAGAGGAGTGGAAATATAACTTCACTTCACGTTCTGTGAATATCTGGCTTCCATTTGAGAAAACAAGGTTTTAAACTTCTCAAAGACAATTTCAAAGAGCTAATTACAAGCCACGGTTGAGCAGGTTGCCGTTTTGCAGGGTTGTTCAGATGACGCTCCGCTGGTGTTACTTGGCTGGGAATCTATTCTTGGAAAACCAATGTATTTTCAGGTTCATTGAGGTAAGAATACCCTAAATGCTAATTTGTTTTACATACCGTGGTGATAGGATTTTGAAGCGAAATTATTTCAATAAATCTCAACAGGCACGCATATTCAGTAAAGTAGGTAACACTAACACTTCACTATCGTCAGTTCAGTGTATCACTTGGTCTAGACTTCGAACAAGGGAGAATCTGTGATAAGCATTGCTCCGATTGGGAAAGCCGAGGGAAAACTCGCCTGTAGAGAATTCCTTTTTTTTTCCACAAGTTTCACACTCGTTCACTCTTGCGCGAGACTCGCGCTTCGCGTTCGCCCTTTGTCCGGGCGGAGGGAAGGAAAAAAAGGAGTTAATATGAATAATTATAACCAACACTTCAGCTTTAGAATTCCTTTTTATATTTATAACAATTTCCTCTCATACAGGAATTGATGGATTATCTAGAGACAGATGAGCTTTTCAATGAGTTTAACCTCCTCAAGACAGCCATGCGGACACTTAAAGAAAGGTACATGAGTTTTCGCACAGTACAGGCCGATAAAGATAGATTAAAGATAAATATTCGAGATACAATAACCGTGACACGACAGCAAACTATCTTGACATGAATTTTTCCTTGCATTTCTCACAGATACCCCACCGATGACCTTATCGATGGTAAAATTTTCGCTCCAGTGGTAAGCAAAATGAGGGCAAGATCCTCTTGAAGGTCACTTTAATGTAGTCAATAGATGATGTTGTTAATTTGATTGGAGTGAACTTTTTCTCTTGTATCATAGCGCCATAGTCCACATCGTCGAATGGGCCTCGCTAATATCACAAAAGCCATCAGAGACTACAAGTCAATACGAGGAATCGATCAAAGTGAGTACATATTTATCAGACAATGCTTTTCAATTATATAAGTTAAGAGCTTGTAACAGCAGAAAAACGGACCAACACCTGAGGGAAGGGTATGGGATGAGACGGATGGGGGGGGGGGGGAAAGGGAGCTCCACTTCACGAGGAAGTAAATCAAAGTTATTGTCGAACTAACAAGAGCATAAAGACCTCATTAAAGGTACCCACTTATTAACAGGTTAACCCAAGGTTACTTTCCCCCTGTTGGCATGTGGCTACCACACTTTCCACATCGTACTTCTTACCCCTTACGCTCCACACCTTTATCGTCTCCTACATAGATGTCTTGATACCGCCTCACCCCTTTTTCCCTCCCCCCGTTTCTCTTTCTAATCTGTCTGTCTGTCTCTCTCACCATACCTCGTCCCCAGTCCCATGCGCCACAGCCCTATCGTTCCGTCGCCCTCTAAAGTTTCTTCCTTCCTGTCTCTTTCATCTGTTTCTATTCCTTCGCTTATGCCCGCGGATGAATACTGTAGTCACTAGTTTTATGCTTTTCGCATTACAGATATTTTTCGAGTCTTCTGTGCCGATCATACATACACTACAGTAGCTTTGCCTTATAACGCCACAGCGCAGACCATTATTAACGCCGCAGAGGAGCGTGTTCTGCTAGGCGATGACTGTATCCTGTGCGAGGTCAAATCTTCAGGAGGTAGGTGCTTCCTTTTACTGGTGTTGCCGATGAAGTGCAAAAAATATGAGCCTTCTTTTTGTATAACCGTGTCAGAAAACGTTTTAACCGTCTTATTAGCAAAAAATGAAAAGTTGAGAAAAGGAGCAAAAAAACGTTAACTCAAAAATTTAAGGTGTTCTCGGAAACTGATGAACACTTTAAAAATCGACCATCGATTATTTTCGCTCACGTTTGATCTAGGTGTGTTACGTGGCTGAAAACGCCCCGCTAAACTGTGATATATTAGGCGATATTCCCTAAGGGGTATTCCGCGATAATCGCTTTATACCAAATGCAATGAAAGTTTTCGTTTCGTATGTTTTAAAGTAGTTACTTCCTTTACCTTTTGTAGAACGCGTACCTTTCAAACCAAACGAAATATGTGTCACAACCGGACTAAGTGTTAACGGAAGATTGTTTATCGCGCCACGGGAACACTTGGACTCACTGGTAAGGATAAAGCTGAATTCTTACGAGCCTTGTCGTTTATTGTAATTACTACTCGAGATTACTCTGGTTTTCTGAATAATAAGCACCCAGACCAAGATTATTGCTATGGCTTCTACCAAACGGAATGCTAATATATAGCAAGGTACCCCCACAGATTCATCAATTTTTTTCTCTGGCAACAAAAGTTTGCTAGAACCATTAATGCGCTTGGTTGTAGAGAGGCACTGGGAGAGAAACGCGTTTTGCCCAACAACACAACACAATAACCTAGTCGGGAATCGAACCCGGACATGGCGACCCAGTGTCAAAGGTGCCAAACCCTAGGTCCTCGCGTTTCTTATTGGTCAGCGCTACAGACCCCGAAAAGGGAGGTGAAAACAGTTTCTATATGAAACTTCTATTAAGACCTACTTCAACTGGTGCTGAGATATCCATACAAATTGTGCTCTTTTTATCTACCCCAGACTCCTACTCCTGAGCAGGAAGGACCGTCAACCAGTAACCTCACATTTCTGGAGTCAGTTGGATCCAAAGAGCTTGCGTATTACATCACACAGTACGACTATGAGCTGTTCAACGCCGTTAACATTGTGAGTATCTCAAGTTTTGTCTGACAAGTTGAGATTGCGGAGTTGCTTGCGTTTAAACATTGCGAATTAACAGCCATCTGTAAATTGTTACAATTTCATTAAATTTCCTGATCTGTAAGAACCTCTTTGATTTTATTTGCAGCATGAATATATATTCCGCATCTTTGGCAAAGAGAGCCACAAACAGATCACAGCAAATCTTGATTTGCTTCTCAGAAGATTCAATGAGGTGACAAATTTCTTTACGCTTTTCGCACGGTATTATGAGTGTATTTCTTCACTTGATTGCATTCTGATTGGCTTGAAGGTAAACTCCAGTTTGAGTGTCATTATGATTTCATCTTTTAGGTCCAGCTTTGGGTCGAAACACAGATTCTTCTCACTCAACATCTCAACAAGCGGGTTTATCTCTTGAAAAAGTTCATCAAGTTGGCCGCACAGTAAGTGATTCCTTAAAGAAATTTCCAATTGAATGTCGAAGGTCATCTGAGATTACGTTGATTTTAACTCTACTTCACCTTGTGATTGGTCGAGAAAATTAGCGTCCCCCTCCCAACCAATCAGATGCAAGGCTAAAATCAATCGCGACCTGGTCACCCGAATTTTCCCGCGCTTCTGGTCGCTCGTTTTAACTAGGACTTATGATTGGGCCCTTGTGTAATTTTCCATACTTTGATTGGCTGTTTTGGTTACTTTAGTTTTTGTTTGACGACAGCCTATCGAAATAAATCTGATTCGTCAATAAAACTCGCTGTTATGACCCTTTTTTTTCTATTGCCTTGTAGCTGTAAAGAGTACAACAATTGGTATTCATTTTTCGCCGTTGTTATGGCATTAAACAGTGTTGCAGTCAGTCGCTTGTCTCAGACATGGGAGGTAAGTGGGAAATGGTTGCTTACATGGGTTGCGTTCATTTTCTCGCGGAAAAAAATTTGACTTTTATGATTTTATTTGTAAATATGTTAAACGTTTAATATGTTTGAGCTCAAACATTGCAAGAAAAAGATATCGTGAAATTAAGTCTTTGTCAACAATGGTCCCCTCTGGAAACATTTGCTGAATTTTTTTTTTAAACTATACCTTCTTTTATTGTGTCGTCAGAAATTACCGAGCAAGTTTCGTAAAATATATGAAGAGTTTGAAGGTATCTTGGTAAGGACATTTCATTTCATTACTCCTTTAAACAAATTTATTTTAACTTTATATGTTGAAAAAGCACCATTTATTAGTTGTGGGTTATTTAGTAGTCAAGTAAAACAATTAATTGCTTCAACCGTCAAAGCTGAATAGAACACATGGATATGTTTCTTTTAAAGGAGCCTTCTAGAAACCATCGAGTTTACAGGCTTTTAGCTGGTAAGTTTCTTATTAACTGTGTAACTTTTTACACTGCAACAGGCAGGGGCGTAGTCAGGGTTTTCAAAGGGGGGGGGGGAGTTAAATTGTGTCAGACAGAGGGTACTCACCAGATTGTCATGATGTCGAACTCCACGCCATGTTTTACTCAATGTGAAAAAAAGGCTTACAAAGGGGGTAGGGGGTTAACGTGCACCCCACTAGCTACGCGTTTGAATAGGCAAAGGTATAACGTTAAGTTTGCACTCAAGCCAGTAGCCCATTCAGGCGGAGCTTATCCCCTTCTCCGTAGCATGAAGCGGCGACAAGAAGTATTAATACACCCCCCATGGGATGCCAGTCCATTTCAGGTTACCCCCGCACATTTTGTCAAGTGTCCCTGACAATCTGCTAGTACCGATTTATACTCCTAAGTGAAGAGAGGGACTGTGAAAGTAAAGTGTTTTGCCTAAGCACTTAACACAGTGACCTGGCCAAGTCTGTTACCCAGACCTCCCGCGTTTAGCGTGCAAACCGCCAGGCCGCCTCGTTTCTCAATACAGTGAGGTGCTATAATTTTATTCAATTATTTTGGTAGGAAAAATGAAGCCACCCATATTGCCTTTTATGCCTCTTCTGATAAAAGGTATGTTTGTTTACAAAGTTGAACTTTATTTCATTAACGTTCAGTTTTCTAGTTGTAAAAAAAGCTTCACTTTGCTCATTTGTTTCTCTGTTATGTACTTGAATACGTGATAGTCACAAATCGAATATTGAAAAAACAAAGTTAGGGATTTGTTTTTATTTCTAGACATGACGTTCACTAACGTAGGAAATAAAACGCAATTTGATGATCTGGTGAACTTTGAGAAAATGGTGAGCAGCTATTTTTGTTATTGCTTTTTTTCCCTTTTCTTTTCTAGTCCATGGATGTGGGGTTAAATGTGTCGCATTATTCTTGTTGTCAAATCAACAAAAGATTCCACGTTACCTGCGTCTGTTCCATAATACATCACCTGAGACGCAAAATAAGGTGAGAACAAAACAGAGGCACTCAAGGCGCAGCCGAGTGTGTCACTGATGTTCTTAGCATATTTTGACGTCTTTGAACAGACTCGTGGCAACCTGGAATCTATTTGTTTCAATTAATCAAGAAGTTACATGTACAGTTGTTCATGGGGACGTCATTTATGCGTCTATCCTTCAATAGATCATAAGTAAGAACCAATAAAATTACACGTAGAATTCAGCTTAGAGTTTAAACGTAGATGTCAATTATTATTTTTATTTCAGAGAATGATCTCTTCTACTATTCGTCTTATCCAGTATTGTCGCAGCGAGCCGTTCAGTAAGTACACCTTGAATCGAGATAAGGGACTGACTAAATGGGTCATGGGGGCACTAAACTGTGAAGCTCATCAGAAAGTAGGAAAGACGAATGATAAAAAATGAATGGACCAATCAGAGTGCATGACTCACAGACAAGATAACTATGCAATTCGTCACGCTAAGAGTGTCACGCACTCCGTAGATTTCGCAGTATAGTTTGCCTCATTACTATTGACTATAACTAAATTTCGGTAATAGCAAATAGAATTTTAGTTTTGTGGCACTTATAGGGGAAACTTTCCTATGAACGACCAGGCCCGTGGTTCTGACTGACTTCACAAATAAATGTTGATGACGGCGGTCACACAAGGTCTGTTCGTGATCTTATTTCTCGCGAATTTATGAAATGATCATGTTTATTTTTCTTTACTTAGAGGCTGAACCTCCAACTCAAGTGAAAATAGCTCAGGAAATCACTATTTTTGTGAGGTATGATTGATGTGTCACATGATAAACTTTCCAGACAATGGAATAGATTTAAACCGCACATGAAACACACAACCTTTTTTAAAAGCTCAAAGCCCAAAATCTTGTAATCTTTAAACTCAAAAAAGTGTTAAGTTTTCCTTTTTCCTTCTTTTTTATCCTTTTACATCATATTTCGATTAACCTTTCGTTTGGATCCATTTTCGCATGCCCGACGTTGACCCCCGTGCCATTGAAATACAACAACTGCCAGGTCACTTTTTCGGCATGTGGCTATGTTATATGATTGACATAAAAGCCGACAAGAATTGTGATTTTTCTAGCGAAATGCAACTAGACCGATTTCCCCATTTTTTTCCAATCTCACGCGGTAATCCTCTCTTTCCACAGGAATTTCAACGTTATAGACAACGAGCGCATTCTTAACCAGTTCTCTCACAGATTGGAGCCCAAAAAAAACTAAGTAATCCTTGTTGATCATTTAACGATGCCTTCAACAAATTCCTCGGCCAATCAAGTTTGACAGCGGTATATGTGGACAGTGGTTCATCAGCTTGGTGACAACAATTCGATATAGTTTGTCCTTACGTGTCAACAGAGAGAGCAATGTGGCGAATTTCTGCAATTGACTGTATTTTCTGGTAAATTTCACATTTTCTTTTTAAACTCCTTTTTTTAAATATTGGCGTTAAGGGTCGCGTACAGATAATTCAAACACTGATAGATAAATTTCTGACGCCATTTCGAATTGAAAATGATTAGAACATTTTAAAAGTTTTATGATATTTTAACCTCAGAAATAAATAAATTTATTACTACTGTTAACAGGTGTTTATTTGTTATATGGCCTTATCAAGAAGTCCTTACCCTGGCAAAATAAACCGCGAATCGCCATTGGATTCCTCGATTACCAATGCGTGTTGTATAGATGCCAAATATCCCGGATTATCCGGGACTCTTCCGCATACACAAAGAACCATTTCGACTCTTAAACGACCAGCTTAATTTCCCTGATAGAAGTGACTTTAAACACTTCTTCTATAAACGAGGTGTCTTTTAGTAATTTTAATCTGTATTTAAATATTTGGGTTTTTCTTCTGAAGAATGGTTGTATTTTTTGTGATGTTTTTCTCAAGTGGATCCTGGCAGCGTCTTCGTTTTTTGCGCAGAAGCTGGAAGTAGAAGGGAGGAGGATTGGGGAGAGAGAGGACTGAACGAAAATATTTCCCCTTAGGCCCTTTGCAACATGAAGTTGAATTTATCATTAAAATTTTCCATGATTTACATCAATGATTTATAAATTACGAGGCACGTGCTAGCTAAAACAAAAAATTGGGCTTAAATCTCAGAAATTTCATTATGAAATCTTTATTGCTGGATCTCCTATACTCTTTACGAGTAGTAACTCACCTGAACTACCATCAATAGAGTCTTACAGCACCATACGTACACCTTCATTTTGGCATTTTTTGTTATTTCCATTACTAATAAATGGGTAAATTGTGAACATACAGTGTGGTGCCTTGAAAGATATAAATTATCTCACAGAAATAATTACATTACATTTTTGCACTCTTCTCGAATGGAACTATTCCGATTTAAAACGATATCTTTAATATCTGATATAAGAAAAATCAGAATGTAAAGCTCTCTGAGCTGAATATGTAGTCAGTAGCCTTAAATTTAGATAACTCAGTCTTTGACTCTTACTTTGCTATTCAACTGGGAGAACAAAGCAAGTGCGGTTTTACGGTAAACGTTATCTATCAATTATTAATTAAATACAAATGGAAAAACATTAAAATTCAGCTGAAAAATAAAATAGGTGAGAGAATTATTCAGGCACTGAAATTTTTAAGGGATATTTAGCAGTCTAACAAGCATCAACGAAACAAGGCTCGCAGAGGTTGGTGAATACAAAATTAGATAGAAGAGAAACGTGGTGATTGACTTGCCACATCTCACGTCAGGATTTCTTGGTTGCCTATTAAATTTGCGACAGGCGGGCCTCTAAAAGGATTTCGTAAAATTAATAGCAAATGTACATTTTATGTTTTCAAACGTAGAAAATTATGAAATTTATGAAAAAAACCGTCTGTCATGGATAGATATAGAATATTACAACATTTGAATCAAAGGTGAGAATATGGTATTGCATGCCTAAATGTGGATAAAAGTATATTTTTTAAGCAAATGAACGCGAGGGAAACTGATTTTTCTAGGACTATGATCTGGTGAAAAACTTCCTGAAAAGTTGCCGAATATGATGGAGACGTTCGATTGCTTAAACGGAGAGAGAAAAGGGAGTTTTAAGATTGTCATCTTTTAAGGCACGAGACAATTTTGAAAAAATACTGGTTAATTTTCAAATTTATTTAAATTAAAATGTTTAATTCTAAAAACATAAGTTAATCTTAACGAATGCTAATACTGGAGTACATGCGCAAATACTGTTTTTTGGAAAAGGTTTCGGTCTCACCCAGGCATGTCCAATCGTCTACCTCCCAATGAAACACACAGTTAATTTTCAATATTCGACTATCACAATGGGAGACAAGCACCGGAGAATATTTTATCGAGCTAATTTTCCAGACTCTGTTAGAGAATCATGTAGCTATGCTTTAAGGAATAAAATCGTTTTTTCATTTCCTCAATTTATAAGTACCGCAGCCATGACTCACACGATCTACATGGGGTTCCTGTGCATCTCTTTAGTGTTGGTGGTAATGTGCGAAACTTCTGCCAAAAAAGGCATCCGTGAAGAAACACAAAAGGAGAAAAAAGTACATTTGAAGGACATATTTAGTGGCAGGATGAAAAGGTATGAAAATATTGTGGAGCCGAGTTTTAAAGATAATCAAGAGAGTAAATATAGGTAATAAAGATCAATTTTAAAAAAATCAAATAAACCTTATAATAATAATAGTGTGGACATGGCAAGACCCTGGGTTGCTTTTTCTAACCCGAGTTGAATTTCCACAATGGGTCTGAACCCTTTTGCGGTCAAATAGGCCGGTCACAACATCCTTCCCCTCACCCCCAGAAGAGTTTAAGATCTGCAAAATGACGATGAAATAATTATGTTCGTTGTTCTTTTAGACAGTTAGAAGAGCTTTGTCAACAGTCACCTGCAGGTTGTATCATGCAATCTGAATTTTCCGAGGATAGTACGCAAAATGGAAAGAGAAAGAGAAAGAAGAGCAAGAAGGAAAAAAAACATGGAAGCAGAGGGAGAAAAAACAAAAGGAAGATGTCAACTTCGAGCGAAATAAACCAAGAGACGGATGAAACCTGTCCTTATGTGGATCCACCGACAGACGATGAAGATTATGAAGAGGATGACGGCAGCGAGTGTCTGAAAACTCAACAAATAATTGGCGATTAAAACGATGAAATGTTTTTTCATCCTAAGATCAAAATTGTATTAATTTTCATTAATTTGCGATCAATTATTTTCAATTAAATGTCACCTTTAATCCAGAGTTGACTTGGTTTTGCTCTTATTCCCTCTGTGACTAATCGAAAAAACTTGCGTGCCCCTCCTCTTAGCATGGAAACAGGCCCTCAGCATTGGCGTTGCAGGATACACGCTTCTTCTCCCGCGCGGGAAGATTTGTAAAGAGGTCCGCCAGGAGTCTGGCCTTTTCGAAGCTAAATCAATTGCGGACCTCTCGCCTCTATGCGTTGCTCATAACTTCCCTTGGGTAAAGAAACGCTTTTGCTTAAGCACTTATGATAAGGCTGGCTCGCAGTGTTTTTGTCGGACTGAGAAATAGATTTGCAATTGCGAGCCTCACAAAGAGCCTTGGTCCATGGTCAGCGGCTTATCAAAACACGGTTAAAAAAATGTCCCCGTTGCTTGGTAACCGTTTGCGAAACGAGAAGAGCAAGATGGCGGCTGCCACTGCGCGGCAAATTCCAGTCGTCAATAACGTGATAACCGATGAAGACTTAGACAATTTTCGCACCGAGGGAAAGGTAAGTATGTTGGAGATGTAAAAAGATCGGAAAAGATTGAAAACAGTGCAAAGTAAGTTGTTATTTTTGCAGCATTCTGGCCGACTTGTTCCAGTCAGTGTCATCAAAACACACAAACTTCTTACAGACAAGCACTCGGTGAGTCCTCGTGCACTTCTTTAGTCCTTTAGAGATGTTTACGTGTCAACTGCTTCGCTCTTCATGACTTTCAATCGCTAAAATTTTCGTGTAATAAAAGGAACTCTCGTACAAGATAACATAATGTTTAAGCTAATCTTTATCAGCTGTGTACGGTGAATTCAGTGTAACTGCATTTGATTTTAGAGAGAACTGGTCGATCGCCATGTGAGAGCCATCCATCGTCTCACCAAATACTACTGTCATGGATTTGTATCCTTCATTGCAAAATAAGTGAACGAGTTACTTGCACATTGGAAAATTTCTCACCGTGATTAACTGCTATTAACCATTATCAAGTCCATGACATACAATCTTCATGTCAGTGCGCTTTGCACAAAACTATTATGTATGATGTGTTCAGTTTCATACTTTTCAGATTTAACGTGGGTGATCTAATGTGTGATATGGTTCAGTTTCAAAATACATTTAGAGAGAGTTTGAAAAGGTTAAAATTGGATGACGCTGTGGATGAATGCAGATCTCTATTCCAGACCCTTACTCAAGACTGACTTTTAAAATTGTGTACAGCATTAACAACAAGAGTTATTTATAAAACCCTTTAATGTGTGTCTCTGAAATGCATATAGACTACACTTAGCAGAAACTCATACTCTATTGAAGACTTCCAGTTGTGAAAGACATCCTTGTCAAGAAAAATGTATATCCTGTTTAAGATTCAGGAGCCTGAAAAGAGGGTAGCAAAAGGGGGGGGGTGGGTGAGGAGGAGTCCTGATTCTGTTTCACACTCAAATTTTTAGAAAAATCCATGTCATTTTTACATCAAACAGTATTTCATGTGTTACAAATTAAAAAGTGTACACTTCAAATCTCATGTTACCCCCCCCTTGCCTTTCTGTAAGATTCACACTTCATGCATTACTTTCAGGCTTAATCAAGCATCATGTACAAGCCCTTTTCTACCCTCTGAAAACGATGTCCTGTTTTGGTGCCACACCCCCCTTCCCTCCTCCCCTCCCTTCCCTCTGCCCACCCCCCTCCCATCTTCATTTTCAGATAGTTCCCCTAAAGCTTGTAGAGATATGGAACCCTTGGTTTTCAAAAGAGACAATAACAACAGTAAAGTCATTCTGATAATAGACTCACACTTGGAACATGGGCCAATTTTCAAATGTTAATATTACCTCCTCATTCATGCACAAGATGACTTGTGGTTATTGAACTTAACATTATCCAACAACAGCTTATGAAAGATGTGGAGTTGGTGTGTGATATGCTCACAGTTTGTAGAGAAAGACTGGAGACAAACCTTCAGTATGAGAAACCTCTATGTGACTTGATTAAAGTCTGTGGGTGAGTAATTGACTACTTACTTTGAGTTCTACAAATTTTCATGACTAAGAACACAACACAATGAACCCAGCTGAGCTCAACCCAAGACCTCTTGATCAGAAATCTATTCTGTTAACCACTTGGTCAACACATATCTTAAAGTCATAGTACTTCCTCCATTGTTATAAAAGTTAATGACTGCTCAGACAAAAAGTCAGCTATTAGTTCTTTAATGTTTATTGATAAAGGATTTTTTTTTTTTCATCTTTATCAATTTGCAGCAAGCCATTTTTGAAGGAAAGATCTTCAGATGACTCTTCACATGCTAGTGCTATTATTAACCTTCTCACTGAGCTAGGTAGGAATATAACATTTTTATGAAAGTACAGTGTTAGCGAGATGTTAACAACAAAAAGTAATGGTTAGGTCTGCTATTGCTCACCTTTCTAAAAGTCTCTATGTAGAGATTTTGTTGGAAAGTAGCTATTGCAAATAAAGACTTTGTAATAGATTATGGAAATTATTTTCACTTTGAGGTACAAACAGCTGAAAGGCAGTAAGTTGCTGTTTTCCACTTGCTGCAAAGATCATCCTTACTCTCTGTTACTCTTCTGATTGCTCTAGAATTTAAATATGGAATTCAAAAAAATTCTTGATTTAATCCTGTTTGATTTCAGGGCACACAATGAAAATAAACAATGTTACTGCTCAGCTTCAGTTAGGAGAATCGTTGTTAAGGTTTTACACTGACCAGTCATTAGAGAACCAAAGTTTTGAAGGTAAAATTTGACATCTACCTCATTTTTTTTTAAATATGCTATTTAACAAATAGATTCTATGCTGTTATGCTTCTCTTTAATCATATATTGCAGCTGATGATGCCAAAATCTGTCTCTGATGAGGTTATCACATTTTGAAAACATACATGTTTGGTCTCCTTAATTTATTGCTATACATTTTTTGTATTATATGTGAGTAATTAATCATTTTCAAGGTTAATGAATCTGCAAATGTTTTACAACTGTTTCTGAACAATAGGCTACCAAGCATCATCACTGTCTTACAACATAACTTTGGTGGAAAGAAGTGGAGTGGCCAGAGCACTTGTTGAGGTCAGATGCCTTTCATTTGTCTTTACTTTGTCAATGAAAATCATATATCATTTGAAACTGTTCTCAAAGTCCTAGTAAGGGCTGCAGAAATATTTTGATAACATTTTGTTACATTCTCAGAGTTTGGAGCAAGTTGAGGACCTGAATGCGAGACTTGAAATCATGAAAGTGCTGCAGTGTTATTCAACTTCAGGTATTATTTTAATTATATTATTGTTGTATTGTTCGACAAAAACCAGTTATGGAGGGCTGTTTATTACTGCCTTTAACCCTTTAACCCTTTTGCTCCCAAGATCTAATTAGTAATTCTCCTTACTATCTGCCATACTATTCTTATGATGTTAGTTCAGAGAATTTGGTATTGGATCAACTAATAATTCCATAATTCATATTCTTCTCTATTCTCATCACCTGCCTGCTTGATATTGTATTGATATTGTTAGGAGAAATTCTGTCTTGGTCACTTATGGGAGTGAAATGGTTAAATCCCAATGTCTGATTGTTAATTCTTTCCTCCAGCTGCTGCGGACTTCCTTGTAAATTAGTTACAAGAATTTTGGTGTTAGATCAAGACACCAACATTTATTGATAAGTTTGATTATTCTCATTACCTGTTAGCTGGATAATGTAAGGTTATAATAGCAAGAAGTTACATGTTAATCACTTGTGGGAGTTAAGGGTTGAGACCGCTTCCCACCATCTGTTTAACCAGTGAGAAGGCTCTGGTGTTTGGATTTTGACTGACTTCTACTGTTTGGGCACAGCTGCCTGTTACATCACTGGCAGCTGTTGATGGAAAAAAGTCATCAAAAGCCAGGATGTTAAGTTATTAGTGGAAGTTGCTTCCCCAGAACTACACGAGTAACAAATCACTTTTGTAGAACCTGATTACTTTGTTGTTGTTGTTTTTGTTCCATTTGGCTCTTTTAACCCCAAACTTTGGGATGGCAGCCCTCTATAGTATTGTTGAAGAATTTACATGACCATTTTTGGAATAGATAAGCCATCCTTCAGAAGTGGGGCATTATTTAGTGTAAATGAGATCATTCCTCCTTTTGTTTACAGCGTTGAATTGTGACGATATGCTGTCAGTTGGTGCAGCTGGATTGTTGTGCAGTGGAATCAATATCCCAGACCCATCTGATAGGTAATATGACCATTTTTCTTGTTTTTAGTTGCTTGTAAATAAATGTTGTTTGGTTTGTTCCTTTGTTTTAACCCTGTGAACAAAATTTTTTTTACAAAAAAAATATTTTAGCTGATGCATTGTTTTCTGTTGTCACAGGATTGTTTTCCGAACTGTTGAAATTCTCTGGAATTTGCTAGAATTTGGTTCTAAACAGGAGGTAAGTTTATAAGTTACTTAAAGCACAATTGGGCACAAAGTAAAAAATTTCAAGTCCCATAGGGCGTGTTCTTAGTTCATGTAGCTACATTCTTTTCAGGCATCAAAGTTCCCATATTATTCCAGCCTGTTATATTCACACAACTTCCCCTTTCCTCAAAAGAAGTTAGGTTAGATGTAGTGATGGTATGATAATGGAATATCTATATTTCTTTTTAGGTTGTGCGTCAGCTCAATTGCAAAGAGTGCATAAGGTATGTAAAACCATGCTACATAAGTTATAATGTGCATGGGATGTAGGTGTAATTACAACTCAAAGTTATATTTGGTATTGCTATGTTTGCATGTTTATGATTGGTTCGACCTCAAAACCTTAATTTCTTCTCATCTCTGATGCTCTGTTTGAATTGTTCTTGCAGTGCATTGAGAGATGCCTTTGTTAGGCAGATTAAGGATGGCTACAGTCTTGCTGATAAACAGCTGAGGTAAACATATCTGTCCCCTTAGTCTATATACAACAAGGAAAAATGAATTTAAAGTTAGCTTATGAGCCAGAACACCCATCTTCTCAGAGCTCATCCAGGTGTCTACAGAATGAAGTGAGGAGGAGTATGCCTTTTCCCCTTATAATGGGATGCCAAGTTATCACAAAGGTCACTGCAAATGTTATCCTGGACTACCAAGACTGCTCCACCCCTCCCCCTACCTTTTTGAGGTATCCAAGAAAGTTTTGTGGCATCCTTTTAAACACCTTGGTGGAGGAAGACACCTGGGGGATTTGTCACTGGAACTGTTCTGTAATATTTGCATAGAGTAGTTATTGTTGAAGTTTTCATTAAGTGCTGAAGAATATTTAGGAGTAAATTTACTTCTATCTGTATTTCAATTCTGATCCATTTGTTACTTTTAATTTAGAAATGATTTATTGGTGATTGCCTCTTTGATAGTGTCTCTCTGCCCAACCTCTCCTTTCATGGTGAGTTCATTAAGAAGAAAAAAAGTACAACTTTGAAGCTTTTTATGTCTTTTAACATTATACTGATCTACTTGTATAATGACATTCTCAAGTTCTTGTTTTTGTTCCCTCTTATGAAATATCCAACTGATGTAACTGATGTAGTTTCTGGAGTGGTCTGTCCACTTTTGTATTTGCCACATGAGATCAGTATTGGAACATTTATGTCAACATACACTCATTTATTTGTTTTTATTGTAGGAAACTGGCTTTACAAAGCTGATAGTTCTGCTTGCAACATTCACTGAGGGTAACTACAGACAATTCTTGTTCACCTTTGACAATATTTGTAGTAGATGACATCTTTTAATAAAATAAACCTGTTTGAGTTTGTTTTGGTTCTCTTCCTTCCTCAAAATGTTTTTCTTAGGGTTCTCTCTTCTTACTCTTTCCACTAAAACAATCACTCAAAATTCCAATTTCAATTTGAAAAGAGTCAGTAAAGACCAACTCAAAGGTTGTGATGCTACTAAATTCACATTTATTTCATTTTTGCTTCCTAGTATTTATTAATAAAATCAAAGAGATACTTGCAGACAATTCAGTTTTTTTTTTAAAGTAAACTTGGCGAAGTAAAAGAGAATTCAGAAGTGTATTTAGGACAGCACAACATGTTTAAAGATCCCTCCATTTCATGATCAAATGGAAACCCAGGTGTGCAATTTAGCAGGTTCCCTTTTAGCACTTGTACAATTTTTATCTCTTGTTTGAGGAATGAGTCAATTTTATAGTCAGCATCATTCATATTGTCTGTTTCTTGGATCAAATTTAGTTAAAAGTCATCATGATTTAGTGAGGAATCTCAAGCTCTACCAGGTAAGCTTTAATGTTGTAGAGCAGAAACTGCCACTAAAGTGTGTCATTGTTACAGTATTTTGAAAAATGACAGAAGTAGTTTACATGTAAAATAATACTGTTCTTGGTAGAAATAGCAAGAAATTCCAAGTGTTAGCAGGGTGGCCTATGTTGTATGAGCCAAAACATCTCGCACAATTTTGGACTCCTTCATTAAAGATCTAATAAAGTGATAGTAACAGTGATACAGCAACAAAGCATCTTAGCAAAACATTTGGAGTTTTTTGACAGAACATAACAAAATATAGGACTGGTGAAGACTGTAATTTCCATACAAACTGCTCTTCAAGTGATACTAAGACTTGCTCAACTTTTTGCAGGAGTAGCTTAAGTCAAGTATCTAAAGAGTGTCATATTGTGCCATCCAACTTAAATGATAAAAAAGTCCACACAAGTTGAATTGTAACAATCAAACATATGAGCACACTATTAGATATTGTAGATGTACAAAGTCAGATGCTCAGTACCAAGAACTTATTGACACAGTGGATAGGCCAGAAAGGAAAGTGTGTGTCTAAGGCTCAAGGTCATGATGTACTGACTGAACACAGTTAAAGCCAAATGTATTTGTGTCTGGCTCAACGTAATTAAATCAATAAGCATTTTACAATATAATTCTCTTTGTCTTTTTAAATTTTCATTGCATCTCATAGGCACCTTTTTGGGGTTGTTTGACTTTTAATGCCCTGCCTGTGCCATCATGTGCTTCCCTCTTATGGGTTTCTTTCCAATCTTTTTCCATAAAAAGTGTGCAAAGGGGCTGTAGGTCACAAGTAAATTAAAGAAACTCTAATAAATATGATTGTGTTGTTATCTGTTAGACTCATGAAGATTTTGAGTTCAAGAAGCTGTTAATGAGCACATTGGTGTTGCTGAGTGCTGATTCTGGAAGCTCTCAGGTAACAATAAAAAATCATATGGAGATCATGGAATTGATGGTGTGGTTTACAAATTTTATTTTGATTTAACTCACTGAATATGTTGCCCCCAACAGGCTTTTTTAACCTAACTTTTATTACATTTGTCAGATTTTTTGTGAGGGTCGCGTGATTTTGTCATTGTTCTCTTTTGTACGAGCAAATGACAACAGCTCAACTGTGGAGTGGTCCCCTGCACAGTTTGAGGAGCTGCAGTTACAGGTACAATTGCATCAAAAAATATTCCAAGTAGTGCTATTGGTTAAAGTTAGTATTCATTTGTTAACTTGAAGTCTCTATTGTGAGAGTTAGAAGACTAGATGAGGACCTCAGTGGAGATGTCAGTAATGGAATTTTTGCAGTCCGCCTCTGAGCGGCTGATCACAATGTGAGACTAGCAAAAAATTCTTATGTTTTTGTTTCCAGGCCTTAGACACCCTAAGCACTGTGGCTCCTTTGTGTTTGGACGATTACATGACTTGTCAGAGTAACACCAGATTACTTATGCTTCTGGAATGGTGTGTGGGAGAAGGTAAGCACTGTTTGATTTTTAGCTTTGTATGCATATTGCTCCAATCGCTCTGACGAAGGGCTAACGCTCGAAACGTCAGCTTTTTTACCCTTTACGGTGGCTAATTTACGTTTTCAACTCAGTTGTGAACACTAAATTACCTGCTATACTCTCCCACCGACGCAGCGCCACAGTTTCTTTACCCCTTTATTCATATTCCATTTAGTTATGTTATGTAAACATTTTTTAAGTTTTTTTCATATTGTGTACGATTGAAGGGAAGTCTCAAAATATTGACGCGCAAAAATTACTGAATTTTGAACTGTTTTACAAATGATTTCTTATCTTTTCCATAAGCTGACTATGGTGGCCATGGCAACAGTTTCCATGGTTCTGGTGGCCGTGGCAACAAACGAGCCCAGATGCGGTATTGTTTGCGGCTGATGAGGAGCATGGTGTCAGTAGGAGATGACGGCTTGAATCAAGATCTTGTAGATCAAGGAGCTATCAATCAGATTATTGGTAGGTACTGTGATTTTTTAAGTGGCCTGAGAAGGGGCGGTTGAGGTGACAAACGCCATTTTATTGTGTTCTTGGGTTAGATCCTTCACTATCACAGTACCTCTCTGCTAGGAGATCTATGACGGACTAGCATCCCATTTTCAAAGGGTAGATCGCTATCCCACTGATTAATCACAAGTGTTCACAAAACGTACTGCGTTATCCACAGGAAAGAGACTTATCCAGTTGATAGCGTTATTCATCCTTTGAACAACCGGGGTTCGGAGGATAGTGCAGTACGTTTTCTTTACACATTTCAGTTGGGAAGTGATTTATCCTTGGGATAGCAAATTGTCCGTGGATGGCGATTTATTCGTGGGATAGCGTTATCCACTCTTTTTAAGACTGGGCCCTACATACTTAGATTCATCCACTGGATAGTGTCATTCACACTTCGAATACCGGTGCCTGGAGGATTTGTGATACTCTTTGTCACTCAACTCCATGGAAACGGGGACTGACTGTCTTAACCAGAAGCTACCCGAAATAACTTTTATCTCAAACTAATAAACGATTTTGCTACAAATCGCAGGAATACTTCTCAATGCCAGCACCAGCCCTGATGAGAATGATGCTATTGACATTGAGATGCAGTGTGATATGTTGTTCCTTGTGGCGTCTCTTTGTGAAGGAGATACTCACAGGAAGGTAATAATTGTAAAAAAAACGATTGAGTGAATGCCATCATGACAGAGGTAATTGGTAATTTCGGTTTGAGCCACTAATAAGAGACTTGTAGCTGTAGATTTTCATCTTTTTTATTTCACAACAGCGTTCCTGATCTCCTAAAAGCGATACCAATGATTCCCTTAAACTTGAAGAAAGTGAGGTGGACGCGCTGAAGTACACAGCAATTCAAAGGAATTCTTTTTATTACTTTTCTAAGTCGAGGGAATTTATTTTGAGGCTTCAGTGTAGACTATAACTGCTGCGTACATCAGCTCGTCTTCTCTATTGAAGTTGAGGTGTCGAAATCTTTTCCCGGGCGGGTTATTGCGCATGTATTATAATATTTTTGGTTGTCGTTATTGTTTGATGCAAAAACGCTTAAAAGAAGGTTCGAAAATCCTTAATCAAAAGAGTGAAGCAACTAATTTAGTTTGGTGGAATAGTAATTTACTCAGGCCAACCTAAGAAACATTTCTTATTCCTTGTAGGAGCTATTTGGTGCCCAAGGAGTCCAAGTGTTGGTAGAATATCTGAAGAGAGATCCTAACAAGATTAACAGTCCGCTGGGGCATCATCAGCTTCTTTTATCCGCGGTGGACTCTGTGTGGTAAGAACAAACAGTGATTGAGTTATTTCTAGAATAGATGTTGGAACAATTTTAAAGTTATGCGTCGCACGCAAACCAGGATTGCATTGATTTTACCCAACTACGCTCTATGATTAGTTTAAAAAACTCGTGCCTGGCTCTTAACCAATCAGTTGCAAAACGAAAGCTTACCGTGTCATGGTCACTCACGCTTTCCCGTGCTTAAGCCAGAATCTTAACCAATCAGATGCAAAACAAAAACCAGCCGCGTCTTAGTAACTCATGTTTTCCCGCGTTTTACTAAGACGCGGTTTGCAGTTTTAGGCAGTTTTCACGTTTTTTCTAGTTCATAATGGATTCTTGTGGTATTTTGGTTTTGGTTTTACGGCACCCTCTAATCCCCGTTTTGTTGTTTCGTTTGTCCCCAGGTCTGCTGTGTTGGGATGTTACATAACTGAACAACTGTTTCTTGAAAATGATGGAGTTTTTCATCTCATGGATTTATTAGAAGTACTTAACAACAGTTTTTTTCGAAGATAATAGCTGAGATTGTTTAGTACTATTATCAGCAGATTACACCCATGACCTCGTACACCGGTGTAGTGCTCATACACCAACTGTCTACTTGTCGGATTAGTATTGAGGTTCGAAATGCACTAATGAGAGTGCACCAAAACACACCAATCGTAGCTAAATACCATGCTGAATTAATTAGCAACATGTGATCATTCAACCCTCTTGACTGATGAAGACAAGCTGTAGAGCAGTCGGAACGCTTTGATCCTCAATTTATGGCTTGTCTCTGCAATGACAAGTGACTTAATATCGTGAGACAAAACGTTCGTTTGTCTTTGTAACTGCGACGAACTAACACAGATTTCGAAACATGGGAGATGATTTAGATGGTAGGATCTTAATTTTGACTGAATTCACATAATTGTGCGGCAGAGAAAGAAAAAAAATAACTCAGTTTACGTTGTGAATTTTTTGACAGTTTTTGAATCGTGGTACTGAAATTAATTTAGCCCTAAAGCACAACTTACTGTGTTAGTTTACATAGTTAAAACTAATAATTATTTACTTACCTCAGATATGTCCACTGACAATGCAGAATCTGGTGCTGGGATGTTTGGTGGATCTCTGTGAGAATTCTAAGGTTAGATATTATGTTATCCATTCCTAGCTGATAAAACGCTCTTTTCCTCTAAGATCTAATGCCATTAACGAATCTATATCTTTTTCGTCATTTCCTCATTTCGTCATTTCTTCCTCTCTCCCTCTGAATTCTAAATTGGATCCTTATTTTCTCTTTCTTAGAAGTAATCAAGATCGGCGATATTCCACTCTTTCCCCCCCCTTCCCCGTTCCTTGAACATGTAAACATAGTTTACGAGCAGTTTCTCCTTTAAGCGCGCCGTGCGAACTCTAGGATTTTTGTGCACCGCACTCCCAGAGTTCCGCGCGGCGAGCTAACATCAATTTTTTTTTCGTTGTATTTTTTTTTTTCGTTGTATTTTTTTGACTCGCCTGACGGACTTCGCCAAAAGGGAGGGACCGCTCGTAATCTAAAGTAAACTGTGTTTCAGTACTAGCAAAGAAATATAATCTGTTTCAGTAACTTTTATTTTATCGTATGAAATTCGTAATAGACCTCGCTCTCCGTAGATTCTCAGTGGTAGAGCATCGGAGCGCGGAATCCGAAGATATGAGGTTCGATTCCTCATTGGGACTTAGAATTTTTCCTTTGTCCCACGCTCGTGACAAGACGAAAAACATCCTTCTCTGTTTCTTTGCTAAGCTCAAAACCAACTATCTCTCTTATTCTAACTTTATTTGTTAGAAAATCCGACGACTATACACTCATAAACATCCCGGCCCCGGTTGTTCGAAGGTCGGATGACGCTATCCACAGGATAAATCTTTATCCGGAGGATAACGCTCTACGTTTTGTCATCACTTATCTGCTGGATAGCGATTTATCCGTTGGATAGCGTTATGCGCCCTTCAAACAACTGGGTCCTGATTCTTATATTTTGTTCCTTCAGGCTCTGGCACATGTTCAGTCCTGGCGCGGTAAGAAGCAGATTACAGCCGGTAAATTATTGGTGGAATTGTGGAAGAAAGAGGAAGCAAACATGGGTGTGGCTAGGGATAAAATTGGCAAAGTAACGGGTAACTACCTCTTCACTCTCTTATCCTTGATTTACCTTTACGCGCTTGAGGGAGGATCAAGAATATATTTGAAGCCTGTGCAGGCAGTCAGTTACCGGGAAAGTGCAGGGCGGGCGAGAGAAAAAACGGGGAGAGACTAAGGAGAGGGAAGGAAGAACTCCTTATTCAAACCCCGCCCATATTCTCTCGCTAGCTCACTCGCTCGTCTCTACGAATGGAGAAAGCCTGGCACTGGCTGATTCATTGCGGATTTATAGGGACAAATGACTCAAAGACGATAGGGGACACAATTTGCAGTACGCTTCTCGCGTATGAACTTAGTATGTGACCTAGCTCAGTGTTATCGAATTGTAACTGAACGAAATAATTAACTACCATCGACTAAAATGATGACGTAAATTGGCCACCGTAAAGAGTTTTAAAGCTTAAAACGTTATCAACTCAGTTGATGATACTAAATTACCCTGTTGTACTCTCCCACCGATGCAGCACTGTTTCTTTAAAAACTTACCTCCTTTTTTTTTTTCATTTTTAACTAAACGAGGTAAGCATTCTCATGAGGAGCTCAGATCTTTCTTTGTGAACGGTGCATCGTCAACTTTTTTTTGAAACTGAATGTTGCAGATCTCAAGAAACCTCTTATGGGCACAGTCCAAGAGCGACAAGGTGTTATCCCGCTACCTGCCGACCGGCCCAGCCAAGCGATCGTGGACGTGTCTGAGAACATGAGAGCTAAGATTTACTCCATGTTTTGTAAGCTTGGTGAGTTTTTACTGATCTATGGCGTCCTGCGCCCGAGTATACTAATGTAGTTAAGTTTCCTAAACGAATATGTTTCCCTTTGCGTTCAGGTTTTAACGCAGTTCCTGGTTTATCAACTGTGGATTACGTCACAGTGGCAATAATTGAAAAATACCTCGACTTCAAGGTGAGGATGGACACATTTTGATTAATTGTTTGGTGTCCAGGCCCCAGTTGTTTAGGTCTTTACCATGGCAGAGTTTATCGTATTGCGTTCTTGAGCAAGTTACATTGCTGTCACAGTGCCTCTCTCCATTTAGGAGTATAGATTGGTAGCGATGAAATGTAAGGGAATCCAGGTCGGGGAGAGGAGGGTAATCTTGCGATGGACTGACATTCCATTCAAGGGGAGTAGCAATAATAAGTTTCTTCGCGTAAGATTTAATGAATCACTATGGATATATAGTTTTTAATCCTCAGGATGGGATTGGGTTGGAAGAGTTTGTTGAATAACTGATGTGATATATGATCAATTTGACGTATTGATTGACATTTCTCCTCAGATGCTTGAAGTGTGGAACGAGATTAAGGTCGAGCTTGAACAAGAGAACATCAGACCTGTGTCTCCTGATGCCGACTGTATGGTGGATATCTCCAGAATACTGAACGATAGAGCCGCTGGAGTGTCCAGTACCCAGGTCACTTAGATAAAACGTAGTAGAGGGAGGGACGGGAATTTAGGGAGTAGGGAAGGGGCGGGATTGTTTGGAAGAGGGCACGGGCGACAAGGTGGCCAGAGGGAATTCAGTAGGGAGAAAGAGGGAGGGGTGGGGAGCTAAGTCAGCCAGGAAGGGGAGGGAAAATGACTGGCAGGGCTGGGGCTGCAGAGTGTAGGAGGGGTCCAGAACTAAGGACAGTTATGTTGAGGCAAGAGTGGAATGTGTCACTGAATCAACAGGAAAGTGGAGGTGAATTTAGGAGATGGAGTGGGAGGGGGGGGTAGGGTGAAAGAGCGGAGTGTCCAGTACTCAGGTCGGTCATTTTAAAGGTTGGGGGGGGGGGGGGGGGGGGGTGGGGGTTACGGCTGAATCAGAAACAGGGGCCACAAAGCGGTGGGAGTCATGTACCCTGGTCAGTCAAGTGGTGGTGGGTGTAGGCAGTGGTAGGTGCAAAAATGTGTCAGCTGGAAAGTCGAAGGAAAGTCAGTGATAAATGTTGTTGTTATTTTGCCCCGCAGGATAAACTTATTCAAGCTCAGCGAAACCAGGAACTTATTGAAGAGGAGGAGTATTATGAATCAGTGAGTCGTAGTTTTGATGGAAGTGCCTCGTTGATCAAGGCCTACTTTCCCATTTTTTGCGCTGTATCAATTTATTTTCTTATTTTATTTTATTTTATAACAACTTTATTTACATAATAACATATATAATATATTATTATTAAAAAAGGGTAATAGAAGGGAGGAACTTAATCCTCATTGTAAACTATACCCCAGATATAAATATTTAATACTTTGCAATATACATATACACATTGAAACATTTTACATACAAGAATATATCTATGTAAATATAAAATCTAAGTAAAGAAGTCATATCTAAGATAAAAGTTCTGTTGAAATGATGAATAATTAAATTTCTCCTTTTCCCTTAATTTCGCAGATCAAAGAAAGTCACCGCCAAGAAGAAAAGGCCTATAAAGACTTTTGTGATTATGTCGACAGAACATCGGACTACGCAGTTCTCAAGGTGAGTATTGATTTTAAATGGACGTTCTGTCTCCTTTACGGCAGTTTATATGTTAAACTGTTCGGTAATTTTTCTGGAGTTTGCAATGTGACGAGAGATACAGAGCGCTTTCTTAGACAATGTCTAAAGTCTGAAAGCAAAATAATTACAACGTCCAATTTGACCAAAGGAAAATGTCACGAGGATCCACTAAGAACTCCGTAAAAACAATCAAACTACCTGAAGCGCGGGAAAACGTGAGTCACTTTGTCGCGATTGGTTTCAGTTGCATTTGATTGGTTTAGACAAAGGCGTGCGTTTTCAGTACCAATCACAGAGCGCAGTGGTGATGTTTTGGCGTCTGAGCCACAGGAATTCTCGTATTCTAACTTTTTCTTCATCCTAAATTTTATTTTGTTTAATATATTCAGGCTGCAAAAGAGAAGCAGTTGAGCACCATAGAAGCTTCGAGACTTCAGGGTAGAGTTTATTCTGGGTAAGAGACAAGTTTTTATCTCAGTGTTTTTTTTATCTCATTGTATTCGATGAAAAATGTCTTTCAGTCGGTATCTATTTTTTCTGACAAAGGTCTAAGCAATATCATGGTAGCAAAAACGTCACAGGTGTTTAGCACTGTTTTCTGATTGGATGGTAGTAGTCAAAAACCATTCACAAGCCTCACCGCAATCTCTCCTCCCAATGTTCAAATATAACGGTTAACCTTTTCCGCTCTCTCTCTTTTCTCCTTTTTTCAGCGAGATTTCCCACGACACTTTACAAGAAGACCTTAACACAACTGTAAGTAAATCATAGGAAAAGAGTGTAAAGTCGAACCTCGATTATCCGGACTCGGTGGGACTAGGGTAAATAGTCCGGATAATCGAGAGTCCGGATAATCGAAAATATGAACATGAATGAGACAATGTAAACAAAAGAAATAAAGATAACACATTTTTAATTCTAAAAGTTTGCTTCAACAGATCAGACATGTTGTCGTTTTGAGTTATGATCGTCTCGTGTTTAATAACCCACGCTAAAAACAAAACAATACTGAAACAAATCAAAATTCAGCTGAATGCATTAGAATAACTTGTCTCTTTTTGTCTCCGAGCGCTCGATCTTTCGAAAGCGCACTTAATGCGCTGTTTTAAACGCAATTTTCCTGACTTTTAACATAATTTCTGAATTTTTTTACCTCCTAAAGTTTTTAACATCTAAGGTCATTAATATTCATGAAAAAAACGGGACCAGAGAAAAAGTCCGGATAATCGAAAAGTCCGGTTAATCGATGTCCGGATAATCGAGGTTCGACTGTATATTACTTTAGGTCAAACTGAAACATTCTCTGTCGGTAACTTTACCTGCACTTATCAGAGGTTAAAAGTTTCTCAGACTTATTGTCGAAGCAAAAAGCCAGGGTATATCCGTGGGGATCTTGAAGGGGGAGGGAGGGCTCTCACTCAGGACATCGCCGGGGGGAGGGAAGTAACTTTCAATGTAAACCCTCTCACCCTCCTGGCCAGTGTTGCGTCATTTAAGGTTTACTCGTGTTTTTCTCTTCAGACGTTCTGCGGTAGACGAGTAGAAATCGAAAGTACCCCACTTGACATAACAAGAACGATTACAAGTGCGACAACAGCCGACGAGGAAAAGAAAACTCTTGTAGTAGCGGTAAGTGAAAGAAAGGACCAAGGAGATGTCCTATCCTAGTACTAGGGTCTCTCATATTCTCGCTCCTTGGATCCTGGGAACGAGGTTGAGAGTTGCGGCAAGTTTGCGTAGCCGACAGTTCTGCTTCCTTGGGCTAAGCGGCAGAAAAGGAGCGAAACAAAAAGAGAGACCTAACTCTTCCATACCTCAGCAAATAGGGAATCGAAAACACTGCCACGCAGGCTAGCGTGCGCGTATAACTAAGATTTGGTCACTTGTCTGACAATGGCCATGTTTTTAGTGGAGGTTAAGTTGGTCTGAGATCATACTTGTGATTTCGAACTGAACGAGCGCACAGCTTTAGTGGGATATGAAATTTCAAGTACGATTTCAGAAAAAGACTTGCACGACACTGGTGATCCTTCCAGCTTGCCGAAGCTCGTCGTTATTCAGAAACTGAACATAAAATTAATTCCGTCTTTCTTTTCTATCGCTGATTTCTTCTGATCACTCATTTATTTTTTTATTGGTTTCTTTTAGAAGAAAAAAAAATGGTAACAAAAGTTACCAAAGTCGCCACACAACGGGTTCTTTGGCCTTTTATTTTCTACAGTTTGAACAAGTTTTTAAGTCGAATTGTTTCTTTTTCGTTTTGGTGTTGCATTCTGAATTCTGATTGGCTGACAAAAAGACGCGGTAGGTGAGTAGAAAATGGTGCGATTTGTGGGAAAATCAGACTGCAACGATCAACAGCGATTTCATTATGGATGTAATAAATAAAAAGACACTTCAAGAGTAAACTTCTCAATTTGTATTTCACATTTCATTTTTCAGTAAACGAGTCGACTGCAAGACCACATACAAGTTGTACAACCCAAAGAATGCTACATATATATTTCACTGTTGTAAATACGTGAAGTTGTTGCTGTCTGGTTTGCAGAGGTTCTACTTATCACATGTATAAATGCATTACGTTTGACAGTTTAGAATAGTATTGTGCCAAACTCTTTGGTGTATTGTCGATGAATGTCACACTTCACATGTTTGTGTCGTTATTTATATTGTATAAATTAAGAAAAAAATGGGTGTTTGTGCAGTCGAGATCTGTCGCCTATTAAAAGAACATATTGACTTTTTACCTGTAAGAGACGTTCGCATTCGTTTCACTCAGAGGCTTCCAGTCAGGAAAAAGTATTGGAGTTTAAAATGGCGTAGAAGTTAAACTCAAGATCGCATTTGAGGAGCCTTTTTTTAAACCTTTGGAAAAGCAGTTTAAGAAGGCTCATTTTTAGTCTATGAACCGACCTTCTATCACCTCGCACGAGTTACTAGAAATCAGTGAAGGAAATATTTCGGCGCTGCGTGAACTCTGGGAAGCATGGCATGGCTTCCAGGACGAAGTATAATTGCTACCGATATCTTTTGGTTCGCGCGACGGATTTCGCCGACAAAGAAGGAATTCTCAAAGTCTGATTTCTTGTTGGTATACATCTCTTTTATTGCATTTTAAGCAAACAGCGCAACGCCTAACCTAGATTTTAGGCCTTAGATCCATGGGCTGGAAAGAGCGACGATGTTTAACACCCAATTTAGAAAGTTCGGGGGATGATTGCTCGGCTTAGATTTCGCTTTAATAAAAGCACCTGGAGATTGTACCATTCAAAATAATACGCCGTTTTTGAATCCTGAATACTGTAAGTAATACTGATCGCATCTTTACCGGCGTCTCAGTCCATACCTTCAGCAAGGTTATTTTTTACCAACTTCCTCCTTCCGCCTTTCGTTTGCAACCCTTAAAATCGCAGTCGCCATTACAACTGATCCCATCTGACGGAACTTACTTTTCAGGTTTGTGGCCAGCATTCCGTCCCGCGGGTTTGCCTGACCCGTAGAAATCTTCCTTGCGGGAGTGCCGGGTATCTTGGGAAGACGAAGGGGGGTTTCGTTGGAGCTGGTCTGACGAGAATGAAGCATCGGCCTCTCTTGAGCAGGGATAATGCCAGACTGAATCAAGGAGGCGGTTACAGGGCTTGTGCAACGGAATTCTAAAATATCTCGTGAGGTTTCCATGCTTGTTATAAGGAGTGGACTTGGTGCGCGGTTTTTACGTTCGGAAGGAATACCCACCTTATTACTGGGTGTTGCGGCAACTTTCTTTGAATCCGGCGCTGGCTCTTGAATACATCCCAGCGGCTTCAGGGGTTGTTTGCATTCTGCGAAAGGTCTCTGAAAATCTTCAACTATGTCTACAGTATGTCGACGTAAACCCCCAATCGGATCCGCGAGGCTATCTTTTCTTCTCTCATCAACTAAACATGGCAAGCTCAAACGCTTCGTCATCAATTTAGACTGCTTGGTGTATCGGTCGAGGCTTTCTACCAAGCTTTCCCTCGCCAACGATATCCTACGCAACTCTCTGTCAATGTAGCCTCTTTCTCGCGAGAAAGACTCGAGTTTTTGTCGAAGAATCTTGTCCTCCATGCTATTTTTCATCTGTACTGTCTTATTTCTCTCAGCCAGGGCTCGTTGCGGATACTTCGACATGGTTTCAATACTTAGTGAACTGAGCTGTCTCTAATATACTTCTACTTCAGTTTACTATGAGTTTTCTGACTTATGTAATACGCCGCATTTTCAGCTTTTAATTAAAATTAATTAACAGCTTTACCTAATCGACAATTAAGCAGACGACTGGAAAACAACCGCCCCTTAGGGATTCTAAGTGTTTATGAGCAAAACAGCAATTAAGACGTCTTTCATGGGCCATTTAGCTTCGATGAAACAATTTCTACGTTCCTGTTTTCAACACCACTTCTAAATATCTTCCAGTTCCTCTTAACTTAATATCGCAGTGGTCATGTTAGCATTTCAAATTCTATTCCATCTGTCACTCCGAAATAACTTTTTACAAGTTTATACAGTGGTATTGTTTACAATTAATATACCTTTATTCAAAAGAAATTAATTAAACCATATACACCTGAATACGATCGCCGTTTCCTTCATAAATACAATCACTTCATTGCTAACAATACGAAATGAAGATACAAAAAATATTTACTACTAATGCGATTTATGCATCCGTGATTAAAATCACATAAATAATTCCGAGGTGCAATAATTTCCTTTCCGTAGACAGATGAGTGTCAGGTAACTTTTTATCATTAAAATGCTGTGCACGAATGTATGTACGTATTGAGATTTTGTTTCTTGAAGCAGGACAATAAAGAACTCTGGATAAATTATTAATTTTGTGACTGTTCGGTGGAAGGTAAGTCTGGCGCAGTTGTCATCTCCTCAGCTTCTTCTCGCAAAGCATCCGCTTTCTCTTCCAGAAGCATCTAAAAAACGACACCTCAAATCAGTCAGCCACCGACTCTCTTAATAACTTGTCACAATTTTGCGTGCGTTTTCAAGGAGTTGTTCACAGATCAGTTACTGGTTCAGTATCGTCGTTTTAAAAGGATATAGGATGTCAAAATCCTTTTCTGACAAACAGGCTAGAGTCTACACGACATCAGTTAAGATGGATGAAAATATATTAAATTTCATACAACAATTGTCTCGAAATAGAACCTTCGAAAAGTCCTAAACTCCAAAGAAAAACAAGCGACAAATTTGCGATAAAGTTAAAGAAAAAACCTGAACTCGACTCTGAAAAACACAAGTCCACGAAAGTATTCACCTCAACCACTAAGTCAAGGTCTCTAAACATAATTGGTTTATTGATCAGCTCACGTGCGTCCCACGTGACTACAAAAAACATACTAAAGGGGGGAGGGAAGGAAAAGAGGAAATGGCAGTTCGAAATGAAGAAATGAAACAATCATCTTAAATGACACAATCTTCGACCAATCATTACGCACACATCTCTATCTCCATAATCAACGGCGCAATTTTGTTAAAAATGTAAAAACTTTAATTTGGTTACCTTAGCAGCGGAGACAATCTGATTAGCCTGACGTCTGGGGAGGTGCTCGATCTGTTCCACGAGCGAAGCGGGATCAGCCCAGGCCAAGCTAGTCAGAGTTTTGTATCCGGCCTTTACTAACTGGTGCGCACGAGACTAAGGGGAAAACACAGTAAATTAAAACAGAATCATAAAAACCTAAGGTTGTATGCTGCTGATTGAAATGAAAGAAGGAGCGTGGAGGAATCTGACCAGACCTAAATGAAACAGTCATTGTCGCCCCCGACAGACTGCAATGATTAGGACGCAGTTTTATCAAACAACGACTAAACTTTGTTTTAATAATTTGCCCTTTTAGCACTGCCCTTGGCCGCAAAACGTTCATCTTTTCGTACATGTACGGATCATAATTAGCTTGGGAGCAAGCGCACGTGGGGAGGGATACGGATGTAAGGAAAGAGTGAGGAAGAGGGAAAAGCGAACAAATCCCTCACCCCTCTTTTCACCCTCATCCTTGGGGGTTTTCCTGCGTTATTCTTCTCGGTGTGCAAAAGCTGTTCAGCTACTGATTTCGAAAATAATTCAATGTTTACCTGTTTCACCCCAGGAACTTCCATTAGGGGCACAAGCTCCAAGCTCGCTGTGTAAGACAACTTCTTTACCATGACTTCAAGTAGCGTATTCACGCCCCAAAATTCATTCAGTTCCTGAACATAAAAAAAATAGTTGCAAATAAGGACCTTAAAGTAATCCTCTCACTTGATTACAAAACATTTTTCCCCAACTAGACAAGAGAACTTCGTATGTTATCAAATCCATGTCCCCTGGTTATCAGTTGCCTTAATTCTCATCATCTGTCTAAGAATTGAATAACTGATTAATCAGGGGATAAAACGGCAACCGTGAAACTTCTCTCATTTAAGCGAGTTACTCAAAACTGACTAATCCAATTACAAAAGCCGAGCAACATACTCCAACTAAATTCTTTGACAACTGTACTTCGAGCCTAAAGTTTGAAAATTAAATGCCGAAAACAGAGCTCTTGTTGAATCACTCGCTGGGACAAACTTACTCGAGTGAAGTGGACCATGCAGGACGCGAACGAAGACGCTGAAGTTAACAGATTCTGCACAAATCCGCGAGTTACGTTAAAAAGACGGGCCACATTCCATACAGTGTCCTCTTGTAACAATTTGTAAAGCATCAAGGTCAAATAGAAACGCCTCACTCTGCTTTCTGTAGTGTCGTCCTAATTACAAAAAAAAATGTTACGACACAGCGAAGAAACGTCAGGCATGTTCAAGGGGATCAATTTTGGCCAGCCACACGCCAACTTCCCGTGCAAAAGTTCAAAGGAAAACCTCAGAAACAACCACTGTCTGAAAATATGCGAAAAAAAATTGAAACGTTCACAGAATTGTGTTAAAGGCTACAAAAATAAGGACAAAAAACTTATTTAATAATGGGTGTTCTGTTAATCTGCAATTTTGTTTTGAGGTTTATCAAAAAAGGTATACACTTTTAAACACCGTGACCTTCTAGCCTGTGTGACTGTTTGTAAATTCTCTAGGAAATCCTGGTTCTGACAGCTTGGAAAGCACCGCATCAACAATTAAAACATTTGGATATGCGCGGGACGTTTGACAGCCATATTGATTGTTATTCGCTTTGCGCGTACAATTTCTATCCCTTCACGTCTACCAATTAAGCCATAATGAACATCTCTATTACCAAAACAAACCCCAAATCAAAGTTCCACAGAAAAAACAAGAACGAGACAGCGCCATGTCGTGCCATGGATGTCAGAGAAATAAAATAGAATGTGATAAGGACCTAACTCCCCTGCGCAATTCAATAAGATGACCATTTACCATTTTCGATCGCTGTCCTGTGGCTCTTCTGAATAAAAAACTTTCTGTTGCTCCCAAAAGTTCAGCGACTCTTTCCTCGGACTCTTCACGAAATGAAGATACCTAAGGGCGAAACGACCACAACTGTAAGTCTTCGATAAAACTCTTCCAGGCAGGTCACCTTAGGTTCGTTTATTTTTTTCGAGCACAGGGTTTCAAATATGTTTTGGATAATCATTGAACATAACGTTCTTCATGACGAACAGACAGTCTTTTTGGAATAATTTCTTCAACCAGGGGATAAAATTCCACCAGAGCAATTTTCGATATAGTGCGTCTAAAAGGAAAAACCAAAGTAATCACAAACGGCCAACTAGAGGAAAGGGTAATATCCGAAGGAACCAATGAGAATTCAAAGTTAACACACGTGACTTGTGTCCAGCGCGGGAAAACGCGGGCAACCAAGTCGCGATTCCTGTTAGTTTTGCATTTGATTGGTTGGAAGGTGGCGCATGATATTTTAACCAATCAAATAGCGTATAGCGTATTTTGCAATCTGATAATACTTTCAACACTTAATCAAAAACTGTTCCCACTGACCTGCTTGTAATATACCATCCACTCAGGTTGGGGTGAATCTCTTAAATCATGTGGCGTAACCAGATACAACAGGTGTAGCTCATTGGCTAGCACGAGGTTGTCCTGGGCTCTAGCAAGCTCGCTATATATCAAGGGACTGCTGTCCACATCAATGCACCCTGCAAGAATGAAATTCCCTCATGAAAACCAACAAGCGTTTAACAACTCAGTAAACAGCTGCATACAACTCGCGATTTTCTTAATCACTCACTATAAAATGTCGGTTTTGCTACCTTAATTAATTATTATCCACTGCTTAAGTGTTATGTATGCCTCCACTTACAAAGTCTAAGGCAGCCTCAATTAAAAGTTAACAACAAACAGACGAAACTCAAAGAGGCCCCACACCTCCCCTCTCCTTCCTTTTGACCGTCGCTAACCCCCCTGGTAAGAATTTATTTCTCTCCCCAGCTTTCTGCTGCCGTGAAAAAACAAGAAAATACTGAGCACTAGCTCGCAAAAATCACACCCGCTCTGCACGCTATCGCACTTAGGCTTATGTCACTGAAATTGAGGTATCTCCCGAAAAAAGGCGTCAGAAAAAGGTTCCACTGCATTCTCTACTCCATTCTTTCAACAGAGCGTATTTCTTTTGCTACTTTTTTTTCCAAACCTTTGAAAGTAGCCTGTCCAAGCTGAGTGACTTCAATCTTCCTGCTGTCTGTAGAACCAGTAATTTTAATATGTCCCAAATTGTGTAAGGAGTCCAGCGCTGTCTCCATCTGTTCAGTAATGTTGACTGACTGTGATTCTGACTGCACAGACAGTAAAGTGTTCTGCATGAACTGTGTCAGTTTTTCTGTTGTTGTACATAGCTGCAAAAAAAAAAAAAGGATTTGAGGTTAAACAACCTGTATCACAAGGATTATTATCGAGAGAAATCACATCTTGAGAGGTACACAACATTTTTTTGGAGTAACTTTTTATTTTCAAAGGGAATTTACGTTAACTAGAAGTCAAAGAAATTTTGAATTGAGTGTTGGAAGTAATTGGGGATTGCACTGGCTTTCATTTCCCTTCCTCTGTGATTGATCCAGAAAACTCGCACCACTTTTTCAACCAATCACATGGAAAAATAAAACCAAACTAAACTTGTTGAAATACGGTGGCTAATTTACGTTTTTAACTCAGTTGTTAACACTAAATTACTTGTTGAAACACGTTTTCCTCGCGAGTTCTCACCGGCTTCTTAAGATATTTCCTTTAAAAACTCAAACAAAATGCGTTCGAAAGAAAACCCCACGATGGTCTTTTGTCAGGGGCTATATCCTTGTTTCCATAGAGAATAATTTGTTGAGGAGAAATCACAATATTTTCCTTACACAACTTACTTTCAGTCCTATAAGTGTCAGGAGCATTGCTCTTAATCCTTTGCCATTGTCAAACAATAATCCACTATAACAGTTCTCCAACGGGCCTGAAAATAGGTGACGAATCTGGGAAGAGAAAAAAATGCAACTTACACCTCGATGAAAGCAAAAGAACAAATCCCACACTAATCGTGACACACATCGTTTCTTCCTTGGAAGATGAGTCTTGTTTCGCGCAAGGTGAATCAAATTTCCTATAAGACAATTTTTCTGCGAGGCGAACTGTATTCAACAAAAGACGTTCTCATCACTCTTTGCGATACGTGTCCAATTTTTCGCGAGATGTGTCTCAAATCTCGCGAGGAAAACGTGTCTCACCAATCGCGAAACGATTCTAATTTATCACGATATGTCCTTAGATTTTTCTCATTTCTTACAGAATTGCCTCTTTCCCGCGAGATGTATCATTCCTCACGAGACGTGTTTTACTTCTTCTGAGACGTGTCTTACTTCTTCTGAGACGTTTCTCGTTTCTGGCGAGACGTGTCCTATTTCTCGCGAGGCGTGTCTCATTTCTCGTAGGACGCGTCTTGTTTCGCGCAAGATGTGAATGAAAAGTAAAGACTGCACAATCAAACCTATGGCAGTACATGACCAACAACAAAATTAATCCTAACCTTGGGTTTATCCGAATCTTTGACGATAAGAATACTTTCTCCAGACGTGTCTATTCCAGCTCGCCCCGCCCGACCAATCATCTGCTTGTACTGACTCTGACTGAGCACTGAGCTTCCCACATACAGCGCACGGATTATCACCCTGCACACCAAACTAACACATTAGCTGCTCCTGAATAGCAGGAGACAAAAAATCTTTGTTTTCGCAATAAGCTCAATCCTTAAAAGCGGAATCTATTTGTGAAGCACGAGTATGATTGCAGAGAGAATTTTTCCAACAAAAATGAACCCAATAGTCTTCATAAAAAGTGCCCTCAACTGGTGCATACTGTCCAATTATACAAGCATGACACGTAAACTGTCCTTTTGTTGCTCAAACTGAGCTGCTGTTGTAAAAACAAATTACGTTTGGGAGTTTCGTTATAGTTTTGATCTCATACGAGAATCAGAGGGATGTCAATCTGTTACATACCTCTTTGCTGGCAAATTGACACCAGCTGCTAAAGTTGAAGTGCAAGTCAGAAGACACAGCACCCCCTGACAGTAGCCGTCCTCAATGAGTTTCCGTTCATCCATCGTCAGCCCGCTGTGGTGATAAGCAATTCCAAAAGGAATGGTCTGTTTCAACACGGGACAGAGGTCAGAAGCTTCATTGTACAAAGCTTTCATCAGCTGAAGTCTTTCTTGAGCTTTGACTTGGCACAATTTCCTAGTAACACACAAAATGAACCTCAACTGAAAGTCAAAAATCCGGGAGCACTGCTAACAATTTGTTACCTGGGCATAAACTTCACAAGAAGCAATGCTAAGTTTTGGCAGTTTTTCTTTGTAGAACAAAACACGAGACAGGAGTGATCTGGTACGACCTCCAACACCAGGGATAACAACTGGTCTGGATCTTGCTTCAGGATCCTTTGGTCCTAAGAACAATTTTAACAAAAATCTTAAAAAAGTAGACACTGAGCTAGTAAAACTACTTCAAAAACATTCCAATACTGCTGACACTGAGGATTTTACCGCTTACAAGCAGTTCTAATTTGATTGTAATATCAGTAGTGGTGACTGAGGTTTTGACAACCTTAGTGGAAGTCATCATCAGAGTCATTGTTAGTTTTCTTGACCTTGATGATGACATCTGTTAAGGTTGTAAACACGTCACTTGCTACAACCAAGAACAGTCCTTCTCAGGGCTACTTTCACCTGTACAATCAGACCACACAATCAAATGCCATTGTGGCTTCGTGTGTTTATGTTCTGACCTGCTTGAGAGGGATACTCCTAACTGGCTTGCTGCATTCTCCCTCAGGATCTGTAGCCTCAGGAACTTTATAAATGTCATGCCCCACTTTTACAAACTCCTTCAGTTCAACCTGAGCAAAGACATATCAATCAATTAAAACATGCTCATCACATTTTATATTGTCAGTATGTTACAGTTTCCAGGCTACAGGCTGAATTATATATCATGTGCAAGGTATGAAACACCAACGGGGAATAAAAAGTACTTTATAAAATCTGAATCACAAGTAAAATTCTGTACTCACGGGTCTAAAATTATTTGAATACACCTCTGCCTTTAAAAATGTCTTCAAATCTGCAATGTTGCTTAAAGTAGCACTCATTCCAATGATCTGAGTGGTGGCTACAAAATGTAAAATTATAAAAATCAAGAGTTACTTCTCCAATCAAAACAGGCTCAACAAGCCTTAGCTTCAATTTATCCTTAGCATAAAACAATTCTTGATATTTCTGTTCTCCCTTCTTGTCAAGAATTTTTGGCCATCAGAGACAATCTGCTTGAGTCAAATAATCAGAAAACATCATTACACAGCACTGTAGAGTACTTACAAGACACAAACATGAGCTTTGCCAAACGCATCTCTAAAGTAGCACCTCTTCCAGCCTCTCCAAGCATATGCAGCTTGACAGATAAGAAAATAAATATATCACACTGTTATTGGTTAACATAAAAAATGAGACATAACTGTAGTATGTTAGATAGAGTGAAACCATCTACATATCTGCTCAACTCTCAGTCAAGGATTCAAGTCTTCTGTACCTCGTCAATTACAACAAGTCCCAAGGTTGAAATCCTGCTTTCTTCAATAAGGCCATTAATAAGCGCATTTGCCTATTTGAAAAGAGAAATTAAAAAATAATTTAAAATGGCTTGAAAACAGTTAAGGCAAACTTCATTATTTGAAGAGCTACATGGGAAAAAATCATGGTTGACTTCTGATGCAAAATTAAAATCCTCCTTGAGTTCCATGAGCTCACTTCTGGGAATTTTCTCTGCCCCCTTTCATTTGTAATGCTTCAACAGAACCTTCAAACCTTCTCTATTGTTGCAATATACACAGATTTCTTCTTGCGTCTTTTGCGTGGAGGGATTCTTCCTAGGCTGGCAGCATACTCTTCTACTAAGAAGCTGAGGTCAACAGCAAATTGAGAAAGAGATTTAACCTGATGATCAAAGACAAAGAAATCCTTATTGAGATAGGCATTAAAAGCAAGTACAGGCATCATGTCACAAAGCAGGAAAAGTGTTCCAAATCTTATGGCTGGCTGGTTAACAGGTGTAAATATAGAGCTTGTACAGGAGTTTTCAAGGTAGATCAAGGCATTTGTGAGTAGAAAGGGAGTCTCCATTTCTGTCAGACTCCTGAAAACACTAGAAATATTTCTAAAGGTATTTTTTGTTGAGAAGGGGTGGCCAATTAAACATGAGATAACAAAATTGTAAGCAACAATAGTTTTGCTGGTAAGTCCTGATTAACATCCCCAAATAGTTCAAGTATTTATAATTTTCTGAATTCAGAGAGGAGAAAGGGGGAAGAAAGGAGATTTTTAAGCCTGCTTGCAAAAAGTATAAATTAGCCTTAAAAATTAACCTTTTAAGAAGGGGCATCCCTGTAACTCTCATTAATTTAAAAAAGTTACCTACTCCTGTCGGAGTTAAGGTGTTTCTTAGGTCTACGCATGTACTAATTTATACGTACATAAAAGTATTAAAATAAATATTCTAACATTGGTATTCTAATGCGGCAAACTTAAAACACAGAATCACCTTTTCCTGTACAATTGACACAAATGGGAGAACAAACAAGACATCTTTCTCTTGCAAAAGCAGCTCTTTGAAAATAAGAATTTCTGCAACTAAAGTTTTGCCTCCACTTGTTGGAAGGGAATAAATCAAGTTTCTTCTCTCCTTAATAGCCTCTAGATTGAGGCAGTCTTTTTGCCAGTCTGCAATGAAAAAAAATGCATCAGTATGTCTTTAACCCTCAAGATCTGAGAAGTAATTCTCTCCAAAGCTGCTACATATTAACTTGTAGATTAGAAAAGAGAATTTGGTGTTTTGTTAAAATGTTCTTTAGCCAATGGGTTTGTTAGTTTTTATCACCCATTTGTTGGATTATGTATTAAAAGTGTATGGAGAAATTATATTTTGATCTATGCTGGGAGTTCAGGAGTAAACAACTTAAATTGTTCAGTGGTTCAATTGACAAATTTAATATAATATGTGAATTAGAAATACAGACAGTAGCTGGTCACCCAAAATAGCTTTACTCTAGGAGGGGCTGAACCTTATTTCTCCTCAAAGTATCACCCCTGAATCAAACAAGAGAATAGAGGAAATGATCACCAACTAAAGAAGCTCTTGATTGTTAAACAAACTCTTCTTTTTCGTACTTGAATGGAGAATATGTGTACTGAGTGTTAACCCTTTAACTCCCAAGATCTGATTGTTAATTCTCCCTTCTAGCTGCTACACATTTCCATGTAAACTGGTTACAAGAATTTTGCTTTTGACCAAGCTAATATTGTGCACTTGATGAGTTTGAGTATTCTCACTACCTGTTTGCTGGATAATGTATGAATATTGTGGGAAGAAGTTACATGTTTATCACTCCTGGGAGTTGAAGTGTTAAGGGTTATCTTAAACTAACTTACCATACAAACTATCAATTCCTTTGTATTTCTGTAACAACTCTTTGACTTTGAGAGGTAAGCCATAAAACTGCTTTTCCTCCTCTTCTGGTAAAATTGCCAAGTTGCCTTGCGTACGGTTCAAAGCAGCCGAGGAAGTGATAATTTCACTCAAATTCAAAGCAGCTAAAACACCATCATCGTCGCAAAAACTGGAACTGTTGATTAAACTTTTCAATCCAAAAGGAGAGCTAACACTTGTTGCATTAGTTTGTTCACGCTTGAAATACCTTGCAGATAGTTCAGCTTCGCAATCCTGTATATCATTCCCTGTTCTATTTGGAGTGCTGCAGTAGCGGTTTTTCTCTTCTGCAACTTTTAACCCTGTTAGAGACTTCTCGCGTTTCCGCACCGGGTGATCGTCCTCCATTGAAGGTTCGGCTTGTTTTCGATCATCTACCATTTCACTCTCGCTACAGCTGCTATTTAAACTCCTTCGCTTCGACCGTCTGCTTCTCCTCACATCGAGAGTAGAAGTTTTCTTAATTTTATAGTCTTTAACCCGATCTATTGTCAACTCTTCATTACTTCTTCTAAAGTTTATCTTTTTCACAGCGACCACATCTTTGCGTAACCGTTTCTGGTCATTAGTTGAAGCACAATTTGCTGTTCTTTTGATAGTATTCATCTCTCCCAGGGTTAAAACCCATCATATAAAATTATTTCATTCAACTTTCTTGGTTATGTTGAAACTTTTTCCAAAGTAGCACGCTGGGCACTGCCGCCATCTTTATATCTGCTAAGGATCTGGGACTGCGGAGTGCGGAGTACGGACGACGGACGACGGACGACGGACGACGGACGACGGACGACGGACGACGGACGACGGACGACGGACGACGGACGACGGACTACGCCGACCGTATCCTACTAGAAGCATATAACCTGGCTATATGTCGTTTTATGCGGAACGAACTCTTTATACCTGTGATCAAAACGCTCCATACATTGCTGCTTTTCCGTTACAAACTATAAAGGAACATCTGATGGTGAATTATTTCCGCAGCCCAAGCAAACTCATGTAGACACTGTTTTTTTTTCCTTCCATTCCACTCACCTCTTTCGTCTTGTCATTTACCAATGTCTTTTTTTATTGTTCATTTGCTTGTTTGTAGGCTGCTCCAAACTTAGTCGATAACGTAAATTGGCCACCATAAAGAGTTTCAAAGCTGACGTTTCGAGTTCTGACAAAGGACCAGGGCTCAAAACATAAGCTTTGAGTCTCTTTAAGGAGGCCTACCAACTAAGTTAATAAGGGAATAACATGACTTTTTGAGGGAATATTGTTTATTTGCGCCCGCGTAGTGTCATTTGCGGCCCGAGGGCCGCAAATGACACTACAAGGGCGCAAATAAACAATATTCCCGAAAAAAGTCATGTCATTATCATTATTATCAATAAACAAGGCCAAATGATATCAAGAATGCGAGTTTTAATAATACAAGCTAAGTGAATGACGAATTCAAAGTCACTTCAAATCATCATGTAAGTGTTGATTGAACAAGCTATTAAAGAATCAACTCAGTCCAGTGAACTTATTGAAAATTACCGAAAAAATGCTTAAAATCGTCTATAAATAATAGGCATATCACAAAGTTAACCTTAAAAATGTCCATGCAGGTAACAGAATCATCACAAAGTTAACGGATCAGCTGTAGGGCTGATAATGCATTAGCGGCCCGCTGTCAGTCTGTTGCGGCCCGCTGAGCGTGTGTTTTGAAGAGGCCGATTTTCTATTTGGCCGCGTATATTGATAATAATAATACTTAACTACCATATTATACCATAATTTTGTTAAGCACCATAAGGAAATATTTACTCTGAAATTGTCAAACAGAGAAAATTCCCTCAATTCAAAGACTGGTGCACTTTTGGTAACTTCTCCTTACAGTGCTCATCGCACTTTGTTTTTTCCTTTTTTTTTTTGGAGGGGGGGATCTATATTCTGCACAGCCAGTCAACTATAATAACAAATATAATGAGAAAGGTTAGAATTAATGTATTTATGTTTTTTTTGCACCTTTCAAGCCCAAAGATCTTTGCCAGCAGTTTTCCCAAAATCGTTTAAACTTTTGGCACTAATTTTGTGAAGCATAGTTTGAAGAGTTCTTGTTTTACGATATCTTAACATTTACATTGCCAATCATCATTGCCTTGAATTCTTCAACGTTTGTTTGGTTATTGCCATCATTGATGTAGAGACCCGCGGTTAGCCCTGTGGGTTCCCTGTGGTAGTAATCCATGGTCAACAGGGCACCCATGATCAACTTAACAAGCCGTCTACAAACTCTCTCCACTATTTCTATGTAGTTCTCTTCACATTGACCACAACTGGTTAGGACAGCTCATTTTAATATTTTCCAGTGAGAAGGGTCAAAGAAATACCTCATCCAGGTTTTCCTGGTTTTCTAAATTTAGCTTGTACAAATATCCTTGGTACATCAACTCCTTCCTTTTTATTAACAGTCCTCCTGTGAGCATAATCATTGACTAATGTTTCAAATCCAGCTTGATGGAAGAGTGTTTCAACAAGATCTGTAAGAGCAAAACAAGAAAAAGCACTGTAACAGGGGAAGAAAAATTTTCAATGATTGGCATCAAGTTGTCTTTTTTTTTTACAATGGGAGAAAAAAAGAGAAAGAAAGTTACCAATGACATACGTTCTAGCAAGCCCCTTGCTAATGAGCCCCCTATCTGAGGGTTCACTCTCCACCAATTCCTCCCCACAGCTCTTTATCAAGCCCCTTCTCTAATAACCCCACCACTCTGGGACTTCTCTAGTTTCTAATAGGCCTTCCTCCCTTGAATAAGCATCCTCAAGTCCTGTTCTATATTAAGCCTCCTATCTGATAGGTCCCCTGCTAAGTCCTGAGTCCCCCTCTCTATTAAGCCTCCTTCCTGTAAGAGTCCCCATCTCAAATAACCCCCTCTTTGTTGAGCCCTGTTCTATATCAAGTCTCCTATCTAATAAATCCCCCTTTCCATTAAGCCCTCCTCTCTGTTACACCTCCTTCCCCTAAGAGTCCCATCCCAAATAACCCTCCTCTCTATTTAGCCCTGTTCTATATTAAGCTCCCTATCTAAAAATTCCCCCTCTCCATTAAGCCCCTCTCTGTTACACCTCCTTCCCCTAAGAGTCCCGTCCCAAATAACCCTCCTCTCTATTAAGCCCTGTTCTATATTAAGCTCCCTATCTAAAAATTCCCCCTCTCTGTTACACCTCCTTCCCCTAAGAGTCCCATCCCAAATAACCCTTCTCTCTATTAAGCCCTGTTCTATATTATAAATAAACCCCCCTCTCCATTGAGCCCTACGATCAATCAAGACCCCCATTAAATAAAGTCCTCCTCCCTATAAAGCATCTTTGTCTAGAACATCTCCCTCTCTGATAAACCCCCCTCCCCAATAAGCCCCTATTTCTATTGTGCCCCCTCTTCCTTCAGTTGCCAACAATTTATTGTAAAATAAACACATGCAAAAACATATATATATTTTTTTTAGAAATAAAAGAGGGACAAACAAAGAAGATGTGAATTTATGAAAAGGACAAAGATGGAAAGAGGACTTCAGCTTACCTTTTGAAAAATAATAAGCTCTAGTGCCATCTTGTCTGACATAAAAGTTATCTGAGAGTTTGTTTGCAGGACTAAATCTTAACATAGCATGGTCATACAACCCATAATCACGAAAGAACAGCAATCCACCTGGTTTGAGAACCTTATTTGGATGAAAATAAAATAAAAAATATTTGTAAAAATGAATCGTTTACTGTGTCAAAGTTGACTGTGTCTTTTCCTAACCAAACTGTGACAGGATACCTTAACAAGATCAAGACAAGTATTTAAGTGTTTTGTCTTACTTAACACTCTAACTTGCAGAATTGATTAACATGGAACTTCTCCCTATAATATTCATACATTATTCAGCAAACAGGTGATGAGAATACTCAAACTCATCAGGTACAAGATATTACTTTGATTGACCACCAAATTCTCATAACCAATTTACAAGGAAATGTGTAGTAGCTAGAGGGAAGAATTAACAATCAGATCTTGGGAGTTAAGTAACTGACACCTCAGAAACAAGTAAGACTGTAAAAATACCAGCCATCTGTGCCTCAGGAGAACGCTCATACAACCCAGAAAAACCAGTCTAAAGCCATATTAATTATCTGTTTACTTTGTGGGTGAACTTTGAGAATAATGTTTGAGAAAAAAAAAACGCAATCACTTCAGTTTACTGTTTTACCTGTATTACATTTTGAAGAACAGTCAACATTTTATCTGGATGGACGGCAGACAGGACAAACACCAAAGTTGCAATGTCCACACTACATTTTGGCACATGTGACTCTAAAGCATCCACTGTTAGGTCACAATGGAAGGCATTTACTTTTTCTTCACTAAAAGCAGGATGTTCCTAGACAAAAAAACAAACAAAAATTGTAAACCCTTTAACTCCCCTGAGTGACCAAGACAGAATTTCTCCTTACAATATCCATACAATATCAAGCAGACAAGTGATGAGAATAAAGAAAATTATTAATTAGAGAATTATAAGTTGATCTAATACCAAATTCTCTAGACTAACATCAGAAAAACTATATGACAGACAGCAAGGAGAATCACTTATGAGATCTTGGAAGGGATGAAAGGGGTCACCTAATCTGTCAATCAGTATTATTTTTCAGAGCAATCAATCAAGGCAACTTTATTTGGTTGAATCTGAATTACCAATCTTTTCAAGCTATAATTATACTGCACAAGTAATTATATGATCATAATTACGATGCAGGAACAATACACTTTTTCTCTCCTCCATTAATAAAGTGTAAACCATATGAATAAAATTAAATACTTAGTGTTTAAGATTCTAAGGAGTACCCTAACCATTCCCTACATATGATTCAGCGTTAACAACTGAGTTGAAAACGTAAATTAGCCACCATAAAAAGTTTAAAGGCTGACGTTTTGAGCGTCAGCCTATTTTCAAAGCAATAGACAAAGGGCTGACCCTCTAAACTCTTTACGGTGGCTAATTTACGTTTTCAACCCAGTTGTTAACACCAAATTACCTGTTATACTCTCCCACTAATGCAGCACCACAGTTTCTTCAGAAACTTATCCCCTTTATCCATTCCCCACATGGTCTCCAAATTTGCTAAAAGTTCTTACCTTCACAAAATCAATGGCTCTTTTTGAAAAATCACATGCATGAATGAAGAGATTTGGGATTTCTTCAAGTAATGGATAGAAGAGATTTCCAACACCACATCCAGCCTCCAATAAAACTTTGCTTGTAACAAAATCTGACTTGATTTCAATAAAGAAAATTTAGATTTAGATTTGGAGAGCAATCACAGCTTCTCATGCATCAAGAATTGACTTTTTGTAACCAATCTCACACAGTTTCAAACTTATATGTCTTGACCAAAATTAATCACATCATTTCAACTCTGCCTGTGCCAGGCTGAAGTCAAAGGAAAGGAGAAGAGGAGTACAAGTGGGTGATGGAGAACTGCCTAAGTTATTTTGTAGGATTCATAAGAAAAGAGGGTCATTACCCTCCTTAGTTCTCCCATGCTTTTTTCTTTCTCATTTGTCCCCAGATTTCTTGTGTTATTTGAAAACAACCAAGCACATTCCTCTTCTAATGGAATTAAATTATTCTCTCCCTGTGGACACAAGTTTTAACTGAATGATGAAAGTTATCTAATATAGCATTTAGATTTCCCAAAAAAACACTTTGTTATTGGTCAAAAAAATTTATCCACCCTCTTGCAAAATCAAAACCAGTCATGTTTGGTAAATTGACCAATTCTGCATTTTGGTTGTTTTTAATCTGAGTTCTTATTGGCTCCTTATGGAATTTTCCTCTACTCTGATTTGCTGTTGTGATTACTTTGGTTCCACTTGTACAACACTCAGTCAAAGTCCTCTTCATTCCACCATAAATAGATTTGTTCCTTTTCTAATTCTGTAATTTAGCACAACACACTTACCTCACCATTTCTACTTTCACATAACAGCTCTTTGAATTCTGCAGTAGTCCAGTGTCTATCTTTGAAAAAGTTTGTAGCGTTTCTTTTATAAAATAAATCCCAATTTTTTTGGGCTTCTTTTTCTAGCTTATTCTGTTTAAATTTTGAAACAATCTTGCTATCATCTTCAAGTTTTACCTTCTCTTCTTCTGTGAGAACACGTACATCATCTTCGTCCGCCATCACTAATGATAACAACCGCTGACTACTATAAATATTTCCCGTGGGTCTTTGCTAATCGGAAGTTAGTGTCCCATAATACACTGCGGCACTTGACATCTTTTAGTCGCACAAGGGAAAGTAAAAAATGTCGGAGGAAAATAAGGTAATGTGGTTGAACGAGAATTCTTTTTACATTCAATAAGTTATTTAAATCTCGAAGAATTAATGTAAAATGTCCTTTCTCTTAGGAGGTAAAACCTGAATCAGAACACATTAACCTGAAAGTTATGGGTCAGGTAAGCTGCCATTGATCTTATCGTTCTCGTGCTTAGCGTTGAATCGAGGTGCTAGTTTGTACCCTCAGAAGAAAATGCCGTCGAAAACCTCCACAAGAAAGATTATTTTTGTCATATTATTGGTAATTCGGCATAGATTTGGGTTCAATTATCGCGGTGATGATCGCCGATTTAAAGTACAGCGTCGAACTAAGATCAAATAACATAAGTGAGAACAAGGAATTTGAAATCTGCTATTCTACTTCCTACACTACGGCCGTCCCACTTTCGAAATCCTCCCCATTTTACCAAAGAAATAGTGCGTCTGTTAGTATTCAGAGCCATAAAGAGTTGGCTTCCCGAAACGACGTCTATGTCCTGTGCTGTTTTGTTAACCACTTTGATTTGTGTATATTGTGATCTGTGGCGGGAAACGCAACACACGTGCTTGTGTCGATTTGTAAAAAGGCCACCCTTTGACGTTCCTGTCGTTAAAAATCTTTTGCTGATTGAGCTTCTCTTGTTGCTTCACAGGACAACACAGAAGTACATTTTAAGATCAAGAAAACCACTCAATTAAAAAAACTCAAGCAAGCATACTGCGATCGCCAGGTTTGACAGTTTCGAATCATACACGTTGTTTGATAATATTCTAGTAGTTACATTCTCTACACTGTTCTCCTCACATTTGCTATGTTACTGACAAGGAGAGTTTGTTTGACAATCAGGAGCCTCTCAAATTGGTGATTGTTTCCTTTATTCTCACAACCTTTGCATTTGATTCAAGGGTGGTACTATATGGAGAAATTAGAGGCTAGTCACTCCTAGGAATGAAAGGGTTAATACATGTTATTGTTTGAAAATACAAAAACACAGATTTCTCAAATTTAAAAGTATAACTAATTACCATGAGAACCACTGGTCAGATTTCTAAAGTTTTCTAAATATTTCTGCAAGCAAGCCTTCAATCTTGCTTAGTTTGTGTTGTGCTAATGATTTCATTGTCTTTTATGTTTAGGGTGTCCCCCTAAATTCACTTCGGTTTCTTTTCGATGGTCAAAGAATAAATGATGATCAAACTCCTAAAGATGTAAGTATTGGACAGAACTTGAAAAATGGTCACAATTGATGCTGAAGCTCATTTTCATGATAAAAAGATAATCAGTTGAGTGAGGCATGGCCAAAGTTTGGCAACATGGTTTTATTTTTGGTGTTGTCACAGGCAACCTTCCTTGTTTCCAAAGGTAACTGAATCTCAAGAGCCTTGAGATTCAGAGATCAGTCAGCTATCAAACACGAATGCTTGCCAAAAGAGGTTAAAGCACATGTTACCATTGGAAACATAGTCAGTTGTCCATGACAACAACACCATTTTAATGCCAAAATGTGGTTGCTAAACTTCTGTTGCACCTTATTATAGTATTTTGAAGAATCGGGTGCCAGGAGGCAACTATTATTGATTTGAGTTCCGAAAGTTCTGTCTCAATTTGCCTGGCAAAGCCAAATAATTTTTGTTTGTTTATACTGGCTATCATGTACATCACATACTTAGAAGTTTTAATAAATTTAATAACATTTCAATTAGAGGTAATGGACCTACTTTTAATAGAGAAGCTTTTGACTGAGGAAATTGTAGAATTTTTTGTCATATCAGGGCTCGAAATTGTGACCAATACAACATGGCTAAACCTTTTAACTTGGCAACTAAAAATTTGAGTTTAGTCACTTTGGCAACTATGTTCCTCTGATAAATAAAATATTAAAGGTGAGAAACAATTTCCTTAGTCTCATTTCTGCTTTTCTGCAAAAGGAAATGCAAATTTAGTCTGTTTACCTTTAAGTTAAAACTTGAAATTGCTCTAAGATCGCGACTTCTGAGGCGACATTACAGTGGCTTCTACATAGTGATCGCGGGCACAATATTTTGTTGAGAGGCTACTGAATTTTCGTAATTTGCTGCAGGCTAGAAATTACCAGGAAGCAAGGTTGTTGTTAGTATGCAAACAAGAAGCGTTTCAAAGCCTTTCAAAAACATTTGTTTGGGGCATGAATCTCCTGCAGTAGCTACCGGAGGATGTCTTTGAAACGTGTTTAGTTCCAGAAGCCAAACAACTATGTTAATTAAATGGGGATCTAATCTGAATTTCTGTTCATTTACTATCTGGCAACTGCATTTTTGTATTTGGCGACCATTTTTTCTTTGATAGTTACCAAAAGGCGACTTGGAATTTTTTTTAATTTCGAGCCCTGCATATATTTTTGCTATATTATTGGTTCTCTCCCATTTGTGTTGATTCTCAAGGCATTTTAATAGCATATGATGTACTCCAATTTTTTCTCTTCTGTTTTTTTTTTTTTTACATTATGACACAACTTATCACTCTTTTCAAAAATGAAGGAAATTTTATGGTGGTTGCTGAAAATAACAACCAGTAGGTCATTGGTCAGCACTAGCACCCAATTATATTTTAGCTCAGAGAGGCCCATGTGTTTGCCTCTGAATATTTATTAATGAACATTGTTCTATCACTTAAAACTGTGCTATTAACTTAAGATTTTGGTTTACTTTGCAATTAAGACATTTCCATTGTATTGTTATTGCTACATAAATTATTTGTAGAGAAGGTTCAGTGGGTGTGGTGTGAAACCAAACCTGTCCTTTTTCCTAAAAATCACATGACTTTCATTCAGAACTCTTGTGTTCGACATGTGATGTCTTTGCCCCTTCACAGTGATTGCTTTCTTTTTTTGCAGCTCGAAATGGAAGATGATGATGTTATCGAAGTGTACCAGGAACAGACGGGAGGGCAATGAATTTTACCCCATACTTGACATCCACATAAGTTTGTTTTGTTCTCTTGTAGCTCAAATGGTATCATATTACAACTTTTGTTCAGTAGCAACAACATAGTTCATTCTGGATAAGCAAAAGGTTGCTTTTATGAATAAGACTTGGTGCAAAACCAGGATTTTATACTTGTCTCCGCTTATATGCATAAAGCAATTGTTAATCTATGATAAGTTTCATTTCTTCCTGTGAATAGTTTAAGAATTTCTTTTTGTTTCATTCCATTTAGTTAGATTTGACCTCTTTTATAATTTGTCAGTTAAGTGTGCAGTGCTTGTTTATAAATTCAACAGTTTAGTTCATTAAAGATGTACTTTCAATTATGTTTTGCTCTTTCTTGGTAACATAGTCCAAGTATAGGAATCACATGAGCACAGGTGACGTGATTTGACCTTTTAAACACCAAGAGTGATGTTCATCTAGTTTATCTTTACAATAATCAAAGATTCAACATTACCCCTCCTGCCACCCACAGGCATTTGATTGTTATCTGTGCCAAGGGGGTGGGGAATTTGAACCAGAACTGTCAAGACTTTCCAGCAGATTAAACATGTTTTATCTGTTAATTCAGAGGTGTATTAAAGTAAAAAGTTCAATTTCGTGAGCAGATAGCTCAGAAAAATGGGGATACAAGAATATCACAAGCGCTGATCTTGCCTTTTACAAAATCAATTGTACATACATGCAAAATCAACTTTTTCCTCTTACATTTCACAACAACAGTGTTTCACCTACTAGTCTAACAAAGTATCTTTGGGGTAGATGTGCTGTTTGCCTCAGTGAAATTTATACTCCCTACTCTTTAATTTTATTCTTTATAATTGGAGCCTTTCCCTAGAATAGGATCTGAATTTCCAACTCTTTTTGGGTGAGCAGCTCTCTTTCTCTCCTTCCTCAGCTACATTTAAAGATACTACATTACTGTTTTCCTTTTTGCTTTATTTCTTTAATCAAATCAGATGTTTTTAACAATGAAATATTTCAGTTTCACATTGAGTAGGTGTCTACATGTTATACTTTTATGCTGTTTGAAAGTTGCGAAAATTGGACAAAATAGACTTCAATCTCTTTAAGCCTGTATAATATCTTAACTGTGTTAATACCTGCTTATTTCAATCCACCTTAAACTAAACAAAATATTTTTAGGAGTAAGTCGATTTCTATAAAATGACAGGAGTTTTTCTGGTTTCAAGTGACTATCTGAAGTAATTTTTTATACAACACAAACTCAACTTACAAGGATTAATGTCAGATGAAGAAGCTGTGCAAACAAACTTTTTTTTACAGGAATATACAGAAACTGACATTGGAAAAATGAATGCAAAAACAAATTGTAAAAACTACATTTTAACCACAAGGGTAAAAACAAAAAAAGGAAAGAGAAACAGTTGTCTGTAAGACTCAAATGTCCAATTAAAAAGGCCACTAGCAAAAGAGTCTTGTAACCTTTTGGGATTTCTAACCATTGTAGGTAGATTATCCTACCTACTAATATACTTCAACTTTAACCCGAACATTTCCAAAGTACACAACACTTGGGAAAATTGCTGAAAGCAAAGTATAGATTCAATACTTCATAGATCCTTTGAGATTGTTGGCTTAAATTCTGTTTATAAAAATTAAAATACTACAACGTTTTGTGCTTGGTATTCATTAGTAATATTATCTCTAGCGAAAAACTGAAAAGAAAAAGGTAAAATCATTTCTTCGTGAGTTGTTCAGTCAAGATTTCACCATCAAATTCAACATCTGTAAGATCAAAAGAAAAACTTTGAATTAATAACAAAGAAGTGATATTGGAGAATGCTAATTTATTTTCTTTGATACTTAATACTACATGCAAACAGTTTTACCCTTCTTGTTTGTGAAAACACATGCTACAAAAAACCCATGATTTGATACAAGGATTGAAAAAAATGCAATTAACCAATCAACTAAATTTTTTGTTCTCAAAAACCTTTCACATAATAAGCTGAATTATTTTGATTGGTTATAAATTAACATTGACAGTGGGTGCAAAAGAGTTTTGCAGCTATTGTTAAACATGACAATTGTCCTCATTGTTCATTCCTAATCTAAAAAAACTAGCTTTTGACACCTCTAACAAGAGTATTGCTGTAACTAAATATTCCTCACCTCTTTCAATATCCCTTCCGTCGACCACGAAGTTTCCCTCGACTTCTCCCTGGTCTAACTTTGCCTTTCCTTTCAAGGAGTTCTCTCTTATCAAGACTAAACCATGGGATCTCAAATTCTCTGTGGGTAAAAATTCATTTATCCTATCAATCTAGAAATTTTCATGATACTTTACTTCACTACTCATCATTAATATATCTCTCTGTTGGTATGTGTGCTATGATTGGTCAATTTAGCAGGCTATCTTTCACTGTACAGCCTACTAAATTCAAAAGTTTGTTTGAAATTGAAATCTTCCCCTCTATTTGAACACTGAGATATAATAAATCTCTTATTAACCTTATCTCTTGGTCTGTACTGTAAGTTATGGAACCTCATTTTTCTTTTCCGCTTGGTCCGTAAATTACAGTATAGACCATGAATACAAGTGTCTATCCTCACTGTGTGCTGCACATCTGTTGTTGTTGGGGGGGATATTCCAGTCCATTCTTTGTGAAAAAAAAATTAAAGTCTGTAACCTTGCCTCCCCCCTTCCCCCTTCCCCACTGCACCATTTCATCAAGTTTGCCAATACCCATTTATGCTCTTAGTTAGAGAGAAGCAATGTAAGGGTAAATTTTCCTTCTCAAGAACATGACACAAAGACTCTATCTAGTTTCAAGCCCAGGCCTCTCAACACCTAGTCCAGCCTGCTAACTGTTGGGTTACTTACTCTCTATGATGAATGATAAAAATTGTCAAATGTATTTCCAGCTTTTAAAACTTGCATGGAATCTCATGATGTAACTCACTAGCAGCTTGCACAGCTTTACCAATGATAGTATTACACAGGTCACCTACCTTTCTTGAAATAAGGGAACAGGAAACCCAAAGGCTACTACAGGAACTGTGTCGGAAACTTCAACTGCCATCACTAGAGGTTGGAGAATAAAACTATTATTCTTGACTCTTGAACTCCTAAGAGTGACAGGCATCTAATTTCTCCTTACAATATCACCCCTGCATCAAACATTAAGGTGATGAAAATAAAGGAAATGATGCCCAACTAAAGAAGCTCTTGACTTAAAAAAAAATTCTCTATGCCAACACCTTATGAAATGTATAGAGAACAGTAGGGAGAATATGAATATTCATCTTAGGATGCAAGGGGTTAAGGTGATCGGACTCAGTCTAGGATATAATTCTGGTTAATCTGAGGCTCTTTTTTTTTTTCAATTTGCAAGCCCATATGAAAATTTTCACATCAATAAAATCTTGCTCATAAAAAACCAAGCAGGTTAACATCAATTATTATTACATATCAATAACATTTTCTACAAAGATGGTAGTGCAGTGATTGTTTTTATTTGTATAATGTCACAACAAAAAAACCAAATTCTGGTATCTGTAGTCTCATACCATCTTCAGGAGGTGGAAGGAATGATTCAATATTTTTGCAATCCTCATCTTTACATCCAGATCTTTTCCCTTTCAGTCGCGCTTCTTCTCTGTCTCTACTTTTCTTTTCAAGATTTTGATGCGCTTGCATTGCACGCATGTGTTGAATATCCCATCTAAAATCACAAAAGAAAAATAGAATTTAATTCTTTTAAATTGATCATTATTTTCACTATTGTCAAGTGTTCTGATTATGAAAAAATTAAAATATTAAGCTCTCTGCTCTGATGATTGAATTTCAACACTGCCAAGTACAGTTTTCTTTGCCTGATCAAATTACAAACAATCCTCATTCTTACCAGATCTTATTACATTCAATTCCCTCTTCACTCACAACTTTTTTGACTGATTTAAAGAGAGAAAATAAGGACCATTTAAAATACATTTTGCTCTCACCTTTTTCTTCTCCTCTCCTCAACTTCATGTTTCATATGCCTTTTTGCAAATACATCATCGTCAATACTCTACAAAGAAAAATATGGAAATAATTGACTAAGGTTAACTAAAGAGACCTTACCAAGATAATGCATGTACTGAAAACAGGGAGAAAAACCTCTAGGAGTAAAATGAAACTGAGCTGTAAACTCAAACTTCTTTAACCTTTAATACGCTAACATCAGCATCCTTATTCTCTTCACTCTTTTCCGTACTTTTCTTCTGGTACTGACGAGGAGAATTTGCTTAATGATCAGAGCTTTTTAGGTTGGCAATCACTTCCCTTTTTCTTAGGATCTTAATGAATGACTCAGCAATATTATTGTAAGGAGAAATATAGTGCTGATCACTCTTGGGTCTAAAGGGTTAAAGTCCCCATCTGGCAGCCTTACATTAGAAAAAATGGTCCACAGAAATATCAATATGACATACTATACTGCTGCTAGCAGTACAGCGCTAGTTGGCAATCATTTCTGGAGTAACATCAAAGGGCTTAACACCCAGACCCCAAGATGAAGAAGAGGCAAAAATTTTAAAAAAATTTTGATTGACAAATTCTGTCTCAGGTAAGAATAAATTATTTTTCTCTAGTAGCTTAAGTAATTGTAAAAGGCACAGGGAGCATGGGAATATCTTTGACTTTGGATTAAATTACATATGTAATGAATACCTCATTGTTTTCTGATGATGATGATGATCCTGCTAATTTTAATGATTTTGAATTCCCTGTTCTGACTGCTGCTATTTCATTTACTTGCCAAGTAGGAACTGAAAATAAAAAAATAGATTTGTCACCAGAGGATGTATCTAATATATTATAATCACCTAAGCCTTGTATTAAAAAGTCTTTCTAAAAAATGGCCATTCAACATCATGTAAGAAAATGGCAAGAACTTATAGAAACCATAAGTGACAAAACTGTCATCAACTTTATTTTAACACTTAATTCATTGAGGAGGTAAGGTTAACCCTTTAACTCTCATGAGTGACCAAGACAGAGTTTCTCCTTACAATATCAATACAATATCATGCAGACAAGTAATGGGAATAAAGAAAATTATTAATTAGGGAATTATAGAAAAATATCAAGTAAGGGATTATAAGTTGATCCAATACCAAATTCTCCAAACTAACATTACAAGAACTGTATGGCAGATAGTAAGGAGAATTACTAATGAGATATTGGGAGTTAAAAGGTTAAGTGAGGTTTTTTTTGGACAATTGACTGAGCATAGTAAAGCAAAACAATTACAATCTTAGATCAATTTTAACACTCTTGTCTCTTCATTACAGGAAATGAAGTTAGAGCCCTGAGAAAAAAAGGGCCCTATTCTTTTTCCTGCTCTGCAGGAGTTTTCAAATTACAAAGTGCTGTGTACAGACTCAATTGGAATTTCCTGTGAGACACACTGTGCTCAAACTGGACTGTAATCTAATTTTGAAAGAACTTTCCATTCTGGGTGAAAAAACAAATTGTTATATTTTACCCTGTACATGGCTTTGAATTCTATCAGAGGCTGAACTCTCAACAGCTTTATATGGAAGATCCGGTGAGTTACCATGCAGGTAAAGTTTTTCTGTTCTCATGTGTGTGTCATAGCTTACATCTTCGCACATATGCGAAGTCATGGTAACTGGTGCAGTTGCTGGGACTCGTTTGGCCCGCATCATTTGTTCCACTGACAAACGACGGCTACAAGACACATCAAAACAAAAACCACTTCAGAAAAATGTTTGTTTGAGATTAAATTTTTTTCTTTACCAGTGTGTTCATGCAGACTTGACTAAACCCTTGACTGGTAACAATTGAAGGAGTACATAGAAATCAGCCTTACCCCTTTGTGACTTTTCATAGACCACTAGATTCTTCCTTCAACTTGTTTTGTATTCACATGTAAAACACAAGGAGAATTTGAAGTTGCATTGAGAGGCACTAAGGACTTTACTATGGCACTCCTTCACATGATCTGATTCCATCTTCCATCCGGTGAGCTTACTTTTTCGCTATTGATCTTTTATTCCTCAACTAACAAGAACACCATACACAATTCATTTTTGCATGACATTACCATTTAGGTGTCACTGGCTTTGCATCCTTTTCTTCCTGTACTTCTTCGTAACCTTCATTAACATCTCTTCTCTTTTTTACTGCCATTCTTCTCTCCAACCGATGCATACGAGACTCTAGCTATAATGTTGAACATAAACCATAAATGTTATGATCAAACTACAAAAATAAAGTAATTAATGGTAATCAGTCTCAATTACAGAATAGCATTTGATTGTATTCTGATTACCAGGTAATAGTAGTCCTATGAATGACTGCTCTCAGTAGTGGCAGGGCGTGAAATTGCGCCTAATACAGGCGCCAATGCGACCAAATCCTGAAAATTAGTCGCCAAATTGGCGACTAGAATGTTTCATCATAACCTTACCTAGAGATATAGTGAATTAAAAAGATTTGCAAAGACAAATCCTCGTTAAGTTTGTTTCCAAAACGCAGCAGATGCATCTCGATCGATAACTAGACACCATCTTGGATTTAGGTGAGCTTAAACATTGCATATCATCCATCCTAGTGTCCCCTTTGTAGCAGGTTAAAGTTCTTTTCCCTAACTTAATTTCTAGAACGATGACAGCGTAAAAAAAGGTTTTGTTTGTCTTTCAAAATGGCGACCAACTTTTTTTGAATTGGCTACCACTTTGATGAATTTAGGAGCCAAGTGGCTATCAGAAAAAAAAAATTAATTTCATGCCCTGAATGGTGACTGAAGTTCCAACAAACTGAGCAGAAGTCATCATCAGAGTTGACTCCACAGATTACGACTTCCACTAAGGTTGTTGAAACATTAGTCCATACCACCACCAAAATTCATTCTCCAGACTACCCTCACTCAGATGACAGACTAAAAGATCAAAAACTTATTGACTTAATAAAAAAATCAGCTACCTCCCTCATATAAGCATTCATATGGATCAGTTGGCACCTTAATTCTGTGATTTGATTAATTGACAACAGGAGTTTGTCATCTAATTCTGTCTGAAATCATAATTTTGATTATCACCTTAGACTCTTGCTTTGGGGTTGTCTCATATTGTTCATTTCTCATATGGTAAAAAACCAAATTGGAAACCACTCAGTCTTTTTCATAAAAAAGGTTGTGGTTATTCATTGTGGTGAATAACAATAAAAGCTAAGTTTTCCATTTTTCTCACGATGTAGTATTTTTTTTCCAACAGCTCTGATAGGTGCATTTCTGAGCTCACTCAGTCTTTTTAATGTTATACCATATAAAGAGAATAAGATATGGCCAATTTTGTTGCATTTTACAAAAGTTTTGGCAAGATTTCTCCACAGTCCACACTTCATTATGCATATAGTTCTTGGAGAAAGAAAACAATGACAAAAAACAAAAAGATAGTTCATTTGGGCATTTAGGGTTACACAGAAATCTTTCCTAAGTCTTACCCTTCAACCCATAAGAGTGACAAGCATCTAATTTCTCACTACAATATTACCCCTGAATCACACATTAAGATCTTGACAATAAAGGAAATGATCACCATATTAAGAAGCTCTTGATTGTAAATCAAATTCTTCTTGCAAGCTCCTTAGGAATGTATGTAGAACAGTATGGAGAAATTTCACACTTATTGACTATTGTTAAGGTCCAAAGAGTTGAGTTAGGCACTTGAAACATTTTGGTTCTCTGGCTGAATCATGACTCACGCATGGAAGCAAATTCATGAACATCAAAGAGCAAAAATATTTACCAATTAGAATAATAATCAAAATCATACTCTAAGGTTCTAGTTTACTTCAAAGCTTTGATACATGAATGAAGTTGTCAAAATTGTCACTTCTCCAAAAATTATTTGTGTGTTGGTGTTTCCTCGTTCAATTTTTTTTGCCTGTTATTGCTCGCTAACCCACTAATTCACTCATCCCAACCACCTGCCTGCCTAAAAAAGGCTTATTTTCAGCTAAAGATAAATCGCAAAACATTACACAACATGAATTCACTCTCAGATGTCATTGGTAATTCTCCTTACTGTTCGCCATACCATTCTTAAAATTTTAGTACAGAGAATTTTTTTATTGGATGAACCAATCACCTTCTTATTCTCATCACTTATTGGGTTGATATTACTGTATTGATACTGCAAGAGGGACACGAAATTTACGCGAAACTTGATTAATTTGAAACACATTTACTTAACAGGGCAAATTCAGAGTGATAATTGTACGTATGGTCTAAGACTAAGGCTTCTGAGAGAGCCTTTCTACCCGAAAACATGAAAAAGAAAGGAATTGTTCACACGAAAAATTAAATTCAAGAAATCTGCCATGTGGCATCTCTCGAGCGCAACAAATTAATTATTCCACGTGACCTGTTATGAGCGCCATGTTTGAATCTGCCGCTGACCTCTCCAAAAATAAAATTTATGCGATTCTGTGTTTTATGTATGCAGAAATTTAAGACAGTAAAACATTATGAAAACAGAACACAAATGTGCTTATACCTGTTCCTTGTCTTCTTTTAGTTTATTAATCTCTCGATCCTTCATCTGCAATTGTTCCTGTTGTTGTTGAATGAGCTCCAAATGCAGTAACAAAAGTTGCCGTAACTGAGTTAATTCACCGACAACGTCCATCTTATGGTTGCTACCGTCACAAGCGATTTCTGGCTCCGACGGCTTAACTAACGGTACATCAGTGCTGGGTTGTAGTTGCTCTTTCTGTGTATCACTGCTACTGCTGCCATTTTTCAGAGCCATCGAAGATTTCGATCGCAAAACGCGGGTAACCTGCCGTTCCGATCGCGAGCTAGCAGAACCCGTCGCCAATTTGTTTCCCACAAAGGGTGCATCGGTTTTCGTTTGGTTTTGATCCATGTTTCCAGTGCAGGGTAAGTCTGTGGTCATAACCATTTGGCAGACTTTGGTCCACGTTCTCTCGAACACGGCCCTAAAACTGTTTCGTTTCATTCGGGTCAAGAACAGCCATTACGGCACTTTGGCGGTCCATGTGACAAAAACATGGCGAACAACACGAATGCGAGGCAGCCGATGCTCTCGAGAGTTGCAGATGTCGTTTCCGGTATGAAGTCTGAAAAATGTCCTATTTTCCAACACTATTCAAAATTAAGCATACAATTCTTTGGAAAAACAATACAAGTTGTTCAGAAACCTACACTGCCCTAACACATTTCGAATTCAACAAGCTGACGAAAACTGTTTGCGACAAAATGACGCTATTTCCGGTAGTGATGGCATGGAACGGCGTGACAGGTTACCTAGCTGGGAGAGGTGCGTGCTTGTGTATTTCCGGTTAAAACTAGACCGCGTACTTTTCACTTAAAAAAGCCCTCTTTGTTGAAATAAGGGAGCAAACCTTAGCTAACGTAAAATAAGCCGATATCTGCAATGCAATGCAAAACATGTTTCGACATTATATATGTCATCTTCTATAGTAAATTATTTCATCGTTTTTAATTATGGAGGAGGGTATGGGGGAAGGTTTCCCTTTTATGGCATTCCATGTAAGGAGAAAGCAAACTATTTATGTAGCTTCTTTTGGATTCTGAGCGATTTTCAGAGCAAATGATAATCTCCTAATTGATTTCATAAAAGGGAAGACTCGCGAGACACGTGCGCGAAAAAGAACTCAGCCCCAGTGTGTTTGCGTCCTCTCTTCATATTACCGGGTGGCGAAATGAAAATTCCGAAAATCGCGAGATTCTGAGACCTACGAGACCCATGTTTGGTTTGTTTGAAAATCTGAGATGTATACATGTAGCATGTTTGGTTGTGCAACGTCCATCCAAAGCGTTTCCTTAGAAGATGTAAAATACTGTCAGCGGCATGCCTCTTAGAGTAACATCTTTCGTCGTCGCTACGCGCGCGTCTAATAACATTTGACGTCCATCTGCCCGTAGCAATTTTCCGGGTACAGTTTTTCCGTTCGTTTAACTATCGCTCTACATTTGAATGTTGTTTCTGGAGTTAGAATTCTACTTCAGACTTGCCAGTGCTCCATCGCACGGACAATAGAGGACAATTCAGGTAATTTTATGTGTAACATTCTGAAGGCTCTTGGAAGACCCTTTGTTGATGAACGAGATGCTTGTTACAAATTCGATGCCAGTGTCAAAGAAAGAACGTGAAAAACCTCACGAAGGACAACAGAAGTTTTTGAAATAAATTAGGATCACAACATGTAATGAGTTATCGCACTAGCCATCTGATTCGTTATTTTGCTACATATTGGCTGAAGATTTATTTCGAAAGAACAAACTGGATCTTATATCTAAGTAAGATTAGGGTACGATCGATGAAGGGCAAAGATCATAGTCGGGAATTCGGTAGGGTAAACACTTCTGACCAGTCATGTAGTTATTCATACTTTGCAAGAAATAAGAAACAGAGCAATATCTAAAGTTTGAAAAATATTAATTAAGCTGTGGCTAAAAATTAGTCAATTTAATTTGTCAACCACTCCCCCAAAGATGACTGTCCGGGAAGGCGCGTCAGTCAAGTCTCTTGTTTAACCCTTTAACCCCAAAGATCTGATCGTTAATTTTCCCCTCTAGTAGCTTCACATAACCTTGTAAGTAAGTTACAAGAATTTGGTATTAGATGAAGATAACATCTTCTAAGTGATAAGTTTTGAGTATTCTCATTACCTGTTTTGCTAGATAATGTATGGATGTTTTAGAGAGAAGTTACACATTAATCACTTCTGGAAGTTAAGGGTGAATTCTTTTACTCCAAGATCCAAATATCAATTCTCTTCACTGTTATACTTTTCTAATGATTTGAGCCCTGAGAGATTGGTGTTTAATTAAGAATATTACCTATCGATATACAATTAAAAATCTTACACTTTTTCTAGTATATTACATTACTAATTGTGTGAATATGAAAGCGATCTTTGCAGTTATGAACACTACTTAAGCAGTAGTGAAAAGAAGGCCTGAAAAAAATTCAGGCCTGTATGGGATTTGAACCCATGACTTTTGCAATACCGGTGCAGTGCTCTACCAACTGATCACTGTGTTGGTTCCAAATAAACAAATAAACAATAAAGTGTGCTACTTACAGAGGGTAATCTAATTTTCACTTTGTTACATAATGTGGTGAGAGAAAAACAAAAGAACACATTTAAACCACTAATGTTAAAATTTTTTTTTCAAACATAATTATAAGCAAGCTTGGTTAAAAATTACAACACATCTTGAAAACAAGGTTCTTTGTGACACTGTTCTTCCTCCCCTACATTACACTCCTTTGAACATCCCTTTAACTACACTTAACTTTTTGAAATTGTATTTAAAGCTAACAGTATCTGTAAATTAATTCAGAACAATTCTCCAATAACTTCTAATTTAGCAAATAACATTTTGTATATTACAAGCTTAACGTCAGTCTTGATATTCATACTTGACCACAGTAAATGACTGTTAGATAATATAAAAGTTTGTTTTGTAAGATTTATTCATCTTCTGATGTGTAATCTTCTTTTTTTTAATACTAGGTCCTCTATAATATCAAGTTACATTAAAAAATATTGTCAACCCTTTGAAAGCTAAAAGTGAGACTTTCTGAAGATGTCAGAAATTGTGGACTGCATTGCTTACATTGTTCAGAAAGTATGTTGGAGCCTGGGTGTTTGTGCACTCTTTATTGCCAAGCGGTTGGCAGATTTGTTTGGGTTAATATTCAACATCCTTGCTTGTTTAACCATTGTGAGACTACCCTTTATGATGATGCAGTTCTACCACATGGACTCAATGGTGGAATGGCGGTGTGTAGGTTTTGTCCATTTTTGTTCTTTCTGGTGGACATACCATTTATTCTCATGTTATTGCTTATGATCTTGTTTACCGGGGGGTTAATTCTCATCCCACTCATCAATGAAATCAAGGCAAAGATGAACTTAAAAGATTTCACAAGTGAAGGGGCAGGAATTTATGGTGTGAGAGCATTTGAGCTTCATTTAATCATTGGAAAGAATTTCTTTCGTCTCATCTGTGACATCTTGTGTGTTCCTCTGGCCATTGTTTGTTTCTTCTCGTGGAGATGTTGCATTTTTGTGAAAAAACTGCGAATGAAGAACTACAAGTGGAGAGACTTTGGATGGAGAAAAATTTGCATCATACAATTTTTACAACTCTTGGTTGATATTCCTTGTATTTTGATTGGCCTGCTTGTTATGATGACATGGCGTGCCCCATTTTTAGTCAGGAATGTGAACGAGTGCCGAAAAAATGATAAAAAATGGAATCAGTGGAGATTTGAAGTTTTTCCCGAATTTGTTTTCTTTTTTGTTGACTTTTTTTGCCTGCTGCTTTTTGTTTTAACCATAATAACATGGAGACTGCCCTTCTTGGTGCACAAGCTTTATCATACAGAGAAAAAACAGTGGAAAGTCCGAAAAGTTATTGTTGAACAATTTCTGTTGATATTTGTGGATATTCCGTGTATTCTATGTGCCATTATTGTGTTCATCACCTTATGGAGAGTTCCCAACTTCCTCAGAAACTGGGAAAGCGACCAATGGGAAATCAGGAAAAACTGTGTTTGCCAGATGGGAATGCTGTTTATTGACTTTGTCTGCATTCTGTTGTGTTTGGTTGTCATGGTAACCTCGTGGAGGTTATACCCCTTAATTTGTGATGTCAAGAAGTACTATTCAAGACCCCAGGAGGAACGATCCTGGAAGATTCGAAAGTCCATTTGTAAGAATGTTGCATTTTTGCTTATAGACATACCAGCTATATTTCTCTGTCTTGTCATATTTGTTACAATTTTGCGATTTCCCAAGCTACTGTCTAAGCTTATCCAATCTGGGAATTTCTTCTTGGAGTTTGCCATTACAGTTTACTTTGAGGCTGCCATGTTGGTAGTGGACATTTTCTTCGTCCTACTGTTTGTGGCTCTGATGTGCGTCAGGCCCATCCAAAGCTGGGTGCATCTGCTGGAAGACGAAGAACATAAAAAGAACCGCCTTCTGAGGCACTACATGCAGTGGGTCCCTGATATTCTGGAGAAGCGCTTCCAGAATCGGAGAGAGCTAGAAGGCATCTTTTCAACTTGTTTAAAAAATCGATCATCGGGGGCAGAGCTCTGGAATAATCTTCACACTGTCAATAGAGATTATTTGGAGGAATTAGAGTGGATTCGAAACAAAGTGAGAAAATACGAACTCGATGGAGAATTCGGCCACTTGATTGATATGATCAAATGGTGGGAGGAGAAACGAGTGAACAAGCTGCTGCGCTTGTACAGATGTGAAAGGAATTTTTTACTCCACCCCAATCTCTCCACCCATAACAACAACTTGGCAAAATTTAGAAACGAGATGCTTCGATATGAGAGTCACGTAACCGAGCAATATCGCACTGTTGAAAAGTACACCATTCCTAAAGTACCGCTGTGGGGTGAGGAATGCGGGCTCAAGACGCGCTCGCGTGAAGAGACTCAACAAACTCTGATCAAATGTCTCCCCAGTGGACGATTCGTCCTCTTGGTGCTTACACTGCTGAATGTAGCTCTGATATACCGCGGCCCTGCCTTGTTGAGAAACCTCTGCCGGCGCTGGTATGACCGGAGGAACATAGTGTTCAGCTCTTGTAAAGAGTATTTTTACGATCTGTTGACTGTTTGCAGAATCGTGTTGGTCCTGATGTTCTTGTATCGAGCGCCCTTCTTGATCACCGACATCACTATAGACATTGTTTTCAAACACAGTTGGCGCGCAGTTCGTGAGACGGTCAAAAGATATCCAGCCATGATCTTAGAAGACCTTGTTCAGCTGGTTAGTTTTTTTTTCAGCTGGGAGAGTGTCCGCTTTGTCTTCACTGCTCTTCTCTTTGGTCTCCTGATGCCGGCGGATTTATTTTTGACCATTACGAAATTTTTGATTTCAAAGGACTGCGCCTATTTCGTCACCGCTGTCTTGTACGTGATTTTCGTGGCCTTTCCGTTTCTCATACCGTTTTACATCAGCCAGAGAATAGACTCTGACAAGTTGACAGTCGTAATCGGCGCATTTGCTGTGATTTTGTTGATGGTTTTGGTGATAATGGTCATTATTTTGCTTAAGTATAGAAATCCACCCAACAGGCACGTACATAGCCAAGCAGACGCGCTCGTAATCGAACCAACGCCTTACGACTACGTACGATTCAACTGGACAAACATTCACGTGATCGTATTTGAAATCGTGGAGCTACTACAACTGTTAGCGTTAGTGTTCGTGGTAAGTGATCTTCCAATGCCTGGTGCAGGTATTCTCAACACTGCTTCCCAATATCTGCTATTGAACTTCGCTTCTTTTAATGTGAAGCTCTGGTTAACCTTTTTTATATTCGTGGTATGGTTTTTCTGCTGCGGCGCGCCCGTGATCTTGGAAAACGTTCTGGAGCATCTACCTAAGGGATCATGCGCAAAACACATGGGATGGACTTTGTTCCTGTCTCTTTTCGCTAACACCTTATTTGTAACGGTAGTGGAGAGTTTCCTTACGTTTGTAGCCTGCAAGACCAACGATTGCCCCGAGCTTAACGCAACTGTAAACGCGAACACTTCAAGTGGAAGTTACTGCTTGCCCGTTGTTCTGATCGAAGAACCTAGCATGGAATGCTGGGAAGGAAGTCACAAGGCCATCGCCTTCTTAGGCCTGCTGGGATTGGTTTGGTACTCGTCCACTGCCATCGTTTTCGGGACCAAATATGGCGATGTAGAACACCCAGGCCAGGATTTAAAATTTTCCCCCGCTTACAACATCTTCATTAATTTCGTTAAAGCGTTAATGGTGGGTGTGGTCGTTTTAGCTGCGGAGCATCATATGATTGTGTTGTCGCTTCTACTTGTGGCAAATTTAGGTGCGATTATTTTCACCCTGACATTCAAGAGGATTTTCAAGTTTCAATTGTCAAATTCTTTTGTGTTGTACATATGGCGAGCGGTGACTTTTATCTGTGCCGCGTGCGCAGCCGGGGCAGCTCTGGTTGCTAAAATAAGAAACGATCCCGACTCTCCTCTGCCTCTCGTTATTTTCCTTGGTGGCTGTCTCTTAGTGGTACTCGTCGCTCTCATGGTATCAATTTTCCTCAGAAATCGAAGAAGAACTCCCGTTGAAGAGCAGCGCAGAACGTTCCGTCAAAAGTTGTTGTCGTTGGAAGCAAAACTGGTTCAAGAAAACTACATGATAAACTCCTGGACTAAAGGCCGCTCTCAATGGAGAAGACTGGTGAAGAACGTTTACGAAGCGCAGAAGGCTGACCGCTCCGTCTCCCCGTCAGTTTATTCACACCTCCAAGTACCGGCCCCTCCACTCCCTCCACCTCCCCTAGAGGAAGGACAGATAGCTGAAGCACAACCAAGTACTTCAGCTCCCCTTCCCCGTCCCCCTGCTTATGATGATCTGTTTCCTAACATCATGGGGCCATATGGAGTTCCTCCTGTCCCCCCACCCCCATATACTGAAGCAGTAACTGACGATGTGGTTATAGACGAGGGGATAGATGATCCGATTCCCCCACCCCTACCCCCAGTGACTAAAGATGAGCCCACAGATGGGAGTCAGTCTTCCTCAGATAACTCAGTCGTTATTACGTTAAAAGACGCGGCCCTAAACTCAGAAGCTGAAAGAAGGCAATTCATCGGTTCCGCCATGCCTGCCCCACCTTATTACATGGATGACCATATGGTAAGAGAGATTTTTATTTTGTAGAAGTCACAATTCATTACATAAAAATTAGCCTCAATTCGCCGTATTATTGTCCGCGAACATCTTTTTTGATAAGCGAGCATTTCCCAAGAGGTGGGCTCGAACCGGGTGAACTGTTAGGTTTGAGGACCTGAAAATGAACAGATGTTATGTCTAGCGAAAAATAAACAAGCATATTATTACTTCAAGCTAAAGTTATTATGTTTATTAACCATTATGTATTTCTTGAAACGAGAGGGAAAATGTGTTGTCTTTGAAAACGTTTTGCTCTGGTAAGGTTTTATGATCAAAGGTACTACAGGAAACGTTAAGAGAACAGTGAGGGGAATAAAAATATTAGTTAGTATGTAGAGGGTTAAATCACGTGTTTGTCTCCAACGCATTTCTCAGGGAGTCTCGTGGAAAAACGTTCCGTGAGAATAGATTTTGGTTGCAGACCTTTTATGTGTTGCAAAATTTTGCTCGGCGATGTACGAACGTTAAACTGGTGCTTCTTCGCGTGCCACGACTATTTTTCAAGGGCTTGCGCTCCTCAATGCAACTTTTTACATGAATTTGACAAACAGTTAACGAAGACCCACTGATTATAAGTAATAACCGAAAAAAGTTCTTGTTTCTCTAGGACACTCGATATACGCAGCGTCAAGATACTGATGACTGGAAGCTTTGGGATATTACCAGTATGGAGTGCAATGGCACGAATCTGCTGCTCGTGCTGGAGGGGTACATCCACTACTCTGCATTCTCCTTTTCGTTCGTTCTTCAGCTTCCTCTGTGGCGTTCTGCCGTCAGAGAATGTAACTGGACTGGCTTGCTGCACTGCCTGACGGTCTTGGAGGGTAGCCTCACTGGAAAGTTTAACACTCCTACGAGAGTCGATATATCGCAGGCTAACTTGAATGTCCCCATATTTGAGCTTCAGCCAGATATTTATACAGAAGAACCGCCATTTTACGAACCTGAACCGCGAGATCCCGAAGTAATCCGCGCGCAGTCCGACGGTGAACGAACACACGCGCTTGCTGATGTGAAAAATGTCGGCGAATTTGGTGAACAGTGGGCCGAGCTTCTCGACAAACTTCTACCTACAAAACCGATTATTAGAAAGTGGGTTTGGATTGAAGAGGAAGGGGTTTTCCATGTTCACCTGCGAAGGCCTATTCAAGGGACCATAACGGAAGTGGGCCCTAATGGAGTAAAGATGGCGAGGGGAGCCTCGATTTCGCTGCCCAAACATATCCAAGGCAAATTGTCAGATACTCAAATTACATTTGATAAGGGATACGAGCCAAAGGGGAAGAAAGGACCCGTCTCCGTTGCCGTCAGTGAGCTGGGACTTAAAAAAGTTGAGGAGAAACTGTACCTGACAGCTCAAGGAAAGAAACTGAGGTACGACAAAGCTTTGGACAGTATGAAGACTCTCACATGGAAATAAACTGTGTAATTTGCCATAAAATTTCAAGCTCCGGTGGCGTGACGAATGTTTGAAACTATAAGCGTCACGCGAGTCACGTCAAATGATCCGTGTGTTCGTGACTTATCTGCGACTGTCACGCAAGCAAAGAATTTCGCCTTCAAAGGAACTTGGAGTAATTTTTTCCTTTCAATGAAATGAATAATCCGATATCACGTTCCGCGGATAAGCTTAGCTATTCGTATCACTCACTTCCAGGATAATGTAGTAAAATCGCGAGGCGAAAGTTAATGTCAGCTCTTTAACTTTAACCCTTCCACTCTTAGATCACATTAGAAATTCTCTTTACTTTCTGCCATAAAATTCTTATGATGTTAGTTCGGAAAATTTGGTATTGGATCGGCTAGTAATCCCCCAAACTAATGTGTTTCTTGATTCTCACCTCAAGTAGTCGAAATATTTTCATAGCTCGCTTGTGCAGTTTTTTCTTTCCTTTGTTTTGTTTTGTTTTGTTTTGCTTTTTTTTTAGTGGCGGGAACGCAAAATTTAGTATAACCAGCAAAGTTAACAAGTAGAGACATTTGTGCTGGAAGGAAAAATGGACCAAATGTGGTAGTCCGTTCTCACTCTTGCTTATTTTATCATTTATAATGGTATTTTTTCTTAGTAATTATGTAATAAAATATTCAGTAATTTCGGATTCATAAATTAGGCCAAATTAGATTTTGAAGACTGGCCCGCCTAGATGAGCACTTGCTATCTGCCTCTAGACTAGCACTAACTTTTATTTTAAGAATAAAGAACATAATAAATGAAATAAAGATTGTTTTTGTTGTTATTGCGAACTCAGCCGCTTCCTTGAAGGGCCGTGCTTTAGCCTTGGGTATCTGGGGCTGAGAGCGATCATTCGGGAGGAATTCGCCCCAGGGCCGCGCCCTGGTCTGCAGTGTACAAATCATATAGTTCAAGTGGTTACTGAACTTACGAATCCAAAGAATCTGCATGGTATGAATATTTTCTATCTCTAGACATCTCATTTCGCGTCCTTCCCGCCATGTGAATAATGGTCCGCTGTTACATTGGGTAGAGCAGCGGTTTAAGCCATTTCTTAATTTCCGGCAACCCCCACCTCTCCCCCGTCCCCCACGATCGAACAGTTGATCATTGTTGATCCTCGATCAAAAGCATAGAGAGCACTGAGGCCCTGGGCATGAGCGTATTTTACTTCGCCTCTTTTTTTTTAACTGTTACTTCGAAGAACGTTTGCCAGGAATCGAAGAGCTGCCTCATAAGTAAAAGCTTTTAAAAAAACCAGGGGCCAAAAAAAAAAAGGCTAAATAAACTGCCACTCGAGGAGTAGAAAATTATCTGAAAGACGTAGCTGATAATCTTCGGAGGAAACCCCTGCAACCTGAATATTTCATCCACAGCAAAACAAAAGAAATGAAACACGCGCGCTCGTGAGCCCCACGCGGGAATTCTTTTTAAATGAGCGTGTAGTCTCGCGTCTTTGATTCCGCGTCGACCATCAGTTGCTCTTTGAACATACAAAGATTAGCTGATTAAAAAATTTATAAATTTTTTGCTTCAGGTAATTCGTGGTTTATACTAGCCGGGACGCAAACAACATACAGTCATAGTCTAGAATCGCATCGTAGGGATTGATTACAAAATTGTACATGAAAAAAAAAGAGGATTTTAAATACTGCCCTAAAATATGTGATATTGGAATGGTTCACTTATGTTTTCAACGAGATTACAAATGAAAGATCATTTCTCAATTAGAAACCCACGTTTTTTTTTAATTTTTAATTAAACCACAAAAATTCTCAGTACACTTGTTCCCAACGGAGACGATGCCTTAAGCTGCAAATTAACTCTAAATTTACAGTCTAAGTTTTCTCCTGAATATCTGTTACACATCAATCACAACTGAATAATTCAGAAGTGGGCCTTGATATCCACACCATGAGTTTATGCAAACTTATTTCCTGATCTGAATTCAGCTGTAAAAAAAAGGTAATAGTGCGAACGAAAATTTATTTCTGAAAAGCTGGCAATGATAAAAAAAGTCAAACGCGATTTTCATTCAGTTTTTTTTGTGTCTTTCACGATTCACCGGCGACCGATTTACAGCTGATCTTCTAATAGCTGTCGTGGTGATGTATAAACAAAAAGCGTCACGCCTCGAGCCTCTTTGATATCGAGCGAAATCAAACAAGACCGAACAATACTCAAGTGCAAGACAAAAGAATAAATTATTTTCAACATAAATAGTCCAGCTGAACTTTTTGACCGTTAACGACTCGCGGTTGAAACAGTTTTAAATTTTCTTTCAACCATCCTGACCAAAATGCGGGCGGATGGGCTCTTTGAGGAATGAATTTTCTGGCGTTTTGTAATCCCTGTTTGAGCTGTAATATTTGCGGTCAGGTAATTTCCTATTGGGAATCGACCTTTCCGGAGAGTGGGTGATTTAGTCAACAGTTCAGCTCTACCAAAACACCTGATGCTAAAAACTCTTCAGCGACTAGACGCTAATTCTGTAAAGACGTCAAGCGAAGCTCGAAGCAGGAGGATTTGAAATATGGGCAAGAAGCACCTCGTTACATAAAGGTAACAAATTATTGTTTTGTTTTTCTCTCTCTTTTGTGCCGGAAAATTGTGCACCAAACAATGAATTATGTACCGAACGAAAGCTTGGCAACAATTGAACATTTCTCTCTTTTCAAAGTATATTATTCAAACCAATACAAACAGAGTTTACGGTCAAAACGCCGCGATGATTAAGCCATCATTTTCCATCTCAATTTTTCTTTCACCGCAAAAAAATACAGAAAGTGTGTTACGGATAAATCAGTATTTGTTCCCGAAATGTGACGAATATTTTAAGGTGAAAATATAAGCTTAGATATATTGTACGGCACGGCGCAAAATGCTATTAACTTCGCTCTTCAGTCATTCATCCATTGAATTGTCACTGATGTGGCAAACGTTCGCCGTTTTTACTTCTTTCTTTGTTTCGAGTTTGAATCTTGTCAAGAGAAACTTTCACTTCCCTCTCTTTTGTTTTTAGTCGTCCCCCATCAAGAAATTTCTCCGAATTTTTGAAAATCCACAAATAATTTTAATAATATAATCGATGCTTAAGGATTTAGAAATCGTGAAAATTTGACTAATGAACTTCTTTTATGTAAAAGCGTCGCGTGTGAAATTAAGTGGGGTGTCAAATTTCGTTTTTGTTCAATAGTTCTTCAGTTTCATTTTTATTTAGTTTTTTATCCAGTTTTTGTTACATTTTGTCTATAGAGAATCAGCGGCCTCTGTAAGTGATATTCGTTTATCGACTGTAAATGCTGATTAACATTTTACTAGCCGTGTTTTGGCGCTAAATCACAGGCTGAGAACTTAGCTACACATGAGTTCACTTAGAGAAGAAATGATCACATGAACACATTTCTTTCCCATTCAAAGCCAAAAACTCTCTCAAGCTGTACGTCTCTCCGACGAAATTGCTAAGAAATACAGGATGATAAAATATTGATATGTGTGCTGTAGATATAGCGAGATTTCTAAAATTGCCGGGGGACTCGAATTTTTAAAGTCATAAAATCGGCCCATGTAAGAATATCACAAATTAACAAAAGCCAGTCGCTTATTTTCTAGCTTTTATCAACATAACTCTGACGTTTGTAAAAGACAGCCAACAGACGAGGGATTACAAAAAAGTGAAAACCACTTGTTGGTCTGCGCTGAGATCATATTTTTTGATTGCAGAAAGTAAACATCTGTCCTTTTGGAGAAAACGTAATCAGTAATTTATAGTCTCAAATCATGATTTGCATTTGCGTTCAAAAACATTTCTCCCTGAGTGAGGTAAATAATTTTTGTCGACGATAATGAAGTCCGTATATCAGTTTATATTGTTACCGCCTGGCAGACCAACATAGAGATTTTCCCCAAGACTTTGTCAACCCTTCTGTACGGACATGTCATTACTCGTGTCACCATTTGCTGTCATTCAAACCACGCAGTTCGTCACTTTTTTGCGAAAAACTCTCCAAAAAGTTTCCACGTTTTTGCGCAATGTTGTAATTACGTTACTGTTAAAATACACATTGACGTCTTTCCCAAGATGTTCGCGTTACGCCCTCAAGAGTCTTAGCAAATACAATATTTATTAATCTCCGGTATATTTCAAGAAGAAATCAAATGGGTTGGAAACCAATTGAAGAAAAAAAGACGGAACAGCGAACAGATTCTTATACCGCTGGAAGCATAAACAAATACCAGATGCTGTGGGGAAATTTAATTCGAAAGTTTTTATTCTTTTCAGACTATAGTTAATGATGTCTAACATCTGTTTCAAATTGATATCGTCAAACCATTAAGTAATATTAGAATATTAAGGAGATTTGGTCAAATGTTGTGGTAATCGAGATATTCTGAAAGATTCACCTTGATAGAATAATTGAGAAGATAAATACTTATTAACAGAGTTCAAACGTCCGTGGACAAGAACTGGTGAGTTACAAAAATTACCTTTTTTGAAAAGAAAAGCACGAAACAGTTAAACTTGAGAAATTTCGAACACTTAACTGTTAAAAAGCGGAAAATTTCCCTCAAAGGACGTCACAAACATCGTCATTACTATAATCCTCGGTTGAAGAATAATGTCAGTCGCATTTGCTAAAATCGACGTCTTCGTCTAAACTTACCCCTTTCCTGAACCCCGTTCCTTTGGTCTTCGCATCCTAAAGAACTTCTTTCGATGACAGATCCAGGTTGGGGGGGGGGGGAAGTCTAGGGTGGTTTGTAACCCCTCCTATCATACCTGCGGGTATTTCTACTTTTTGCCGTCTGAAACCAATATTGTTTTCTTTTAAAGCATCTTCTCTTTGTTCAAAATTCTGTTTGTAAACCTTTCCGATAACATTTCATTTTTCTGAGGAGGTTTCAGCCCTAGACTATTTCTAAACATAAGATAGATTTTCCCTTAATTTCTAAGAAATGAGTTTTTAAAATTGGTCAAAAGCATTGAACAATAACCTAGAGATTACTTAATGGCTTGATACATCTGAGAGTACTGGAATAACCCAGGTCAAGAGACCATATGCCTTATGGTCGCTTTCCCAGATTGTATAAAAAACACAACCATACGCTGTTAATCTTGCTTGCGCAAAAATTATACTGGGCAATAACTTTCACAATTACTGGTGTATTTCGGTTTCTCGTTATGAAAACTTAAAATACATATGTAAGGAATGAAATGTAGCTGTTTGTTTCGAAGGAAGTAGAAAAAATGACTAGTTAATTATCTTATCAATAACAAATAAATGTGTGAATAAACAGAAAAAGATGCATAAACAACAGAATGAATATGAAAAAACAGCTGTGAGGGAAACTGATTTCGGTAGCTACTGCACTAGCGATAAAATGACTATGGCAGCTGTGAAAATGTGTGGAATCTATTCCAAGTTGGGTGTACCGAAATCCCCTCTAATTACTCTGTTATCGCCCCCACCACCGGATTGAAATTAATATGGGTTGGACGGACCACGGTATGTAAGATGTTATTTGATCCTTTGGAGGGCAAATTGAGTACATGACCATGGCCGATGCATTTGAATTAGCCCGAGAATTCAGTCGCATTCATCGTGATAAAATGTAGCGCAGATTCGAACAGAGTCTCACTGTATTAAACTTGGAGCTATAATTAGTGTTCTTAGATGAAATGTTGGTTAATATTTGCGGTTTCATCCACGTTTGATAATTATTGAGCGAAGGAAGAAGTAAACACGAAACTTCAAGGATATGGCTTCACCTTGTTTTCGAAACGAGCTGTTTTGGGGTTCGCTTGTACTAAACTGGTAAGTGTGTTTGTTGATGTTACGATGGGCGGTTTGCTTCGTTCTTTAAGCGAAACTCAAAGCGTCGTTTACACTATCGTGAGAACTGGCCCGTAAAAAGTATAAACAACTGTTTGTGATGTAAAGCTTCATTTACAAAAGCGTTGTATAAAGGTTAATTAAACACGCCACGCTCGAAAATTCAGTGAAGCAAACAGACCGTTGTTTAAAGTGTTTAGACATTTTAGTTATGATTCAATATTTGCTTGGCTTAAAATGATTGCGAGAAAGACTCTAAGATAAACAGAAACAGACAGTCATTTATGGTAGATATTCATCAACACCGTAGACACATACTGACATGAGCCGCAAACTCCTAACTAACTTGATAGAATTGTTCACTTTAATTTGTTGCTTACATACGTATTTTGACTACATACGATTCGCAAATGCATAAGATTTAACTCTATAGCTTTCTCTCAGCATTACTCAAAAAAATTTCAAGAGGGCCTTTTAAATTCCCTTTATGGTCGTTTATCTTAATACGTGTTTTATTACCAGACATTTTGTAGCGATAAATAAATCTTTTCTACCCTCTGTTGGCATAGGTTCATAAGCGTTCAACTCTGATCTTTCTCTGAATTTTACTGAGAGCGAATTCTTCGGATGACAACCCAAGTTGGGGACAGTTTTACTAAAAACACTGAGGCTACTTTCAAGTTCGTAAGATTCCGTTTATTGTTTTTTTTTCCAGTTTTTTTGGTAATCTTATATTCTCTTTCTCTCAGGTTCTTCTGTAATTTTATGAAAAACTTCTGTTTGACTCTCCATCTGCTTCAAATTACGCCAAGTTCCACTTTAGGGGCAACAAAATTGAAGGGTTTCTCTTTTTCTTATGGAATTTTCATAACAATTTTCAGAAAAATTTAAGCGCATTTTTATGTTGAGAGCATATGTGACATCATGAACGAGTAGTACTTAGAAATTCGATATTTTCCGAACATACGCACAATTCCGTTGACGTTTCCATGCCCACAAAAAATAGAAACTAGCGTCTAAAAACAGGTAAAGATACGATAGGGGTCATTGCGCCTGTTCTCTTGTTTCACCTTGGGTTTTGAGACGCGTAGAATTTTGTAGAATGGCGTCCACTAAAATAACCTTAAATTCGCCGGCTTCACTCCAATTTTCAAGAAGTTAAAACATTACACTGAGATGACTAGCTACGCAGGTAAAAATCTTTTATTATACACTTGGTCTGATTTTATTTGCGGTAACTTTCTTTTAAACTGCGCAGACGGCACACGTTGCGAGTTTATCTCTGTTTGCGTCAAAACATCGTCGTGAAAATGCATTGTTCCTTGAATCTTTTGCTGTAATAGTTACTATCTGTAGATTATGTTTCTTTCAATAACTTTCCAAATAGCAAACCATATGAAATTTATTCATTTGAGATAACTCAATGCTGAAGTTTTGAAGCGTTGGATGACTTCTCAAGCGTGTAATGAAAAAGTCTTAAAGCTTTTTGTAAGAAAACTTTCAGTGCGTACACTCTTCACTTAATACCATTTAAATTGAGCTCAAAGATTTGTTAATATGCCGCTTGTGGTGTTGTATACGAAGAAAATAAATACTTAAAGTATATCTGCCAATTCCAATTGCTTTCACACTTTCATTTATACAGTCAGTCAATCAGTTATCAATTTTTTTTCTATCGCCAAACAGGTTCTAATTTGCATTTTTGCAAATAAAAGTTTCTCATTTTAATCGGCAAATCAACAACATGAAATAACCAAATTCTGGGGCAAGTTATTCGCGTTCTTTTTTCGTAGTGATCGCTGTAAATCTCATTTAACCCTTTAAATCCTAATATCAGTATATATATTCTCCATACTGTTCTTTATACATTTCCTTAGGTGCTGACAAGGAGAATTTGTTTAACAATCAAGAACTCCTTCAGTTGTTGATCTTTTCCTTTATTCTCACAACCTCAATGTTTGATTCAGGGGTGACATTGTAAGGAGAAATTAGAGGCTAATCACTCGAAAGAAGTCAAAGGGTTCATGCGGCAGGGGGAAGTCTGGTGCCGTTAGAGACAGTAGACACATAGAGCTGCTCACGAAATGGTTAGAAGAGATAGAAATTCATTATTTAAAATACGGCATTCATTTAACCCTATATTTGAACCACTTTTTCTTTATTACCACAGGCTATGGACACTGTAGAGGTTATTATTACAGTTTTACTCCTCTGCCTCTTGGCGCTGGGCGTATACTTGGCTGCTTTCTGGACGATCTCAAGGAGGAAGAAAGGGGAACATGAAGGTAGCCGTGGGGAGGTGCCGTACAAATATCTGGAAGAGGAGGCCGAGAATGCTCGGAGGAAAGTGGCGGCGGCTTACGCACAGGAGACCATGCCGAAAATAACCATTACTCCTGTTCAACCTAGGCCTAACTTTCCAAGGGTACGGAATCCTTGTCTGCCCTTAGAGAGGGTGTGACTGTCTGTCTGTCTGTCTATCTGTCTGGTCTGACTGAAAAAATAAGCCATTGCTTAATCGAGTTAGCGAATGCTTATCTCACTGTCTGTTTACCTACTCGCTTGACTGATTGAGAAACTAACTGGTTGACAAATTGACAGACTCTAGACCTGACTGACTGACTGACTGACTGACTACTGACTGACTGACTGGCTGGATGACTGACTAACTACTGACTGGCTGACTGACCGACTGACTGACTATTGACTGACTGACTGGCTACTGGCTACTACTGACTGACTGACTGACTGACCACTGACTGACTGTCTGACTGATCCGCTGACTAACTAACCGACTGACTGACTGACTGACTACCTGACCGACTGGCTACCTGACCGACTGACTAGCTGACTGACTGACCGACTGTCTTACTGACTGAATCTGTCCTTGGAAACTTTACTAAACTTACATATTTCTTTCAATATGTTCAAAAACGTCAATCAAAATTAAACTTCTTTTTTTCTTTTTCAGAGTTTATTATCCTCAGACGAGTTACTTTCAACGGAAGACGAAGAGGAAGACGAATCTCACAGCGATGAACACGTGGATTTAGGAAGACTTTATTTTGCCCTCAGATACGATCAGCACCGGTACGGCGAAAAACTATTACAATCAAATCCTTACAAGTCCTTCGCTCAAGACATGAGTTGTCGCTCTTTTTCTATTATTTATTTATGTATTTGTTTTTATCATAGTTCCTTGTGAGCATCAAAGTGAGACACTCTCGTTGGTTTTTGCTCTGCTACTAAATGCATGGCTGGTTTTCTTCGAATGCCAAATCACGCAAGACTTGTTTGACACGCAAGACTTGTTTGAGAATTTGGAAAGCGTTTTGTTTGACGATTCAATACTATTTGCACTGCGGTGGAGAGATGAAATTAGGAGATCCTCGCAGCTATTGACATGCATACCCTGAAAAATCCCCATGCCCATGCACCTTGCGATACTTGCATTGACCTGCATGCACTTTGATTCACCTGATTTTCTTCAAATTAAATTCTGCTCCCGCGATGGAAAGCAATTTAGAGATCTTTTGTTTGATAATTCCAAGAACTACAGATATCTTCAGCATCCTTAATTTTCTTCTTGCTTTGTAGTTCTATGTTGGTTGTACGTCTTATCAGAGCTGAGGACATCCCCATGGAACGAGAAGCCACCGGCACCTATGTAGATGTCAACATCCTTCCTCTGAATCTGCAGAGCCACACGTTTCAACCTAGCGACACAACAATTAACATTAATTTCAGGTACAAGAACTTTTTTTTGTCTTTTATCATTCTGGCTATTCAGAGGAGTCTGTGTTGGGAGGATCTGGACCCTAGTAAAGGCCTCATTCCAAACACAATCTCTTTCATTTTTGCTTCTGGACATGAGGTAAGCATCTTCCGAATAAATTTGACATAAGAAAAGTTAACAGAATGGAAGAAAGGAGTAATGTAAAGGAAGGAGTGAATTTGGCATCCTAACAACAACTTGGAAATGGCTCTCAGCCAATGAATAAAGCGAACATGAAGAACTAAAATCGCATAATTGGAATTAAATAGGCGTATCTACTTTTTCGTTCTCTTACCTTTAACCCTTTAACTTCCAAGATCTCATTAGTAATTCTCCCAACGGTCTGCCGTACAGTTCTTGTGATGTTGGTTTGGAGAATTTGGTATTGGATCAAGTTATAATCCCCTAACTGATATTTTTCTTTATTCTTACCACTTTTCTGCTTGATATTGTATTGAGATTGTAAGGAGAAATTCCGTCTTGGTCACTCATGAGAGTTAAAGGGTTAACTAATCTATTCCAGTAAACATGGCACGCCACGACATTACTGACTTTAGAATCCCAAGGGATCTCCGAATAATACTTGTTGCCTCAGGAGTAAAGCTTTTTTGGAGCTCCTGTCTCGCTCCTTTTGCTTGATTTGTCTCTTGCTATTTGGCATACTTTCTTATATTTCACCCTAACGTCGCTTCTTTTTTTCATGCAGAGAAGTTTATGAATTTCCGCTGTCACTAGTGGACCTGGCACTACAGACACTCAACCTGCACATTTTTCGATATGACAACTTTTCCCGCCGGACATCTGTTGGCGACGTGTTTTTGGCTTTAGCTGAATTAAGTGCGCAAGGGATTGACTTCACCCGTGAAGTGTTTCTTTGCAGAAATATAATCAGCCATCAGGAGGTTAGATGAACAGTTATATTTTAGTTCAGTTTGTTTGGAAACTTGTGGGAAAAAAAACTTATGATACCCTACTGGCCAAATTTTTGTTAGACACAACCAAGGTTTTCTGTGCCCAGTACCAACTTTGTTGTTTCTGCCGCTTTAGTAGCGCTACCGTGATTTTTCCGCGCTAGGCGCGGGTTGCATGTTTTTCCGCCCTTGATGCCCATCCCTGCTTTACATCAGGTGCAGGTTTTCTAGCGTTTGTCTTTTGTTGCATCTTTTTCGCGCCTGCCAAAAATTTGCGAGCTTTCTCGCGCTTAGCATCCATTGCATGTCCTCTCGCATATTGCACGGATAGCTTTACATCGACTTTCTTTGTATATCTCTGGTTGCGATCCTGATTGGTCCAACTTGTAATGTGTGACTCATAGGTGGCTTCAAGAAAGACCACTCAAAGTAATATTCTTTTATGTTGCTTTTATGCAGATCTACCGTACACTGGATAAAGGAAAAACTATGCACCCTGGTGACGAAGAAGAACAGGAAGCCAACGAAATGAAACCGGACTCAAAATTGAAAGAGAAAAAGGTTAGGCCTATTTTATGGTATCCTCTCTCAAAACACTAGTGGCCGATTTTGAATCTCAAATACTAATGGCCGATTTTGGATTCAGGATTTTGGACGCTAGTGGCTAATTTTGGAGTTTGGAGGCTAGTGGCCGATTTAGGATTTTAGACACTGGTGACCGATAGTGGGTTTTGGACACTAGTGGCCGATTTTGGATTTTGGATTTTGAACGTTAGTGGCCGGTTTTGAATTTTAAACACTAGTGGCCGATTTGGGGTTTTGGACACTAATGGCCGATTTAGGATTTTGGACACTAATGGCTGATTTTGGATTTTAAGGACGCTAGTGGCCGATTTTGGATTTTGAAAACGATGGCCGATTTTGGATTTTGATTTTGGACACTAATGGCCGATTTTGAATTTTGGACGTTAGTGGCCGATTTTGAATTTCAGACACCAGTAGCCGGTTTTAGATTTTGGACGCTAGTGGCCGATTTTGGATTTTGGATTTTGGATTATGGACACTAGTGGCCGATTTTGAATTTTGACACTAGTAGCCGATTTTGGATTTTGGACACCAATGGCCGATTTTGAATTTTAAAAGCTAGTGGCCGATTTTGGATTTTGGATATTCACACGTGTGATTAGTCAATAAAGCTAAAGCCACCTTATAAACTGGAAAAAAATGTACAACGTAAATTAATTCACGAATCGTTTAGTTCCGTTTTCTTTCGACTTAGTGTGCTATAGTCTACCTTGCGCAAAACGCAATGGATTTAAGTATAAATCGAACAAGAGGCCGGCCGCTCGTTCGATTTGCTCTCTCACTTATTGCGGTCAGCAGATATCTATCGGAGAATTACTTCAGTTCACAGCCAATATCGTGTAATTTCTTTGACTTTTCATTGGCTCATTGTGTTATTTACTTTTGTTTAGATTGGCCTTTTTGATAGCTTTGCTTTTGATCTACAACACTTAATCGAAAAGTGCTTTATCGCCCATTACAGTTTTGATAACTAAAGCGATCATTTTTTTTCTGCTCTTTGTGCAGGTGGGAAGGAAAGTAAGTTCTCAGAGAATGTGGGATGTACTACGAAGGGCTGTTATGTCCGGATCATACAAAGGAGACATTTTACCGTCTGATTCTGCCATGTACTGGGAGTCTATCTTCACATCTGATGTCTCTAGCGCAGCGAGTAGCCCCCTTAAATCACCAGGGTTCACATACTTCTCAGACCCAGGCCCCCCCGATGAACCACTTGACGGGAGCAGTGAAGAGGAAGGCGCATTATGGAAAGGAAGGGAGGAAGCTACCATTGATTCACCTGCGGACGAATCTGATTTCAATTCATCCGAAAATGAGCAAGAAGTTGACGAGAGACGCAAGGACAGTTCTCAATCCCCTCTGATCAGGCATGTGCAACTCTCCCCAGCTCCTGAAGAGTACTATCGCATAGTTCCTATTGCACCTTTTACCACCCCTTCTAAGGACAGAAGAGAATCAACTGAACGGTCATATTCCTGGAAACTACCTCAAACCTACACGTCACGTGATCATGATGTAGTACAGACTCTTTCCCAGGCCTACAAGGAGCCTCGAGTAGTTCCTTTTACCGCCGTTTCTCAATTCGAACCGGGAGCCCTGCCCGGTAAATCCGTTTCCTTTCAATTTCCTCCGTCTGAAGACGGAAGTGAAGTAAAAGACTGTAACTCTAGGCCTTCTCAGCAGAAAAAATCAGGTGATACGAAGAAAAAAAGTGGCGCACTCCGACGTAGACTGAGATTGTCCCCTAGAAAAGAGCCCGATGGTGAGCCCGCCGAAAAAATGGTCAGCGCGGTGAGAGGGAAATCTAAGCTTCTACTCACAAAGTCACGTTCCAAGTCTTTCCCGAAGAGTGACAAAATAACTTCTCAGCGAAAAGAAATAGAACTTTATGAAGATTTAACGATTGAAACAGCTGAGGATGAGCCTCTTGTGGGGGCTTCTTCAAGATTATCAGAAGACGTCACCGAACAGCTGGAATTTGAACTCGATCCTTTACCGAGTCGACGAATGAACTTCCCGTCGATCTCAGCCGAAGACTACCGAACTCCGCCGATATCGACATTTAGCGATTTTTATTCAATTACCCGATCACAATCGGATCCAAACGTCGATGTCGAACGATTCCGAAGATTAGAGGGATCATCCTCGGAATACCGACGAGTTTGTTCGATGTTGGATGTACACAACGATAGAACTTCACGTGATGAAGAAAAAAATTAAACGGTTGACAGTTACCGCATAAATGGAATTTTTATCAAAGTAATATGGTGGAGTTATTCTTCAATCTACGCGGGTTTTTGCGATAAAAAAATGCTAGTGCCCGTTGACAAAGAATACATATTTAAAGTGCAAAGTTATTAGAGTCTTAGAATTAAGTTCAACGCAATGTTAATTCGCACGAGGCTTCAGAAAAAAGCCTTCATTTTCGGCAGATCTTGAAAGAATAGCAAGGAACTATATTTTTGAAGAGAGATCGACAAGCAATTTAAAGTAGAATATATTCCATTTTCCAAAGCTTTTGTCTTTGTAGTATACAACAGGAAAATGGAACGCACCTAAGAAAGAATCGATACGTTCAAAACGGTTTTCTTGATGTGCTTCCTGAAAATAAATATATATATATAAATATTTTCACTTTCTGGAATAAATAATTGGAATTTTAAAATTCAATTTATGCGAGTGACTTTCGCCCGTAGATTACAGATATATAACTTGTGAAATATAACATCATTCATAGGGACAGCAGAGGCTGATTTTTCCAGGATCAGTGGAGAATGTAAGGTTTTGTTCCTGTCAATAAAAAGCCCCGTAACTCTCTCGATTTCGAGAAAAAATGTTTCATATAACCTGTAGTAGGACAGACGTATAGATGACGTCAGCGTTGATAACAGTTTGTTTCGTCATCATGCCGCGGGTCTGTTCAATAACAAATCACAGAAGACGTCAGAATGCGCTAAGAAAATTAGTGACACACTCGGCTGCCCCTCGTATGCCACGTTTTTTGCTCGTATTGACCATTTTACATCATCTGTGGTCAGGGGCGTAGCCAGGATTTTTCAAAGGGGGTGGGTTTGAAAACGATTTTTTGTCAAATCCATTTTACATAATGTGAAAAAAAGTTCTTTATCTAACCTTTTAAATCCATTGATACTATATAATCTGTTCAAATTTTTGAACTGTTTTTGATTTGAACTGTTCTATCTAATTTTAAAGGATACCGTTCAATTTTGAACGCGATTCCGTCAAATTGCGGATAGTTCAGTAAGGTTTCGCAATTTCTGTCCATGATCGGAAAGAATATAAAGGCACAAACGGCACAACATCTGAATTCAGACAAGACCATCTCACTTCACCTAATTATTTACTCGTTTACGTCTTCCTTTATAACATTTATGGCTTGAAAACTAGCAAGTTCGATTGTTTTGACTTAATTTATTTTTTCATACACACCCCCATTTTTACACTCTGCGCGCCAATAGAACAACCTTCAATACGGGATGGCTTCATTATTGATTCCAGCTGGCTTTTCTCCGACTGAGATGATGGAGTCAGGCCATGAGAATGTGTCGTCGCAAACTCGAATAACGATATTAACCAAGCTACCCGCTCAGAGACGTATCACTAACCCGTGGCTACAACCGGTCGAGCGTCACAAAAACACACATCCAATGAACAACCTGCTAGAACCACCTCGCGCGTAAAAGCGTAAAATCTTGACCGACCGCTTGAAACTACATGATTTCGAAGAATTCTATCATCATTTTGCTTTTTCAAGGAGTTTTCTTTTTTCAGTCATGGATTCAAATCGACGACTGAATAGTGAACGAGTGTTGTGGTAGAATGCATTGTGTTACACAGGTTTGTTAAGTGTGTAGTTTCGAATGGTTATTTTATAAAAATAGTCCACTAAACCAGTTGATTACGTCTAAATGAATAACTTGTTTGTGACAACATACAACATATTTCATCAACCCCCGCTGGAAATTTTGTCATTTAACTGGATTTACGATTAGAACCCACACTGTACTGCGGAAATACCATCTGAGAAATCGATCAGTTTTGATTGTCTGTGGGAGTCATTTAATATAATCCTTCAACAGTTCTTTCGATCGAAAAACACAGGCAGAAGCTCTTGCTTTCGCGTTAACGGCCATATGCATCTGTAGATGTTACTATTACCTGGAGGGAATATTGAGCTTAACCCAGGTGATAAATGGAAGCCTCTTTGTAGTATCTGTTTGAGGCTCACAAAGTCAAACTGAGCAGGAATTCAATGCGACGAAAGCAATTCGTGGTTCCATCTAAAGTCTTGCGAAATAACACCTGTAACTCTGGCTCACTCATTTTTGACATGCGCTTTAGCATAATTTAACCCCTATTACTAAATTAAATTCAGCGCAGATCATCGCCGAGTGGAAAAGCTAGACATCGTGTATCTCTTCTACTGGGGTTAACAGTCCTTTTGTCGCTTATAAGCTGGCTGAGGCGTTCAACTCCAAGGACAAAAGTTTCACTGAATGATGAATATGATGTTTCTATGCGTACACCTGAAGGTAAGATTTGCTAATCATGAACGGGCAAGACTAAAAAGTTGATTTTCCAGGTATCCAGGAGGATATCTTTGGAATGTAAACCATGCTAGGTTGTAGAAAAGTTACCAACTTTATCTACGACCTAGCATGTTCGGAACCTAGAGCATTTTTATGTTTTGCTTCATCGTGTCCGACTGGTGGATTTTTTTTAACCTGTATCTAAAAAAGCGTGGAAAACTTCATCTTTACTTCTAAAACGATGAAATAATTGATCTCGCCAAAAAATTTTTATCTCAACTTAGTATATTTGCAATGTCGTTTTTGTTTGGTATTAATCAATTTCTAGGCCCTGTTTTTGATTATTTGATTATTTAGTGATTCGCTCTGACGAAGGGCTAAAGCTCGAAACGTCAGCTTTGAAACTCTTTACGGTGGCCAATTCACATTATCAACTACGACGATAAAGCCACATTATCTTGTTATACTCCCCCACCAACGCAGCACCTCAGTTTCTTAAGGAACTTACCCCAGCCCTGCATTAATCTGCTTAGTTAAGGCAGCCTGCTTAGTTGTACTAAATAGTCTCGTACCCAGACCTTCCACGCCTAAGCCGTTGTACATTTCAGTTACACGGTAGGCTCTGACCACCAAGTATCAATCGTGCAAAATCTAAAACTGGTTTTTAAATGGATTTTTACAGGCAGCAATAAGAACTCAATCAAACAAGTAATATACAACGCACAAGCTCCAAACAAATCGAAGAGGCAGCTACCATCATGGAGCGCTCGATTACACCTTATCATCCAGTTTCCAGTTTTGAACACTTCCGGTAGCGTAGAAGATCACGTGATACAACGACAAGCCGAGTACATTTACAGTCTACAACAAAATCTTCTGAGTCCACATGTGAGTCAAAACATTAGACTGGTCATTAAATCTTAAAACAATTTCATAGGACTCGCGGGGCTGAGACTTAAGAGTAAATATAATTCTTCTGTATCTCAATCCCTCCACCCACCGCCTTACTAATGGAACTTCTGTCGCCGTAGCAGCTGACGTGTTTACTCGATTAAGCCCACCGCAAACCACCGCCGCTTGTGAGAGCAAAAATATTGATGAAAGCCACATCAAGGAATGTAGCGCTTATTTAGGAATTACGACTTAAACACGCGCAGGGTACAACTTTGTCTAAGAAAGCCTCGAAAATTAATCTTTCTTTAAAACGATCTTTATAAATTCGAAATGCGATATTTCCATTTTCTCCGATTCAATCATTGACCTCTGGTAGCGATGCGAGCAAAATGGTTCTCAGTTTTGCAAACATCCAACTGAAAAATCAACGGGTAAAAAGATTGCACCTATTTCGCCTAACGAAACGGGACAGTGACAGCTTTTTTAAACATATTTCTCTTTTTCAGTTTTAAATGGCTTGGTGCAGAGGCAGATCTAATTGTCCGCCCATTTCTCAAACGAGCCAAGACAGTGAATGTTGTTTTGAACTTATTTCTGGTAATCAACTTTCAAATATTTTAGTGCAGTAGTAGATGTAATTTTACTTCCAGACAAAGATCATCAACAACTAGGTAAACGTTTTGATGAATATACCTTTCAGAGACCTTTTGCTCGTAAAACCTAATAGAAGTTAGTTTTTATTTCCTCTAGGTTGAAGCAGTTCATATCCTCTGCGAAAAAGACCAAGATCCTTTTTTCATAAAAGCGCAGAATTTGGAACAAGATTGGAAGCTGGAGTTCAACACCTTAGGTCGACGCATGCGCTATAAAGATGCCCTTGAATTTGCTTCGAAACATTTGATTCGAAAAAACGCAATGGTTTTGAACGCTGATTGTTATGTACATAGAGGATTTGAAAGACTGGACGAAAGTATCTTGAGTAGGAAAACAATGTACGCCCTTACCAGGCATGAAAGTGCGGAAAATATACGTCTCTGCAATGCGAGAGATTTTTGTGGACCAATGTCCAAATATATTGGATCTCACGATGGATTTCTGTTCAGACTTCTTGCACCAGTTTCCCCACGGTTATTGGAAAAGATCGACTATCGTCCAAACATTGCAGGCATTGAGCGAGTTTTGATTTTCAACTTCAGAAAATATGGAGGTTTTAGAGTAAAAAATCCCTGTAAAATCCTGCATATTGTTCATCATCACTGCAGCAGGCTGAGAAACAAGACAGAGAGACATATCCAAGGTCAACGAATTGATCGCTTTCTTAATATAACGGCTGGGCGGCAAGGGAAAGTTTTTATGGCGCAGTTTTCTGGTTTATAAGGCGTTTTGGGGGTTTCATCAAAGGAAACTCTGAGTTACACAACAGCCAACAATATCACAGAGAAATACCGTAAGAAAACCAGTGAAAACCCACAGAAAACACACGTGACTGGCCCTAAGCACGGGACACGCCTTATCATGTGGCATGTCGTTTTCGTTTTGCATCTGATTGGTTGAAATGACGCAAGAACTTCTTTGAACCTCTGTAACGCTGTGGCCAAGTCGAGTACCTGAGGATAAAAAATTTTGTTCTTGCAAGTCTACGATCGAAGCGAAAACGAGTTTAGGACGGGTATAAACAAAGTTTCATATCCCTAGGTACTCAATCCTACTAAACCCTAAGCAATAAAGCCCATCATTCTGCTAGTATCTGATTATCAAACTCGTAAAAATCGATTATTCATTTTTACTTATAAATTCATTATTATGATTACATGTACACCAGTTTCTCAATAATGGGTTCTAGTGTAAATACATACTGTGCGATATAATTCACAAAATGAGTTACTGTTTTAAAACATGAGTTTATGAACAGCAATCCCTATGTAAACATTAACAAAACCATAATATGAAAAAAACCAACAATTTTTTTTATTAAATATATCATTTTGGTAAGAACGAAAATTTTATGCCCTGTTCACCAAGTTAGGGGCCAATTTACATCAAACAGAATGGTAAACACAAAGTAAATTGAACCATGAATTACTAGTTGAAAAGCCACAATTTCAAATGACCTATATCAGTTAAAATTGATTCAAATTCAGCTTTATTAGCAGCTCAACATGAGAGATTTGTGCCTTGTGTGATATCTAGGTGATCCTGGGCTTGGCCAGCTGGAAAAAAAGGAACTCGCATCAGTACAGTGCTGCAAACGGTAAAATGCAAGGAGGGCAGGACGTGTTGGTGTGACAGGAGATGTAATGTGAAAGAGAGGGATTGGGGGAGAGAAAAGGAGCTGTGAGGGGTGAGAGTAGAAGCTAGTAGGCAGGGAGGGGTGGGAAGGGATGATTGTGGTAAAGAGCAAAGCAGGGAACAGGTTGGAGGTAGGGATTAAGAGTGGTGAAAAATGTGGGAAATGGAGGAACAGTGGGTAAGAGAAGGAAAGAGATGGATAGGCAAGAAGGAAGATATTGCAGAGGGAGACCAAAAAGGAATGCTGGAGGAAATGGGAGTTGAGAAAAGTGGTGGGGAGGAGTGGATGGTAGGAATGACAGAAAAGGGACTAAAGTTGTAAGTTAGAAAGGTCAGGGCAGAGAGAAAAATGAAGCAATGCAACAAGGATCAGGATAAGCAGGGGAGGCAAAAAAGATGAGTGGGAAGGGGGGATGAGAGAAGGAATGAGGCCTGGGTCAGAGCAGGCACCAGAGAGGAACAACTGAGGGTGGTGAAAGGAAAGGAAAGGTAAAGGAAGCTGGAATGGATATGGAGGAATGTTAGAGGGAGGTATGGGGCTATGAAGGAAGAAATAGTAATTTACTGGACAAGAAGAAAACGAAAAAACAATGCTACCTTTCTTGTGTTGCCTCAGAATAAGACATAACCAGTTTCTTCCATTCTTTGATATGAGGATATTTTGCAGGATCAATTGTGGTCTGACCAATGGCAATTAACACATCAAGGTCAAGTTTACTTGGCTGCAAACTAAAACAAGGTCACGCAGTCAAAATATTGTAGGTCAGTGCTATGGGAGGGGAGGAAGGTTGCGTGTTTGTGACAAGATCCATAATTTAAAGAATAAAATTGTTTTTTGTTTTAATTGTGGGTAGACTTCTATGACATGCTGGTTAAAAGTACTAGTCCTTGTCTTAAGCAACAAGCCTGCACTAAGCTCTCAGAGACAAGCAAAACGAAAGCAGGCAAATGTTGATGGGAGTGTCACTCTGCTGGCTGCCATTACACCTGACAACTGCCAAGAATTGTTGGTGCACCATTTCCCTCATCTATATGGATGGACAATCTGGAACAGTCATATAGAGCAATGCTTCCCACAAGTGAGCTGAAATTTAATCAATTGTACAGAAGGAGCTTAAAAAAATGAAGGCTTCATCAGGATTTGAACCTGTGCCTCCTTGATACAAGTTGGGCACAACTACCAACTGAGCTACAAATCACATATTGGGAGCACGGCACATTTTTAGAGGGTTCCTCTTTACCTGTTAAAGCTGGAACAGGTTACTAACCCACTTACCCCTGGATGAAAATGCTGAGGCTCTTATTTCCTGAACCAACCACATTGCCAGATCTCTCTGACTTTGCATGCTCCACATTTCTTTCTCCTGGCACTTTAAAACAGTTCTGCTCCAGAACACTAGACACTCTAGAATCACCATTTCTTAATCTTTGATCTTCACACGTTGTATTCTCAAACACTTCAATTGGAGATCCATTCACTACTGATGACTCCAAATCAGTTGAATTAAAATCCTTGGGAATTTCCATTTTGTGTTTTGTTGGCATGACTCGATTTTTCTTGCCTGTTTGCTCAGTATCAGAAACATCTGCATTTCTGCTCTTCAAGACTTCACCATAATTGCCAGTTTCTTGTTCTTGTAGACTGTATACCAGCTTTTTCTTGCACACAATGTCCTCTGCAATGTCTCTTTCATCTTTTTGGTCACTCAACTGAGTAGAATGGCTTCTGTCTAAGAAATCTTTATCTGAATTTTCTGCAAATGAACTATTGGATGTAGGCAGCTTTGTCTTAACTTCTTCTTGATGAAGACAAAGTGTTTCTAAGTCTTTTCCCAACATTTCCGTTGTTGGCTTATAAAGCTTATCTTTCATGATTTCTTGTGGAGACGACCTCGAGATAGAACCATTCCCATCCTTTCCACTTGAAAATTTCTCCACAATATGCTGTTCTTTAGAATTGTCTGGTTTGCTTTCCACTGTAACATCCTCCAGCTCAAAATTTAATTTTTCTGGTTCCATCTCTGACTCTGGGAAAATTTCTTTCCTGGACAACAAGGGAGAACTGTCACAGCAATCCAACAAGTTCTTTTCAGTACAACAGTCAACATCAATTGCAAAGGTTGTTTGATGTTCCAAACCACTATCAGACAAAAGAACACTACTTTGTCTTGACTCTGGAGTTTTTAACTCTCTGCTTACATTCTTAACAGTTCTGACTCTCTGAGGTGTAACTGATAGTCTGCTTAAAACGATCCTCTCCTTCCTTTCAGCCAGATAATCTTCAAGTTTTTTCAGACCCTGAGGACTTGCCAAGTCTGCATAACAGCCAAGAAATGTCCAATATTCTGTCCAAGGTACACTCTCGCAATGAGCAAGTGCTCTTGAAATTAAAAAAGTAACCATTCATGACAATAACATAATAATTATTGACAAGAGAGTAACTTTCTGTGAAGTCTTAGAGGCAAACCGGGTTTGCATGGGTTTGCTTGCATGTGACCAAGTTGTGATTAATTTTAATTAAAGGTCTGATTAGTTGTGAAAGCAACTGGTGTGATTTTTCTGAACCAATCACCAAACCTGATGCAACCTCTGATTTCTTTACTAGTCAAGTAGAAATTTCTTGACTATGGCTATTGTGATAACCTTGGTTTGGATTTAATAACACATGACTAAAATCTTCTTGATATAGCAAAAATAAATCAGACTATCAGAGTCTGCACAGGCTCACTGGTCTATTTTCACAGCAAAAACAAACCAACAGTTTACCTTCCAATTCTTTCTGCACCACGACTGTCATCTTTCCTCTTTATCTGAATGTAGCTGTTCCACTTCTCCTTCTTTGGTGGAGTTTTCCAAGTACGGTAGAACTCTGCAGCCTAAAATGAGCAAAAATTGTACAGAAGAGTGCTTTAACATAAATTCAGGGGCGTAGCCAAGACTTCTCAAAAGGGAGTCACACTGAGTCAAACAGAGGGTACTAGCAGATTTTCATTTGACCACCACACCATTTTATACTCAATGAACCAAAAAAAAGCCTTACAAAGGAGGGGAGGGGGTCATGGGCACCCTAGGCTCCCCCCCCCCCCAGTTATGCCCGAGTGTAATCTGTGGTGAGCCTGGGGCAAACATTCCACATGAAGATAACAGTCATGATGGGGTTGAGGTTCTGGGCAGGGGTGTGTCAACTGGTTCTCCAAATCCTGACCCTATTTCTGACACACCATGTCATTTTCCACACTGATTTTCAAAACTGACTTCTAAAATTCACACCTGTTTTTTAGATTTGGCATCTAAGAGTTCACTGGGTTTTCTAAAGTAACTAAGCTTAGCATCAGTGCAAAGGTCAAGAATTGGTACAATTTCTTCCAAAATTTATGATATATTTTGGCTACTTCTACTTCTCTTGTATTCATTTTGAGCTAGAAATGCATAGTCAACGTCTTGACCCATTGTTCATACCAAACCAGATCAAAAAACCACACCCATTGAGGGGCTGAGGAACCCCTAAATAATAAAAACCTAGGCAGTATCATTTTGTGGTCAAATGCTTCAGCAAATGAAATACCAAGAACTCAGTAGCAAACTAAGCCATACTCAAGGTTCCGCATCAATATCAGTATCTGGGCAACTGCCCACCTACCCCTCCCCTAACCCAACATTAACCCTAACTTGTTATCAATTGACTGTTGTTGAGTTAGGGGAGGGGTAGGTGGGCATTTGCCCAGATACTGATATTGATCCAAGGTTCCTAAGTGACATGCCACCTGCATTCTGCATTGTACTTTATATACACAACTCATGAAGTGTAGGTTCCAATAACTACCTTTGATGGGGACATTGGTCCAGCATATGCCCTCACTGTAATTGGTAACTCTCCAGGGCTGTTCCTGTGTTTCCAGTTTTTTAGGGGGCTTCCTGGTTGTGCCCCTTCATTGTTCACTTTATCACCTGTGATCTCTGGTGACCAAGGCTCCTCAATCCAGGAAGAAGTTGAATTATCCATTGAACCCAACAATGGCACATAGAAATTGTCTGCAAACAGGACACAAACAAATCAACTATTGAAAAAATTAGAATCTTAACATAGAAAATAGTGGTTGAGAGTAAATGGAGAAACACAGCAGTCAAAGAAAGAAATCATCCCAGGGATATAACATAAAGAGAAACAGAGGGCAGAAATTTAGGCCTTGTATCATTATTCCCCTTCATCCATCTTGTTAGACATCTTATCCCAATTTCTCCCTGCACTAAATCCTTGGGGTATCTATCCCCCTAACCCCTTGTATATTCTGTCCCCCCTCTCTGTTATTCCCTTTCCAATTTCCTAGAGAACAGTATATAGCTACATTGTCAGTGTGAGGCCCTCTTATCAATGTAAGACACATCTTGCAAGTAATTTTCAAGTGGTATCCAGAGTTCTCCCTTATTTTAAGCATGACAGGTAAAATAAATTTTCAAACCAGTAAAGCAATCCTTTTACTTGTTGAATTTCAAGAATTCCAAGCAATTTTAATCTGCAATAAAAGGTACTACAGGCGGTAAATGTTACAGGTTACTGCCTGAGAAGGAGAACACTGGGTATCACAACTGTGTTGGTCTATCTTTATCCAAAGTCTAACAAATCAAGATGGCAAGCAGTTTGTATAAGAAACACATTGCAACAGGTAAAGCTGACAAAAATACTTTCAAATACAAAATGAATGACTATGCACAATTTTGACTTTTATACCTTCAAGGAAGCTTTTCATCTGATTTTTCAAATCAGGACTTGCATTTGAACACCTTGAGCAAATCACCTGAAAGTATTTGATCAAACTATATGAATATCTACATATGTAAAAGTACTTAAGTCCTAAACTATAGTAAAAAAGTTTGAATTAAGACAAATAATAGGTAGAGAGGAACTTAGTATGCAAATATTCATGTCAAATGTTTTTCTGGTCAAAAAATTATGGAGGCATGATGTTTGTTAGCAATAATCATAACCAGTCTGTTTGTCAGCTATTAATCTTTTAACTCTTCTGAGTGACCAAGAGAGAATTTCTCCTTACAAAATCAAAACAGTAGAAAGCAGACAAGAGATGAGAATGAAGAAATTATCAATAAATGGATTATTTGTTGATCCAATACCAAATTCTCCAAACTTACATCATAGGAATTGTGTGGCAGACAGTAAGGAGAATCACTAATGAGATCTTGGGAGTGAAAGGGTTAACACACATATTTTTTTAAAGAGGATTGTCAAATATTTGTCAAAAAATAGTTCACAGCTAGCATAATGAGGTGTTTTATCTCAACCAAACACTCATCAGGTGAATAGAATTTTACAATAAGCTCAATAAGCATTCAGGGACTGTGCAGAGGGAGGGGCTGAGGGGGCTTTTGGCCCCCCACTATTTTGCAAAAATAAAAATAAATTAAACAAAAAATAATTTAACAAAAATGACAGAGCCAAAAATAGCCCCCCCCCCTCAAAAACTTGCTGCGCAGTCCCTGGCATTTGTGTTTGGAAATTCCTACTTACTAAGTCATTCTCATTGAATATCTTACCTCAGCTGGAGTTTCACCATATTTGTTTTTTTGTTGGATGTTTGTTAGAGGATGAGAAACAAGATATTCAACGATGTCAGGAAAACCAAACTTGCTGGCAAAATGTAATGGTGTTTCCAAGTTCTGTGAAACAAGATAAATTGATTGGTCAAGAAATCTTTAAATGGCTATTTGGTACAGACTGTGTAGGGGAAACCTTGGACTAACAGTCAACACTCTCTTTCCCAGTCCACAACACAATTTCACCTTGGATTATCAAGACAATATTTAAAAATATCAATTAGGGGTTTATCATTTGATCCAATGCTAAATTCTCAGTACTAAAATCATTAACTAGGTCTGAGGGTGGTTATGGCTTTCCGAAGCCAGGACTGAAAACAAGGGTGGACTCAACTCTGATCTGGAGAGCAGATTGACTCACCCCCATATAAGAATTCTGATGAAAAGCACCCCTCCTCCCTTAGAGCTCTTTCACAGGATACCTCATTTTTAACCCTTCACCTCCTAAGATCTCATTAGTAATTCTCCTTACTATCTCCTATACAGTTATTGTAATGTTAGTTTGGAGAATTTGGTATTGGATCATCTTATAATCCCCTAAATGATATTTTCCTTTATTCTCATAACTTGTGTGCTTGATATAGTTTTGATATTGTAAGGAGAAATTCTGTCTTGGTCACTCATGGGAGTTAAAGGGTTAAGCACCCTCTCTCTAACCAGGAATAAATGGTCTCAGAAACCTGTCAGGGAAATGGAACAAAATCCTGAGGGCTACCTGTAGTGGAGTAAAATGCCAAGATTACCACCCTGTTAGGGAAAAGAATTTGCACCCCATAAGTTGAAAGGCTGACATCTCATCCCCCCATCCCTCTTCCTCCCCCCCTTAACAGCCTCCCTGTAATTACCACCAAATCCCCGGGAATTCTGAAGGAAGTGTTGCAGCTACATACCCCTTTGTCTGGTGTGTTTAAGTACATGTCCACAAAAAATTCTCTCCTTTTGCTGTTCTTGGCTGTCTTTATCTCATGGTTCAATAGCACATCCAAGAACGATTCACTCTCTAAAGTTTTAACAATAGACTGACACATCTCTTTTCTGTTATTTTTCACTGCTACATGAAGAGCATTATAGCGGAATCCTTCTTGTAAAATCACTGGAGTGTCACCTGGTCCAATAAGATATCTGGGATTAGTCATAACTTTTTCTTGAAATTCTTCACTCGAGCCTCGTTCGATGACAGCACGAAATTTGACTATTTCTTGCGGTGTTGGAGTTTTGAAAATGCTCACAGGATCTCTAGGAACAGATGAAGTATACGTTGCACCTGAAGATATCTCTTGATCTTTAAAGTGCGATCGGGAGAACAATTCGGCCTCCTGTTTACTTTTAAAGCTTTTAAAACGAGAACCTTTTACTTTCTTGACCATCTTCAGTGCCTCGTCTTTACTCGTAAAAACAGCTGGAATGGCTGGCGATGCACTTTCAGATAAAGAAGAATCCACATTGAAACAAACCCCATAAAAGATCGCTGGGCTCTCTGTTACACTTGGAGCGTTGTGCGTCCGATCATCACTTTCTACAATTTGACTCTCTCTGACTTCAAAGTTCGACCCAACCTCCTTGTTTTCGAGACTGCTATCGACATTGTCACAACCCAGAGCTCTGGATAGCTTTTTTTCAAATAGTCGTCTAGTGTTTGGAGTAATAGGTCCAGGTGTTAAACCCAAGGACTTCAATTCATTCATCAACTCCACATCAGAGAGATCTTCCACAGCTTTTCCCGCCATCTTGTTTATTCCAGAATCCAGACCTAGGAGACCTAGGACCGAGGGAATAGATCTATATCCCAATCTCTCGCGGACCACACAAAGGGAAACCAAAAGCTTTCGGTGGGTAAATCTGTGGTGAGAAGTTAAACAAATTTTAACTGACGGTGCTTTCCCCTTTAAAAATGATAAGGGTAGAGCCCCTGTGAACGAAGTTGAGGTTACCTCATTTGTATAACATGATTATGGGACTTCCCCTTTTCTCCATGAGGTGGGGCAGTTTGGCACAAGTCTTATTTTCGTTCAGGGCAGGGCAAACACCACCCTACCGCTATCCAACCGGTGTACGTACAAGGTGCTCTTCAGCAACTAGCTGACGTAATCTGTCTTAATTTCTTATTCCAACGATCCCAAAATAGAAGCTTCTCTCCCAATAATCCCTCAAAATCTCAACTCGAATCAGAGAAGACCTAAGTGTTCCTGAAGATGGGGACAAAAAGCCAGCTGCGTTTTCATAGAAATCGGTTGAATAATTGTAATGGACATGGTAAAATCTCCCCCTTCATCGAAATACGAAAGGAAAAAACTTCTCCGAGATACCGAAAAGTTTGAGACGATAAAAGTAAATGACCGCTTTATCATATTTAAGGAAAGTTACTTTGAATTCGCTGGAATCAGCGGAAACTTTGCCTCAGCGAAGCTGGGTTAGAAACAGATCTTAAATCATGATTCAAGAACTATTAAGGGTGACACTGACATACAGCTCCTTTTTTCTCTTTTTCTCTTTTTTCCCCTTTTTATCTATTGGATTAAAAGCATGAGAAATGGTAACCTCTCAGTTTGACATAATGGAAAATAAATACTTCTCCTTACTGACCATGATTAGGATAACACTTTTAAGATATACAATTTAGCAATGAATATAAGACCATTCGCAAAAATAAAGAAACGATTACATTGAATTTATAAAAAGGGAAAATCAATAATTCAAGCTATAGCTAAAAGGAAAACTTAAATTATGTTTTAATCATATCTTTATTTGGAATTTCCTCATAATTTTCTGTCACACTAATGACGACTGTGTATTTTTATAAAACCGGAATTCACTCGTAACCTCGGGAACGGGAGGAGATAAACTTCTTAAACACTCCCAGAGCATAAAATATTTCTTAAGGGGAAGAGGTTAGAGATTTATTTTTGTCACAACGTCACGGCGTGGCTGGTAGTTACGTTTCTAGAATGAGTTGCGGCACTGGGCGGCCCACGCACTGAAGTGCAAGAGATCAAAACAGCTTTTGCCCTCTACTTCTCCTCTGTTGCCTTCAAAAAGCATGAAAAAAAATTTACATATTATATATGTAAGATCAACATCTGCGTTTCATCTTCGAAGGATACGCAATGCCTACATCCTAAAATGGAAAAATCCCGACTTTTGGATAAATAAAAGTCAAAGAGCCGTATCATGAGGGTATCAAATGTTCGGGAATATTCGCGTCCTACTCGCCTGTTCGGCTATTGTTCACGAAGGCTTACGTCATAGCCCACAATAACTATTTGCTTCGCTTGCACTTTGTACAGTTAGGAGACGTGAAAATATTCACGGGACTTTCTGTTTTGTCATCGTCCGGGTAATTCTAATAAATCCCGAACGGTTGTGTAACACCAGAAGTAAAGAAATGGCAGACAGTTCACACGAAAACGAAACTGATCTCGGTGATTCTACAAATGACTGCGACAACACATGCGAAGTTATTTCGTTGCCTTCGGAGTCTGAATTTTCCGCCGTTATTTTTAACAACGTCTCCGAATGCTATCCGCCCGACAGAGATATAGAATGTCGATATACGATAAAAACTTCGGTTAAACCACACTCCAGGGATTGGATTGGGTTGTTCAAAGTTGGATGGCAATCTTCTCGTGAACACTACACGTACGAATGGTCGCCAAAGCCAAATATTCAAAATGGCGAACAAGGAAAACCAGTGGTAAACAAGGTTACTTTTCGTCTGAGGTATTTGCCGAAGGCCGACGAAGAGTTTTATCAGTTCTGCTATGTCACCTATGCAGGAGATGTAAGAGGGGCAAGTGTTCCCTTTCAGATTAAAACCAAACCCGCGATGGAACAAGAAGAGCTCGAGTGTTGCGAAATGGAAGATGACGAGGGTACATCAATTATGGTTGTCAAGAACAAAACGGCTATTTTGGAAGAATCGCTTGTACGCGCTTTGGAAGAGGTTTCTGCTTTGAAAGCATCTAAAGAAGCAACGCTAGCAGATTTGAGTCAGGCGAATGAGAAAGTGATGGAGTCAGAGTTGCAGAAAGCAGATTTGACATCCGGTTTGAAAGAAATCGAGAAAAAAGCGTCAAGCTTGGAGCAAGCTTATGCTCAGACCAACATCGCTTTGGAAGAAGCGCAAGAAAGGAACAGAGCGCTTGAAAGTACAATCAACGATCTAAAGACAATAGAGGAAAATTCAAACAGGAAGATTGTGGAATTGACGAAGATTGTCGAGGAAGAACGTGCGCAGAGCTCTCAAGTGGAGAAAAACACGGAAAAATTAGAAGTGGAGAGGAAACAATACTTAGAGAGTATGACCGCCGATCGCCACATGATTGAAAAACTACAGAACGACTTGAAAAACAAAGATGAAGAAATCAATGCATTGAAGGCTCGTTTGACAGAGTTCAAAACAAGGGCAAAGTCTGAATGCACAGAATTAAAGGAGAAATTGGAGAAAGCTAACAGTGCAAATGGAAGACTAGATGAGAAGCTGTTACAGATGACAGAGGAGAACGGTGTCCTTAAGAGAAAACTTGAAGAGGATTCTGAGCGTCTGACCAAAAAAGTGCGAGAATTGAATGTTGAGTTGAAGAATAAACAAACTGAACTAGAAAGAGCAAGAGAGGAAGTTGGAAACTGCAAGCAAATGATTGAGGAAGTGGAAAGAGCCAAAGCAGAAATATTAAGGGATGCAACACATGAAGCAGAGTTGCTAGGCAACACAATGGAAAAGCTTCAAGGAGATGTAAAAGAAAAGCAAGAGCTCATCCATCAACTTGAGTGTGAACTGGAAGATGCTAACTCCCAGCTTGCTCAGGAAAAAGGCAAGGCTACTGCTTTGGAGGAAGACTACGAGTCTGTAATCAGGGCAATGCATGACCAACTGGAAGGAGAGAAGGCCTTAAATCAATCCCTGTGTTCTCAGTCTGATCGCAACCTAGCCAGTCTCCAGGCTCAAGTACAAAAGCAGCTGGAGGCCAACATGGAGCTGAGTCAGCAGCTCGAGGGAAAAAATGCCGAAATGAGGGGGCTGTGTGAAGAGCTGGATCACTGCAAGAAGCAGCTGCAATCTGCTGAGGAGAAGGCTCAAATAACTTCAGTCAAACTAAGTTCTGTCAGTGCTGAAGTCAGTGCACTAAAGATAGATAAGGAGACTCTCCAGACAACATTATCAGATACTCAAGGGGCAAGTGTGCAATCAACCAGAAACTCGGCTGCTTCCATGCATGCACTCAAGACTGCTCACTCTCATCTGGAAAAGAAATACTTGAAAGTAAAAAAGGAGATGGATGAAATGTGGAGGGAAAGAAATGAGCTTAAGAGGACCATTGCAAGTTTCCAAGGAAGTGTCCCATCAGATGACCTGCGTCTTCAACTCGAAGAACTGAGGGCAACCAATGAAGATTTGCGCATGAGACTCAAGATGGGAGAAGAAGCATTCAAGGGAAAATTTGTGGAGTGCCATAGATTGCAAGCTCAGTTGAACAAACGAATGAAGGGCTCAACAGTGCAATTGTCAGAAGATGACTCGCCACCAGAGATGCAGACTCAGGTTGCCATGCTGCAGAAGGCTTTGGAGGAGGAAAGAAAAGCATTAGAGAGAGAAAAAAATACAGTGTCACAGAAGAATGAGCAAATACATCAGGTATGTTGTTGTTGTTCTCACCAATATTATTGATAACAAATTTCTCCTCACTAACTGTAGAGTGGAAGAATTCCTTAATATGCAAGATTTGTGTAAGCCAAGTGATAAGAAGTCTATTTAATATTTCCCTAAATAAACTAACAGTTGAGAAAAATATTCACAAGTGATAGGCAAAAGAAAAATTTAAGATGAGATGATTTCAAAGGAATAATATTTTAAAGGTGTTCAAAGTTAAGGTTAGAAATGAACACATGTTGACAAATTGAGTGGGTGTTTAAATTATTGATAAAGGTTCTGTTCACTCATTGGTGGCAAGTGATGTAAGAGTAATTTAATTTGTTGTTGACTCAGCAAAATGTTTTTGCTAAATAAGCTTTAATCACCAGATTTACATCTAGGTTTAGCCCCTAAGAAGAAGGAAACTATTATTTTGCTTTTCTCACACAACAAGAATTCATCTTTAATTCTGAAAGATCAAGAATCCTCATGTAGTATTTGGTTAGAGAGAATTCTAAGCCAGACTCTCAGAAATGTTGACAAATCAATTTTTTTCTTATCTACTTTAAACTGATTTTTAAATAGAATGGAAAGACTAGTGATTACTACAACTGTTATTTACAAGAGGATGGTTCCTATTTTTTGCTGATGATCTCATATCTCACAAGCAGGCTGAAGTAATGTGACGTCATTTACCCACTGTGACCTTTGTTCAGTTATTCCTGAGATAGACATACATCTTACTAGATTACATGATAAGCATCCTTTTGATTAGTAGCTTTTAAGGCAGGGTTTTTTTTCCCATTTAACTGTCACATCAATGAATATATTGTCTGAGCAACGTGTAATGTTCTCTTTACTTCCTATTCAAAAGTATACTGTCTTATTTTTTAAGTTTGTTTTATTGCTATCCTAGTTTAGTTATTAGTTTCCCCTTGCGATATTAGTGGGGTCTTAAAAATAAAGGAAATGATTGCCAGTGAAATACATTCTTTATCTATAAACAAGTCCACCTTATTAGTACTGTACGAAAAACATTCTGATGTATAGAGTATGTATCCTGATGTTAGAGTGTAAAGGGTAAATGCTGAATTAGAG